GCCCTGCCCCCCCCGCCCCCCCAAACAATTAGCACGAGAAGCCTTAAAGATGAGAAACCTTAAAGATGACTGTAGCTGGCTCTCAGCGGCCCCGCCCCTTGCCTTATCTGGGGTTATCTGCTAATCGGTGGTGGTGGTGGCAGTAGAATGCCGTGTCCCTCCTGTACGATGGCCCACCCTCCCGCTCTCCCGTCCCTGCAGGCTGAGTCATTTTCCTCCTTGTGCGATTACAGCTCTTTGACTACTGATTGACTCATCCAAGTGAACCCAGCAGAAGCCCTGGCAGACGGGGAGGGGTGGGCTCCGTGAGGACTCCCGTTGCTGTGGAGTTTGCCTCCTATTTAAGTGAGTGAGATAATTTGATTACAGGCACTGGCTGCTGTTTCAAAATGCCTGTTTGTATCCTTTACTTGTTGCAAGTAAGTCAGATAAGAGAAGGCCCAGTGCTTCCTTGGGGCGGAGGGAAATACCCTGGTTGAGTTACCCAGGGCTCATTTCACTCTTTCTGTAGATCATTACATTTTCGTTACTCATAAACTGAGGCTGGCACTGCTGGAGCTCACGGATGTGCAGTAATCTTTGGGGTGTGGTTTCATCCTGGCCAAGAGGTGAGACTGGTATCAGCTGCAGCCTGAGGCAGGCGGGACTGCCCCTCCACACACACAGGCAGGCTCAGAGCGGGACTTAAGGCCCCGGGGCATTCGTGCCAGGGCAGGACATCTGGGCTGCAGAGCTCTGGCTGTCTGGGCCCGGGCAAAGGCGAGAACAGTCATTTCCTGGACGTTCACTCTGAGTCAAAGTGCCCTTGCGTGGGGAGCGTTCCATCCAGAGGGCAGTTAGTGTAAAGGGCAGACAGAGGCTGGTGTCCAGGAGACACAGGCTGATGCTCATTCAGTCCATCGATGGGTTTGAGACAGTCAGTAAAAGAAATCGTGAGCTGGTAGGGTGAGTTGCCCCACTTCCATCTGAACAGGTGGACTAGATCGCAGACTGGCAGGCCCTCCACGCAGTCTGGCTCTCCACGCTGACCAAAGGCACCCTCTAGACAAGAAGCATTAGACCCTGACTAGTGTTCATCTCACAGTTCCCAGAGGGAGCAGGCGGAGAGCCCCGTGCGCAGGCGTGCCCAGTGCAGAGCTGTTAGGGGAGGGCACTGCGGACCATAGGCGCCATCCTCACCCCACGCCTGTGCAGCGCCTTGGACTCCGGGCCCAGTGCGCCATGAACAGACCTCCCAGCAGCCGAGCTGCTGGAGCCAGGGCAGACTCATGGGACGGGAGGTGGCCACGCTCTTGCCTCTGCGCCATGCTGCCCCCCGGCCTCCTGGGAAGGAGACTGGGAGGAGACATGGGGAGGCTACTCTGGTTCTTGGCAGAGCAGCGGCAGCCATTGTCTTGACTTCACGGTGGATTATCTGGGACACTGTGAATTCCGAGACTCTCCTGTCCCGGCTCCCTGGGACCTGCTCGTCCCCGCCCTGCGCTCCCACCAGAAGGCGCCTAGACGGCGGCGAGCTTTCAGGTCCCGGCTGCCTCGCTTTGAGCTGGCCCTGGGCATTCGTCCATGGGTGTGGGAACTCTTTGGGGTTTTGTTGGGAACATCCTTTCTTCTCTCCCATCTCTGCGCACTAAACTTACTCCAAATCTAGCGCCCTGAGTCGCTTCCTTTGCCTTTGTGCGGCGGATGACTGGACCCTTTTAGGGCCCCGGGGGGTCTCTGAGTGCCCCTCAGAGACTAATGAGACTAATGTGCTACTGAGAGACTCAGGCTGAACCCCTCTCCTGCACAATTCACTCCTGCACATGCCCCTCAAAAGCCCTGCCTGGTTCAGTTACACCTCGCGGGCTCCAGGGATCTTCTCTCTGGGAGGCAAAGGGCCACTCTTTGGGGTCAGGTCTGTAACTGTGTGTGGAACATAAAGGAACAGACAAAACCAGACAAACCCTAGAAATAGGACTGCAGACTTGAGGCTACTAAAGGGGAGCAAAGGGGCGGGGGGACCCGCAGCCTGCGGCAGAGCCTGGGTGTCTGGTGGGGGCTGTGGTGTGGCGACATACGTCTGAGGAGTGGGATCCTGTTCCCCTAAACCCTATCCTGTTGTAAGACACCGTGACCTTCAGAAAGAGAAAACTTCGCAAAGAAAAAGAGAGAAATGAGGTCGACACACTGGAGCACGTCTGCTCAGCCACCCGGAAGAAAACGTCTAACTAGCTTCAGTCATAATTGAAAGGATAAAAATGAAAATTGCATTAACCTCTCACATTTTCAACGATATATTTAGCTGTCAAACGCTCGGTCTTGATGCGGGCGCGGTGAGAGCCACTGTTGGCTGCTGGTGAGAGGCTGCTGGGTAAGCCGCTGTGGAAGGCCGCGGAGTGATGTCCACTCAACATGTTTTCAAATGCCCATGCCCCGTTCTCTTCTCGATTTTTAATTTTATCTTTTAAAATTAATACTAATAAAATGATCGGGCCTCCCTGGTGGTGCAGGTGGTTGAGTGCAGCGCTGTGAAGCTGCCCGCAGCCTCTGCAGCGCCGGTTCAATCCCGGCCGGCGAGGGTCCCACATGGCGCGGCAGACCTCTCCTGTCTCCCCGCTGCTCCCCTCAGCAGTGTCTTCGGTCCGTCTGCCTGTTTTGTTCCCTGCTCTGTCTCTGGTGAATCCTTTCACCCTCCCACACATCTGGCCTGTACCCCAGTTCTTGTATAAATAAAATAAATCTTTTAAAAAAAAGAGAAAATGATAATGCACACACATTAAAAAAATAAAAACCCCTGGGATTCAGTTTGCATTTGTAACAATTAAAAACAAATACAGCGTTAATGATGTAGAGCTTATGCGGAAAATTCACCCATTTCAAGGGTACAAGTCAGGAATTTCTAGTAGCTTTACCAAGTGGTTCATCTATAACCATGAATCATTTCGGGGACACTTTTGCCCCTAGTAAGATCCCCCGTATCTGATAATCCCCATCCGCACCTCCAGCCCCAGGTAACCACTAATCTACTTTCTGTCTCTCTGGTAATGATTTAGCTAATTATTTTCTGATTACACAAGTAATAGTTTCTTATTTTAGATCATTTGAATTACTCAAAAAAAAAAAAAGACCCACACCCTGGAAGGACCCCCCCCCACTTGCTGCCTCGGCTGTGGCTTTGCCACCCCCTGCACGTGTGACGGGTGTCCTGCGGCCCGTCTGCTTCTCCGCCCGGCACCTTCCCCTGGGGATGCCCCTGTCCACCTTGCAGGACTTTGGAGGCTGACTCAGCCCCGCTTAGTGACCGCCTCCCTGGAGGTGGGGCCAGAAGCAGTTTTCTCTCCTCTGAACCCCTGGGGGTGGTTTCCAGCTCTTGGCTGACTTGGTGTCCAGTGTGGACGTGAGCGCCTGAGGACTGAGGTTGTGCCTGTCACTTTGGCCCCTAAGCCTGTGTCTCCAGCGTCCCCCGGCCCCTTCCTGAGGGCGTCGTGCTGGGCTCTAGCAATGCAGTTCTCACCGCCAGGCACGGGCCCTGGCCCAGAAGCCAACCCGGCAGAGTCACTCACGGACACAAGTGAGTGAAAGCGGCCTCCCAGGGTGTGGCTATGCCTGGATTTTCACTCGTCTCTGCCGTAAGACTTCGCTGGTTACTGAGCATGACTCCTCTCCTTGCCTGATGTTAGTCACCTGTACCCACCTTCTTGTCCGAGTGAAGTAGTGACTGGCATTAAAGTGCTATGTGAACCACACTGGGGCTGGCGGCCTTTCCACTGCTGTGGACAGCCATCTCGCTGGCTCGTGCTGGCCCTGCATGCACGGCCTGTCTGCAGGCCTGCTGCAGGCCTCCCTGGACATGCCGCGTGTGGACGGCAAGCCAGGCTCTCCCCCAAGCCCCGTGTAACTGAGTTCTGGAGCCTTTGCCATGGCACCTCCCCCAGTCCTGACCCTCCCTTCTGGCTGTTTCTGATGCCCCTAACCTGCCCGAGCCTGGTCCACAGTGGCATTGCCGTGGTCCTGTTACAGAGCACTCCCTCCTGTCACCTGTATGACCTCGTGTTACACTCACCTTTGCAGTACTTAAAAGCTGACCTGATCCAGCCAGTCTCAGTGTGGGGGTGCAGGCACATGACAGTGTCCACCCTGTGACCTGTTGCGTGACCCTTCTGCAATGGCCGGCGTCCTCGGCTGTGCTCACACACGTCCTCCTGTTGCAGCCGTGATGCAGGGCGCCAGCCCAGCCTGCCGGCGGCCACGGAATAACCCAGCCTGGGCGATGAGACGCCGCGAGCTCACCTGGTTGTCCCATTGAGGAAGCACCTTGTTGTTCTGGAACCTGGGCAGTCTCCCCCTGGAACGTCTCCCCTGGAGCTCCTGGCTTTGCTGCCCTCATGTTGGGACATTTGCTCCATGTTGACAGCTTCGGACACCACCAGCCTCTGGCCTTGCTTCCGGGCAAAGCCCAGGGCACCTCACCCAGTGCCTCCTGCCCCTCCTTTTGTCTTCTTCCCAGTGACACACGCACACACACGTGCATGTGCCCCTGCAAGCACATTCGTTCTATTTCTCAGTCTCAATGATCGCCCACACACATTCACAGGAGACAGGAGCCCCCTCACTTCTGTTTCTCCTTTTGGTGTTCCTCTTGGGCACTGTGCTGAGGCTGGGGACCGAGCACTGAGCAGAGCACGGCCCGGGCAGGGACGGCACATGGTGGGCAGCGGGCAGGCCTTCCCTTCCTGCGGTCAGCGTGGCCCTTCATTGGTTATTTTCTGCTGTTTTCACCTTTCACAGACCTCGTAGGTGAATGGTAGGTGGTGACGATGAGGAAGCAGATCCAGAGGCTTCATTAGCCACGCTTCCCCCGCGAGACAAGAGTGTTACACATGGAGGGGAGAGGCAGGCGTCCCTGTGCGGGCTGGGTGCAGGGGAAGGTGACTCGCCACCCAGGGACCTCGCGGACACCCTGTGGCCCCGGCTTCAGGCACAGAAGGAAATGAGCTGCTCTGTGCGTTTCTGTCTTGCAGATCCAGAACATGAACAACATCATCTCCTTCCCGCTGGACAGCTTGCTGAAGGGGGACCTGAAAGGCGTGAAGGGGGTATGCCAGCCCATTCATGCTCCCCCCCCCATGGTGTCTGCCCAGCCGTGGGGCCCTCCCACATGGTGCCTCCGACTGGCCCTTGACTCCATCTCCTGGGACCAGCCCTGGAGGGGGTGACTCGACGTCCCAGTGGTCACCCTGTGCTAACGGTGGCGGGGAGGGGGGGACGTGCAGGGAAGGCAGAAACGGCCCATTTAGGGACAGCAGCTGACACCTGGGCAGAGAAGGCAGGGTCCAGGCCGCGTGTCCCTGACGGGGAGAGCTGCACTCGTGAGCACAGGCTTGTCTCCCGCCCTCCAGAGGATGGGGCTTGCTGCGCCCTGCCTCTTAGCAACGCTTGGGCTGTGAATCGCCCCCTAATTTGTGGGTGAGGAGAGTGGGGCTCGAGGGGAGCAGCAGACAGAGCAGCACCCTGGCTCTGCATGCTGTGGCACAGACGTGGGGTGAAAGGGGAGGCCGGCGCCAGGTTTCCAGGAGACCCGGAGGGGCTCAGCTCAGGATTCCCAGGGCATGTCCGCACATCGCAGGCCCAGGCTGGCCCGTGTCAGGGACGTCTGCAAAGGCCTCTCAGTCTCCCTCCCCAGCGTGCCCAGGGGAGTGGCAGGCAGGGAGGACAGGCCAGTGGCCGCAGGACACCGAGTCATCTACCAACTGTTCCCTGGGGGCCAGGACACGTGCCGCCCCAGGAAGCCATGGCAGTGGTGGGGGGGACACACCCCGGGTAGAGTTTGGGCGCAAACCCCCGGAGCCTGACACCACCTGCACCTTAGACTCTGGGGGCCTGAGGCCGCGAGTCCGCAGCTGCTGGACACGAGATGAGGCTTACGGGGGTGGAGCTGAAGCCCAGGAAGAATCCAAAATTATTGGTATAAGCCCCTCCCCCCAATGTTCTCTCGTAAAACTACCCCGAGAAAGGGATCATGAATAGAGCGGACCCCTCGAGAGAACTTCAGGGGTTCAGGGCCTGTGTGGGCCGGGCCTCATCAGGAGGGTACTGAGTTCCAGACCGAGAGGAGGTGGGGAGCCCAGGAGAATGTGAATGGCTTTTCTAGTGGAATTATTGGGGTTACATGCGTCAGGGAGACTCATATATTAGCAAAAAACGTCAGAGTCAAAATAAATTTCTTTTAGAGACGAAATGTTAAGACCTTCTGGGTTTAATTTCAGAAGGATGCCAGGGCGGAGGGCAGAGTGGGTGAAGCCAGATGGGCCGGGTGAGGACTCGTTACAGTGGGGCGGCATGTGCGTTACAGGAATCTTTCTGTGTCCTCTGTAGTTTCTGTGGTGCAGTTTTGGAAAAGAAAATGAGACAAGGCGAGGCCTCTGCTCATGTACCTAAAAGCCTGCTCGTCTCTCGCGGGGTCACACGCGTCGTGTGTTTTAGAAACTAATGCCCCTTTCACGACTAGTTAGGACTAAGCGGGTTTCTCGTGCCCACAAGTTAGTGATTAGTCCTGTCTAATTTATGCCTCTCTGTTTCCAGGATCTCAAAAAGCCTTTTGATAAAGCTTGGAAGGACTATGAAACAAAAATGTGAGTGTTTTCGTTTTTAAAATAAGCATAAGTAACGCGATTTCAGTTTAAATTGGGCTTTTATTGCTTAAAGGTGTTGTCTCAATAAACCTTAATCCAGGAGAGAATTGACCTGACGCTGTTGCTGGGGTCTGTTAGAGGCAAGGCACCCTGATCCAGGTCCCGCCCCCCCGAACCCCGCTTAGGGTTTGAGAAGCCGTCCGCTTCTGGCTGTGTCTGCATTTCTCTGCTGCTCCGTCCCCTTGGCTTTGGAAAGGGGGAGAAGAGTCAGGTGTTGGGGTGTCCCACCTTTCTGACGTTACATGATTGCGTCATCTGCCAGGAGAATGGGAAGAGGGGTTGTGGCTCCCAGAGGCGCCAGGGCCCGCCCACAACTCACTGCCAGGCTGGTTGACCTCAGACCGGGCGACCCTCCCAGTCAGGTCTCCTTCCCAGAGGGGCAGTGGGATGAGCGGGCTGGCCGGCGCCGGCCTCAGTTACTGCCCCCCCCTGGGGAAGAGGAAGAGCCCGGAGCCCGTGCTTGCGCCGTCGTTGCTGCGCGCCGGGTATTAAGGAGCGTTTCTGCGTGACTTGACCCCCAGCCACCTGGTGGAGAGCCAGATGGAAAGGTGGGGCCCATTTCAGGTGTAACCACCAGCAGTCACTGGCTGGCGTTCTTGTATTACCAGCCCTGGGCATATGTTTGGGGGTGATGAATCACAGAAGTCGCACCAAGGAGAACACACCCCCTGATGTCATTCCATTCTGGGGGTCTGCATTTCTGCCTCTGAGCTTGTGGGGGCCGGAGGGTGGGGGGTGGGTGTGAGGCCCCTGGGGCCGGGTCTGGACCGAGCGGGTGCTGAGGGAGTAAGTGTGGAGCAGACTCTCAGCAGAAGAGCGTCTCCCTTCCTGGCGGCCGAGAGGCTGTCCTCATCCTCAGAGGGCCTCGTTCTCACAGGCGGGGGCAGGGTCGCGCGAGGTGGTCAGTCTGCAGCGCTTGCCCGTGGCGTTGTGACTGACCCTGGCTCTGTTCACACGCAGAACCAAGATAGAGAAGGAGAAGAAGGAGCACGCCAAGCTGCACGGCATGATCCGCACGGAGATCAGCGGGGCCGAGATCGCCGAGGAGATGGAGAAGGAGCGTCGCTTCTTCCAGCTGCAGATGTGCGAGGTGGGCGGCCGCGGGCGGGGGCGGGCAGTGCCAGCCTGTGAGTGTCCCCGCTCCCTGCTAGCGGAGCCTCGGTCTCCCGGGGGTGGGACTGGGTGACACCCACTGGGCGACGCCCACTAAGCGCAGGGGCCAGTGGCTGGACCTGGGCATCCTGAGCTGGAACCTGAAGTGTTCTGAGAGCGCAGGCTGTGGCGCTGGGCCAGTGGTTCTCGGGGGGGCGGCTCTCCTGGTGGGGTAGCTCGGTGGTTGGCGTTGTTGTCAGCGGTTGATGTGCACTGACGTCTCTGTCTCACTTTTGGGGTTTTCCGCATCCCTTGGCTCTTCCTGTCCCTCTGTTCCTTGTTCGCTGCTCGAGTTTTTCATTACTATTTAGAAAGTTATCCAGAGCCCAGAGCGTTAGGCAGGAGAGGGTATTTTATGCATGTGTTTCGAACAGACCTCCCGTGTGCTGACACCTGCCTGGCCTGTTGCAGGTGGTGCTGGGGAATCAGCTCAGATGCTGGGAGACAGGTGTGCTGTGTCCTCAGTCAGGGACACGCAGGTCCTTGTGTCTGAGAGCAGGTTTGGAAAGGGCGTGGTCAGGTTGTGCCCTCTCTGACTAGCTCGGAGGAGCCCGATGACCCAAACTTGAGAATGCCCCGTGAATGAGGCCCAGGCAGCAGGTTGGTAGGGTCTCGAGGAGAGGGTGCTGGTCCACACAACCTGCCCTGTCCAGGCCCTCTGCGGGGTCCCCCCGCCACTCAGGATTTCTCTCGGGTCCAGGAGGATGGGTCACAAGAACTGGCTGAGCTATCCTCCTGCGTGCACTGCTGAGCGGAGCCTTGAGGTCTTAGCTCCAGCCACCTGCTGTGCTGGTCCCGGTGCCCCTGGGCCCTGTCTGCCCGCATAGCAGGGACTGTCCATGGACTCAGAGCTTCCGGAGGGAAGGCATCTGAAAAGGATGTCAGCTGGTAGGCAGACACGGGCTGGCAAGGGCTTTCTGTGGAAGAAGGAGCCCAGGGCGGCACCTGAAGGCGCATACATAAGCTGCAGCTCAGATCTCTGGTCTGTTCCAGAGACTGTTCCTCAAACAGGAGTTCCTGAGCTGAATAAGCATTTGACATCCTTTAGATGTTTAAAATTTGAGCTGCCTGTTGTCCATCTAAAGGGAAGGCTTTCAGACTTTTATTTCCAGATATAGAAATCCATCTTCAACGTGCATTTTATGAAGAAGTTTCGCAGGTTCACTGTGTTGCCAGATGGGCGTTACAGAGCTCCTGTGAATGGAGAGGGTGTGGGAGAAACCCAGGCTGCTTTCTTGATTGTGAAGTGAAATCTGCTCTTAGAATTCAGTCAGTAGGGCCTCCCTAGTGGCACAAAGGGTTAAGTCATAGCACTATAAAGCTCTCCACAGCCTCCGCAGCGTGAGTTCAATCCCTGGCCAGGGAGCTACCCACATGGTGCAGCAGACCTCTCCTGTCTCCCCGCTGCTCCCCTCAGCAGTGTATTTCAGTCAGTCTGCCTGTTCTGCTCCCCACTCTGTCTCTGATGAATCCTCTTACGCCCCACACCTCTAGCCTGTGCCCCAGTTCTTGTATGCATAAATAAATCTTTTTAAAAAAAAAAGAATTCGGTCAATATAAAAGATATAGCAAAAATTTCCCCAGATTCTGTGCACCGAAAGATAGCCAGTTTAACACTTAGCTAAACAGCTTTATATGTGCCTTCATGAAAATTAATTTGCACAAGCAAGCTCAGTCCCCACGGATGCGTTCTGACCTGGCTATTTTTGCTCACGAGTCTGTCCTAAATGTCTTTCCCTGTCGGAGACGTTGCTTTATGGGCTCCATGGCTGTGTAATGCTGTCTGTGCGGATGCACCGTTTATTAATTGCCCACTTACTGCATTTGGGTTATTGCCATTTTCACAAGGAAAGCTTTCAAAAGAAAGAAACTTCTCTTCTATTCATCTGTGTAAACGTTTATGATGCTCTTCTTAGAGTCAGTTCCTGTAAGAATTTCTAAGCCAAAGGTAAGCGCTTTCAAGTTTGACATATTGCCAAGCCGCTTCTTAACTATTTAATCATTTTGATACATTGCCAGACATCTTATTCAATTAACAGTGAATAAATGCCACAAAGAAGGGAGACGAGGACTTAAAGGCAGTGAATGTAGGTGAGGAAATGCTGTCGTTTCCGGTGTCAGAGCCCCTTCTGGTCCCCTGGGCTGCGAACCTCCTGGGTTCTTCTTGGGAGAACCCCGAAAGCGAGTCTCCCAGTTGCAGCTGGAAGTGTGGCAGAGGCACATCCCCTCCAGCGACCCGCCTCCTGGGCTCTGCAGACCACACCCAGGGGCGGAAGGAGCGGGCCTGACAGAGCCCTGGCCCTGGCTCTGTGGTCCAGCAGGGCACGCGCCTGCACGGCTGCTGTGCCTACATCCCCAGGGCCGCCTCGTGTCTGGAGGTCGCTGGATGCAACTTAAAAATGCCTTTAATTCATTTCAACTTAAAATTTGGTTTTTATCGCCATCACGTGCTTTCTCAGTTTTGGGGAGGGGGATTAGCGGCCTTGACGGGACATCTCAGCTGCCCAAGGTCAGCAGCTGGTGCTTCAGGCGATGACCTGCCTGAGGAAAGGGAGCGGGCCAGGAGCCTGCTGACGGGAGCGCCAGGGTGGCTGGGCCCCTCGCGCTCATGCTGCTGCGGTTAACAGGGGCGCCTTGGACCAGGTGGTCCAGGCCCTTCCGTGTTAAATGACCCGTGTATCCGCTCATCCTCCTGCACCACTTGGACACGCCGTGTGGCGGGCAGAGCACCACCGTCCGCCCGGAGCGCTGCCCGCTTCAAGGACGTGGATGAGACCAGCTCTGACCTGGGCAGTGCACGTGCAGCTCATGCTCTCCCTTTGTTGTCTCTTAACAGTATTTGCTGAAGGTCAATGAAATAAAGATTAAAAAGGGAGTGGACTTACTGCAGAATCTCATCAAATATTTTCACGCCCAATGCAAGTAAGTTCTTTTTCTTTGTTCTCGTGTCATTTCAAATGTTTGCTTTTTTATGGCGACATACAGCTCGTTGGCCCTGGGCCTGGGAAAAGAAACACTCACTTAAAAACCCCGGGAAAGGGAATCCGGTGTGGATGCGGCCATGGCAAAGGAGCCTTGAAAAGCTGCCCCCAGGAACGGCCATGGCTGGGCCACGGGGCCGTGTGATTTCATTTCTTTGAAAGGTCAGGAGTGGGCAGCTGCAGAGACAGAAACAGGCAGCGGCTGCCAGGATGGGGTGGGGCAGATGGGGCGGGGCGGACGGGGCTGCCGGCCACAGGGTTTCTCTTTGTGGGGCTGCTGATGCCCCGGATGAGATGGTGCTGCTGATTCCACAGCCCTGGGAAGGTGCGAGAAACCACCTCAAAAGTGAATTTTTGAGAACATTTGAGAATTAAGTTTCAATGAAAAAGATGCCACAAGGACCTATGGTAATGACCAAATACGTTTATTTTTGTAGAGGCGCAAACTGGTTTGCCCTAGCAGACTCTGGTAATTCTCAGATGCTCTGATTCGTACTGAGCCACTGTGTTAAACTGAGAAAAGGCTTCCATCCGGTAACCTGCGGAGTCAGGCCGTGATGAACTGAGGAGCCTCTGTGGGGACGAGAAGGAGAAACTCCAGGTTCCAGGGCTGCCCAAGCACCAACAGGCGCACCCTTCCATCTGGCCCTCACCTCCCAGCCTTGTTTTCTGTCCTGCTGCTCCTTTTCCTCCCAGACCCCGGCCCCCTGGGGCCCCTGCACATGGGGCTCCTCCCTCATGCCTGCTGAGTGCGTGGTGGGGAGCAGCCCCGAAATGCCGAGGTGAAGTGCCTTCCGGTCCAGCCTCGGCGCCCATCAAGTAGGGGAGTCAGACATCAGCCAACAGCTTTTTAACTGGACGTTTTAAAGGGTTCAAAAGGACTGAATCAAAGGAAGACTGTAATAGAAGGAGCTCGGGTAGATGGAGATTGGAGACAGGGATTAGAGGGTTTTGTTTTATTTCTTGCTGTTTTCTCCAGCAGCCAGAATGCTGGCACACAGTAGGTCTTCAAATACTTCCTGAATTGGCTGTAAGCCTCTTTAGGGGAGACATGTATCCTGAGATGTAAAGGGTGAGGAGGGGCTCTTAGGGATAGAAGAACATTCCAGGCAAAGGCCAAGGCTTGAGGCCATTCCAGGAAGGCCAGTGGGACAGGAGCTGGGGGTGGCGCTGGGGAGGGAGAATTGTCCTAGGACCCCAAGGGCCGTGCACATCTCTGAGGCTTTTCAGCCCGGTTTTACATTCTATCCTGCATGGATTAGGAAGTTCTTGAAAAGGCTGATACCGAGCATCCATTAGGCAGGTGTTTCCTGAGCTCCTGCTCTCTGCTTGGTGCTTTTTTTTTTTTTTTTTAAAGATTGATTTATTTATACAAGCACTGGGTACAGTCAGAAGCGTGGGAGGATGAGAGGATTCACCAGAGCCAGAGCAGGGAACAGAACAGACAGACTGACGAAGTACACTGCTGAGGGGAGCAGCGGGCACAGCAGTTGAGGTCTGAGCACCATGTGGGACCCTCGCAGGCAGCTGGGGATCGAACCAGCACTGCAGAGGCTGCGGGCAGCTTCGCAGCCCAGCGCTCAACAACTGCACCACCAGGGAAGACCCTCTGCTTTGTGCTTTTTAAGGTTCTGAGGTACATCAAGGAGGAAGCAAAGGTCTCGCCTCCTGGACCTCATCCTCACAGGGGCAAACAGCTGTCTATGCCCCACAAGTCCAGTCTTGGGAGTGAGTGTGGCCGGGAGGGGGCACTGGGTGGGGGAGCAGGCTGGTACCCCACAAGGCTCCTTCCCTCCCATGTCTGCTCAGGTGAGGTTTCCATGTGTGCCAGACGGCACCGGTGGGATGTGGGCCACACCTGGGGGCCGGCGCTTGGGCTAGACAGAGGGTCCACAGGCAGATGGCGGGTCTGCCAGGAGAAGTCTTTGGGGTCAGATCTGGCCCCACAGGCCGAGTCCCACGGGGGTGAGCCTGTACGGAGCCCACCCCCCTCTCCACCCCATGGTCCAGCTCCGTGTGACGACTCCTCTAATGTGATTCTCTGCCCCGACGGGGCATCTGCTCTCCCTCTGTGTCCCCGCCACTCTCTGCACACCTGCGTCAGGGCAACTTTCCTATGCTGTCCTGCCCCCATGGCACCATGCACCTTCCAGGAAAGGGCCGTGACATTTATTTTCATCTGTTGTGCCACCCACATTTACCTGACACACTTTCGCGGCCATGACTGGCACTGTCGAATTAAACCCAGCTTTGCTTTGGAATCCCCAAGGCAACTTTGGGGACCTTGCTTTTCTGAAGTAGGAGGTCAGACAGCAAAGCAAGTGGCCAAGCAAGTCATCTGAGGATAGAAGAAGAGGAAGCCGATCTCCTCTCTCACGGGTAGAATTTCCGAGGTGAATTATTTCACAGAGACCATGGTCCTAGCTGTGACTAAGGCAGAAATCCCTCTTTCAGTTCTGTGCAGCCCTGAGTGTGGCAGTGTAGGAAATGGGCCACTTCCCTGCTCATACTTTATTTTTAAGAAGAAGCTATTCTGGGATTTCCTTTTTTTTCCTCCCTTTATTTTGCCCAAACTGATCAGTTGGGTAGCAACAGACCACGGTGGAAAGTGAACTGTTGGCCTTTTATGGGCTTTGGCCCAGTAACCTTTGGAAATGACGCGTCTCCTGTCACTTCCTTTGTGGATGTGGGAGAGGGAGCACTCACTCTCAAGTCGTTCGAATAGCTGGACTTTTTAAAATTCATAGTTTGGGCATAAACTGTGTCTTCGGATGAGAGTGCTGGTGGCTCCATCACCTGGCAGCCCTGTGGAGTCCCTGCCCGTGAGGCCCGGCCCCTACCCAAGGAGCGGGTCGTGCTGGGCCGGGGTGTGGGAGCCCAGACTGCCTCTGCCTGTTATTTGATTTGAGGAAAGAATTTGCATCCCCCCTCGCTCTGCACTCCCCGCAAATGTGTCTTATCAGCTTTTGCTGCTAAGCTTTGAGGATCCTGTGGTCGAGCGGATTCTGGAAATGGGTTAAATCACTTAAAACCAACACACGGTCATGTGCTGCTAAGTGGGAAGGGGCATGGACTTGACCTGTCCCTTGAGCAAGGGCCTGCAAGGGCCACTCTGGCAGCTGCTGCCCAGTGCATGTGGCACCCGTTGGCCGAGGCACAGTCCGGGTGGCCTGGGGGTGGCAGGGAGCCGGCTGCCAAGCACAGACCCCTCACGGTGTGAGCCCGGGGGGCTGCTGTGCTCACCTCCGTGGTGGCAGCTTGAAGGCTGACTGAACCTCCACGAATGTGTTTTAAAGGCTTGGAATTTGGTCAGGCCAGCTAGAAAACATTTGATTAGAAGAGGTGGCATTTGGCGATATTAACGGGGGTGTTGACGGGAGCTCTGGATGTGTCAACAGTTCCACCTGCCAGGGGGCGCGCGGGGTGGCTCGCGCTGATAGGCAGCCAGGTGGCGACAGGACCCCTTTCTTTGACACCAGCCCCACCCCACCCCCCGCCAATCTGATTTCATTTTGGGGGTGCACCTAGGTGCCAAAACAACGCCTCCATGGGCAAGGTGTGGAAGGACAAAGGCTTCGGAAATAGAAGGTTTCCAGGGTGATGCTCCAGCTCGGCAAACAGACTGCAAAGGCGAAACCAAATGTTCAGTGGTGACTCCAGGGGCCCTGCCCCGCATCACGCTGGACGCCATGTCCGATAGGAAAGGCCCTGGGCCCCACCTCCAGGCCAGGAACCCGCCCGGGGACCATCACAGCAGCTGCCCTCTGCCCGGGCAGAGGCGTTTACTTCCACGCGGCCTCCTGATGTCTTCCTCCCCTCCCGTGCGCTTCCGCTCTCTCCCTCTCCCGGCTGCCTCCCCCTCCCTCTAGCAAGAATTGGGGGGGATGAGGGAAACAATTACATAAAGACTGTAGCGGAAACCAGCAGAGAGCAAATGAGCCCATGCGGGAGAGGAAAGCTCAGTTTCTCTTCCAGCGGCTCTGTCTGCTCTGTTTCAAAGGGCGCCTGCCCTGCGCGCATCTTTGCCTTGGAGGCTGGGCTCAGAGCCAGGCCCCGGGTGTCTCTGCCCCGGGTGTCTCTGCCCGGACGGTGGAAACACTCCCGTGGAGAAACGGTTATAACGCTGACGCCCTTGCTGTGCCGGGAGCTTAGTCTGTACTGGGGAGATGAGTAGGCGAAGCGGGCGGGGGCATCAGGACACAAAGAATGAAGTCTGAAGAGTAAGGTAAGCAAACGCGCAGCCCAGCCCCCATGATTCCCATCGGCAGGGCCCCTGGCCACGTCCGGAGTGCCCCTTCTCCCTTCCTTCCTCCTGGGAATCGCAGCTCTGAAGCCATCTGCATTGTTTGTCCAGCCCCTCCTGTTTACTACATGCTCGACATGGGAAAGCCCCACAGGACTGTTGCTAAGTCTAAAAGAAATAAATATCCCCTCACGTGGACACAGGCGAGGCCCAGATGGCTTTGTGAAGATGGTCTCCTTGGCTGCCAGTGAATTATTTCTTCATTGGACAAATGTCATGCGCTTGAAATGTGCCAGACTTTGTGGATGTTCTCAGACTCCTAGAACTTCAGATCTCATGGGGTAATTTTGCTTTAAATAGTCCCACTCATGAATCCACAGCTGCAGCGCTGGTGAGCGTTTTGAAGTAAAAGACAGCATGCTGAGAGAAGGGAACCTCTCTCGAAGTAGAGGCCGTGGGAAGCCTCACTCAGGAGGTGATGCTTAACTTACAACTTGAAGACTGAGTGGGAATGAGGTGAAGTATCGATAGAGGATATGCTGCGGGGAGGATTCTTTACTGGGAAGCAACAGCAGGTGCAAAGGCCCTGAGCAGGAAGGGCTTGGTGGGGGGGACAGGCAGGTGTGTCTGGCATGTACAGAAAGGAAGAAACACTGTGTGAGCTGAAGCCTGCAGTGACAGGGTGTGAATTCTGTGCTGAGCAGCTCTGGAAACCTTCTCTCCATCCTCCGAAGGCGCACGGCCTCCTGTTGCTGAGCGGAAGCCTCCTGTTGCTGCAGAACCTGTCCTGCTTCAATTGTGTTCCCCAGTCACTTGCTATAAATGAGTCTCAAGCGTTGCTGAGTCTGAACTTGAAAACAAAGATTCCTTTTGATATTTGATCTCCAGGCCTCCATGCCCGCCTCCCTTCCCTCCTGCGTGGGGGAAGCTTGGCGGTTAATGACATCACACCAGCTTGTTTTTTTTTTTTTTTTCCCCTGCATTTTCTTCTACTAGCTCTCATCTGTCAAGGAAAATACGTGTATGTGAGATTCTTGTTTGCGTTCTCAGCCTCAGCCTCTTATGCTCCGGGATGAAGCCTTTGCTGTCATGTTTAGCTGAGTCCTGTTTCCCTTTACAAACTGAAAATTCAGCTCTCACTTCACAGGGGGGTCAAGAAAAATGGCAAATAACTGCAGTCACGTTCAAGAAGTGTTTTCCCACCACCTGACAATTGTTTTTCTTTTCACCAAGCACAATCTCTGTTTTTTCCTTCCTCCTCTTAGTTTTTTCCAGGATGGACTGAAAGCAGTAGAAAGCCTCAAGCCTTCCATTGAAACCCTCTCCACTGACCTCCACACGGTGAGTAGAAACACTCTCCCATCAGCGTGGAGACGGTGTCTGTGCAGCTGATGCTCCAATCCTGTGTCATGTCTGTGTCTTGCATTTGCTCCTCAGCCCAGCCCCAAGGGGCTTGGCCTTCCCCTCTGCCCCCTTGGCTGGAAGGAGATTTAAGCAGTAGGAGGCGTTTCTTACATTGATGCAGACCTTCCCTGGGAAGCCCGGCATTTCCTGTGGCCTCCGTCCTGCTTCTCTTTGCTCTTTTTAAACATTTTTATTGAAATAACATTGGCGTATAACATGATGTAGGCTGGAGGCGTACAGCCTTATAAATCAGCACCTGTGTCTACTGCTAACTAATAAACAACAAACTCTTAGACTGCCCACACAAAATGGTGGGTATAGGGTCGGGGTGGGGAGAGGAAAGAGGTGGGTAAGTGGGGTGACAGGGGGCACTTGCATGGTGGAGGATGGAAACGTGACTTGTTTTGTTTTCTACAGATCAAACAGGCCCAGGATGAAGAAAGAAGGCAGCTGATTCAGCTTCGAGACATTCTCAAGTCAGCGTTGCAGGTTGAACAGAAAGAGGTGAGAAGATTTAATTTTGAAAGCACGCTCAGAGGCTTTGGGACTGAGGGTGTGACATCCGTCCCCTGGGTACTCGCGTCTCAGTCCCAGGCTGTGTCGATGCATGAAGACGTCCCGCTGGCCCTTCGGTTTCAGGCGACCACCTACCCAGAAGCCTTTATTTCAGCGGAAACATTTCCTCTAGGTGTGGCCTTGATAGCCTGTGCAACTTTTTTGCACGGTCATGTGCCTGGTGAGGCTCAGGGCCGGCGGGTCTCTCTTGCTCCCCATTCGTGTCTGTGATTCTGAGCCTGGAGCTCTGCAGGCCCTGCCTGTCTACCCCAGCAGGCCTCTGAGCCATCGGCCCCAAGCCTGTGTCCTTAATTGTGAGCAGCTTTCCCATGGACAGGAAGCCCGGGTTCCTCGGCTCCACCTTCACGTCATACTTCTCTGCACGCAGACACATCAGCAGTGACATTTTGTGTTTGGGGGCTAGTTAAAAAACAAAACACTGAGTACATTTTTAGGGTCATTCTATGATGATTTTGCTATAGTGGGGCTATATTATAAGGTGAGTTTGACATAAATCCACATCCTTGTCAATGAAGGGTGTGTCTAATGCGTAGCGCCTAGATCTCAGGTAAGTGCCTGTTGAGCGTGAGGTCACTGTGGACTGTTCGGTGTGCTGCTTCCAAGTTCCTGTACTTACTATAACGGAATGTTGTTTTTCTCCCAAATGCATTTACCTTTGTGACCGAAGTCTAGGAGAGTAAGTAGTTCACTATTTTAATAAATTACGGACGTTTGCATGCTTCCTCCCCGTCTGTGTTGCTGGCCGGGAGCTTTCATCTTCCCCCTTCCTCTGTCCACTGCCGTGCGTTCACAAAGCCTAGAGAGTTTGAACGCACAGATATTAGTGCTGCGGAAGTTTCAAGTTTACATTTGATGCTTTTGGTCCTTTGTGAAGATGAAGCCACTGTCCATTCCCGCCCACGCTCCCCGGCCCATCGGCAGCCCGGCCCCCCGGGGAGCCTGCGCTCACCCCGCAGCCCGTGAGCTCCCGTCACAGGCTCCCTTCGACTTCTTTCCATCTCACTCTCCTCTGGGCTGCTGGCCGTGTCTTCATCTGCAGACACTCCCTCCTTGGCCAGTCCGGGAGCCGGCTGTGGACGTGACCCCCCCACCCCACCCTCCCCTGTGGCTCCCACATGCTAGGGTCATTGTCTCCCCAGAAAGAAGGCTTTTCCCTTGTGTCATGTTCCATTTGATTGAAACGGGGGTTGATGTGAAAGGGCTGACTGTGCTTGAGCAGGTGGCTGTGAAACCTGTGTGAACAGGTAAGAAGAGTGATCTTTGTTGGCTCACCCTGAGGATGCTGAAGTAGTTTTAAAGCAGGTTCAATTTTATATTAAATAGACGATATTCCTCTTTTTTGCAACTTTTCAGTTTTATACAATAGCTTAGCTAGGGGTTTGGCCTGCATTTTTTTCAGTGGTTCAAGAAATGCCTGGTCTAGAGAACAAAACGGTCATTTCTTCCTTCCCTCTGGCATCGGGTCAGGCTCTGTTGAAAGAAAAATGTCCTTTATCTCATGCGCAGACCTGCAAAGAGTCAGATTAATATGCTCGGCCTGGACGCCCTCAGCACTGCTCACGCGGCTTCTCCACGGATTTTGTGCAGTTTTTTTCCTTCCCAAATCAATAGGCACATTTCATGGTTGTGCAGTTCAGTCTTTTGACAGGTTTATTTTTAGTCTTTCATGGAGATTCATATAGGTGAGCACTATTTCTCCATTTTCCCTTCGCTGCATTTATTTCCAGTAATGTTTAAATCTGGGTTTTCGCTAGACTTTTGGTGCCCTTCTGAGAGGGTGTGGACTGAGCCATCCTCTCCCAGGGAGTGAGCTGCCTGCCCTTGCTGTACAATGAGCCCCCAGCGCCACCTGGCCCCCCGTGCAGAACCAGGCCCCCTATCCTTCTGGGTTTGCATGTCCAGGCTCTGTTGTTGGCCAGTAATGGAATGTCCACCCCCAGTTGACTGCTGTGTGGAAGCTTCTTCCCCAAAGTTGTCCCCCATATGTTGCGGAGTTTAAGAAGTCAATGCTAGACAGCCCCCCGTGGTCACAGACTGGAGAACTGAACACTGTCAGCAGGTCAGTCCTCCCGCCGCTGACCCACATTAGTAAAATTCCAGCTGCCTTTTGCAGAAATTGACAAGCTGACTCTAAAAGTCTTATGGAAATGCAAGGGGCCCAAATAGCCAGAACAGCCTTAAAAAAAAGAACAAAGTTGAAAGTGTCACTCACACTTCCTGATTGCAACCCTTAACCACAAAGCAATGATAATACAGCTTTTATAAATGGAGTAGATGGTATTTAAAGTACTTAAAATAGATATTTAAATAAGCACTTAAAAACTTTGTATGTAAACAGAAAGACACTGTAGAACCTGCATAAGGTCAGATAGATCCGTCAGTGGAATTGAGTCGAGAGTCCAGAAAGGGGCCCTCACGTGCTGGGTCAGTGGTTTCAGCAGGGACCCCAGCATTACCCGACGAGGAAAGAATAGTCTTCTCAGCAACCAGTGTTGAGACACTTGGGAGCCACAACAGGTACAAGAATGGGTTTGGACCTCACACCTTATCAAAAATGAACTCACAATGGATGAAAGACCTCAGCGTAAGTGCTGGACTGTCACACTCTTGTTAGACGGCTCAGAGGTGCGTCTCTGTCACCTTCCACCAGGCAGTGGTCTCTGACGTGTGACATCTGAAAATACACACAACAAACTGATAGAGACTCCATCAGAATGAAAGTCTTTTGTGTTTCAAAACCTTTGAACCTGTCATGAATCCAGTGTCTTGCTTGGTTTTGGATCTCAACCTGCCTGTCCCTCCACCACTTGACCCACTTTCATCCTGGCTGCATGATCTGTCCTTGTCCCCTGGGGGATGGGCCAGCTTCCCCCAGCTCTCCAGGCTCTGTACGCCTTCCCCACTGCTTCCAACCCCTCACCCCCTCAACACCTGCCTGCTCCTCAGCACTCGGCCTCCACACCCTCAGGCCGTCCTCCACAAGCTGCTCACTTTTCAGGGCACCCATTATAGGGCACTAGCTTTGTCTTGTAGGCCTTGCCTGCTCCCCCCAAGGACAGCCAGCTACCTGGTGGCAGAGACTAGTCCAGCCTTGTCTCTGGGAACACCCTGAGGAGCCCCATGTCTGTGCGAACCCTTTGTCATTTCTGTACCTCCTGTGATGAAATGCGCTCACCGGGGGTTCTCCCCCGCAGACAGGGGCTTGCACTGGTTGACTGGGGAGCTCTGCTCACGCTTGGCTCCCTGGTTTCCGTGACATCTGCGAATTTTCAGCGCTGACCCTGGCTCAGGATGCGGGCACACCCTTCAGATGCCAGCGGAGCATCTGCTGCTGTGCACTCTCGGCTGGGGTGGTCCCACACCATCACAGATTCAAAGGCTGGAGTTTCCGGAGTGGCAGCCTTAGCCAGATTCTCAGCCACCTTAGCCACCCCGAGGCTGAGTTCCCCGTGGTCACTGCTGGAAGCAGTCCGGCTCAGGGCCGGCCCCTCTGCTGGAATCAGGGCACGCGAAAGGGACACTGGTCAGTACCTGTTACGTTCTCCAAGTTCCCACGCATGGCCCTTGTCAGACTTCCAGCTATTTCCTGTCCTTACTGGGTGTCATTTTCCCATTCTCCAGGGAGGAAGGTGCGGCCGGGAGTTTGCCACTAGTGTCGAGGAGAGGGGCAGGTGCTGGTTTGGGCTCTCGCTTGAAAGCCCATCTTTTCCCGCACTCATGGCACCTGGTTCTCTGGGCTCTTTTTGCCACATGGTCCTCTGGAGGGCACAGGAACTCAGTGACGTCGAGCCAGGTGATGCCCATCCTCGGGGCTCGCCACTGCAGGTGGCGTTCACGAGCTCCGGTGTGACCTGTGTGTCCCTGTGTCTGGTGTGATGAGCAGGGAAATCGAAACATGTTAAGGCCTTGCGTCTCCTTTGTGCACTGCTTCATCTTTTCTTTTAATTGGGATCTGGACGGGACTGAAAACAACTTCTGAAACACTTTTCAGGACTCACAACTCCGCCAGAGCGCAGCCTATAGCTTGCATCAGCCTCAGGGAAACAAGGAGCATGGGACCGAGCGCAACGGGAACCTCTACAAGAAGAGTGACGGGTAGGTGGCAGGGGGCGGGGGTGCAGCAAGCTCCTTGCCCGTCCAGGCTGTCTCACCTCTTTCCCCTTTATCTGTAAGGATCCGAAAGGTGTGGCAGAAGAGGAAATGCTCTGTGAAGAACGGCTTTCTGACCATATCCCACGGCACGGTGAGTGTCTCGCGCCCCCAAGGCCCCTGCAGTCATGGGGCCAGGGGGAGAACTTGGCACGATACGGGAATCTCTCCCCTTGCATGCACACTTGTTCCACTTGCGCACACGCGCACCTGCACGCCTGTTCTTTGTGGGTTAGGACATTAAGGGCGCGTCCTCTGCTGAAGACAGCTCAACTGGGTCCCTTCTTGGTCTGGGGCACCTGCCGACCACCCCGCCCCTTCTAGCCGGGGTGCCATTCTCTTCCTCTGCCCGACAGGTGGGCACACCCGATGAGCTGGGGCACCTCTGGACCCTGTCCCTTCCAGAAACAAAATCAGCAGGCCCCTTCCCAGCTCTTCTTGTCTCTGAAAATCGAGCCTCTAACTAGGGAGGCCACCCCTTCTCCAAAGGGAAATAGCGTTTATGTGCCCGGCTTCGGAGCATCAGGAGTCGAAGAGGAGAGATTTCCATCTCCAACACTGGATTCTAGAAACCTCACTCACCGCGCCAGCCTTTATCAGCCCTGCCCTGTCACCGGGCGACAGGCCCCACGCTGGGCACCGGGGCCATGTTCCCAGATCATGGGAGCCCCTGAGTTGGCTTTCTGGACCCGGGAGTCTGGCCAGTTGCAGACACAGCCCTCAAGCCCCTGTGCCTTCAGCTCGCCTTGGGGCGGGGCCTGGAGGAAGCGGAGGTGTTTCTGGAGCTGTAACTGCTTCCTTGCTGATGAGCACACGGTGAAGGCTGGCTTTTCTGTTCCTCACACAGAAGGTTGTGCGGTCGTGACACTGGGTCTTCACCTGACCGTGGTCATCCCCAGTCCCCCACAGGCCCCTGAGAAAGGCAGCGCTGGGCAGAAGCACAGTCTCTTCTGAGCCCAGAGAAAGGTCATGGCTCACAGAGGGTTCTGGAGAAGCAGCCCTCTCTGCACTCACAGTGAAGAAGCAGTAACCCCGAAGGGGGCCTGGGGCAGGCGTCTCTTCCCCTTCGCAGTCTCTTCTGCGGGAAGGGAGAGACACTGATGTCAAGTGTGGTCTGCGGGGCTCTGGGGGTCTCTGGGCCACAAGTCCTAGGTGGCCGACTGTGTTTCTCGCCTGTCGAGTTAGGCCTTTTCTCTTTTCCATGTTCAACTCTCACCGGCCTTGCTCGAGATTCCCTCCCGGGCAGGACGGTTCGCATCCCCACCTGGCGTCCTGTCCACCAAGGCACATGCCCGGGGGCCTGGGCTGAGTGCCGCAGGCCAAGGGTGCACGTGTGCGGGGTCACCCTCCTCTTTAAAAGTGGAAAAGGGGAGAATCTGTCCCCATAGGACAGATTTTTCCAATGGGCCCTTCCCACATGACAGTGGGAAGGCACTTCCAGAAAGATGTACAGCCCCTTCCACCCTCCATCCCTCTCTTGCACTCTATCTTCAAGAGGCAGCTGACCAGGTGACTTCAGCCCGTACGTTAAGTAGGAATCAGTGATGCCATGTGGGTCCATATTTCTCTAGCGGGAAATCAGTGATGCCGTGTAGGGTCCGTGGTTCTCTAGCAGGGACTGGGAACTGTCCCAAGCTGGGTTATGCCTCCTGAGCAGAGACCCTCCTCGTGCTGGGGCTTTTCTTGCTCGTGTGTTCAGCGGTCTAGTGCTTCAAATCCAAAATGAGAGGAAAGCTGTTCTATATCAACCAGCGTAGCAATAAATGTTTTATTTTAAAAGCAGAAAAAATAAATAAGACAGAACGTGGGTTGGCAGTTGGCCCGGCCCCTGGCCTGCCCGAACACCTGTGGTCTGTGGTCTGACTCCAGACGCCTGCCCCACCGTCGTTGGCTTTACCTCGGCCTCACCGCCTCCAGGCCGAAAGTTTATTAAATAAGACTGAGTTTCACTCCGTGCTGGTCTGGAGCTCTTAAGTCATCAGGTGTTTGTTTCGTGACAGCTTCCTGCTGGGCCCAGGGCCTGAGCTCTGCCCAAGCAGTTCTCCCTCTGTTGCCGAAACAGAACAGGCTTTGCTGCGAGCACATGGGCGGCCCCTGGCTCCCAGGGCGTGGGCTTCCTCCAGCAGACATACAGGCTGCGCACGCTGAGTGCAGAGCCGCCTGCAGTTGGCCGCCAGCACAGTCGGAGCAGCCTCGCTAGGGGCTGACAGCTTGGCTTCACACAACCAGCATGTTCCTCAGTGCTGTGTGTATAGTGAGGGACCTCCCTGGGGCGCTGGGTGCCTCCTCCTGCCACAGCCACCGGCCTGGAGGTCTGGGAGTGGCCAGTGCATGCACCCCACCCAGGGGCAGGTGGGCTCCACCCTTGGCCTTGCCAGGAAAGCAAGTGGGCACATAGAGCACCGTGCCTTGAGGCACACATCTGTTCTTGCCTTTCCTGGGTGTTCTGCATGTTCTGGAAAGCAGAATCCTTGCATGCACATTCACTCACTCATGCACACACTCATATACACACACGTGCACACGTGCTAACCCTGCTGCATCTGACGAGTGTTCTCCAGTGACGTGAATTAACCTTTGCCCTCAAGAGCTCACGATGCCGTTTGGTTGGGTTTGGCTTTGATTTGGCTCCCCATGTGGCCTACCTGTTTAGCCGGCATCTCCCCAAATATGCTAACTTACCATCAGGCTGGGAAGGGGAATTTTTCAAAGACGTAACTGATGAGGCAGGCGTCTGCAGATCTGGGCCTCAGCGGAGAGTCTGGGCTTTAAGTCATGGAGACACAGGGAGCCTCTGCAGTTAGAAGGACCCGTTCCTTCCAGGAAGGGCAGCCATGGGGAAGTGGCTGTGGTGTTCTGTACACCAGTGGCAAGGTCATGGGAACGCGGGTCTGAGTTCCATGGGCGCCAAGTTGGTATCCCCGCAAGCCAAGGCCAGTTGTGTCCACTGGCAGTGGAAAGAAGTGATCCTGGGGACAAAATAACTAATTAGGTGTCCTCTTTGCCAAATCATAGCTTGCCACATTGCCAAGACTGTGTTAAGCTAGAAGAAATGTCCACTGGTTTTTACACAATCTAAAAATGTTTTTAATCATCAATCATGCAGAAAGAAGAATGTCGATTTCCTTTCAAAACGCCTGAAAATTGGGAAAAAATAAAATCACATGAATAAAATGGGAGCATCCCAGGCGACTCCTGCCTTGCAGGCAAACCCCGAGTCTCTGGGTTTGCGTCCTCCTTCCCGAGCTGCTGACCCAGAGCTTCTCAAATTCAACGTCTGGTGACTAGACCTGGTCTCTGCCTGAATTAAATGATGGCGTTGTATTTTCCCAAGTTGCAGCAGAGAGGAAATTTAGTGGATAAGATCTTGTCTATTTAAATTTTTCTCCCATAAATTTTTCTTACAGCTCTGATCAGCTAATCCTTAATCAGAGTGAACAAATAGCAAACAGTTGTGACTGTGAGACTGAAAACAGCTGATACAGGTTATGATGGTCAGCATCTGTGCTTTGTGGACATTCTGAAGGCTCTTGTTTTTAAATATGTAGGCACATTTCTCCTTGTAATTTTTACTTAAGATATTGACACTGGTCATTGGCCCTGTTTTGGGGGTGGTGTTCATACACTGCGGAGTAAGAAGTCTTTGATGGTAGTTGAGTCGGCAAGAAGAATTTCACTTTTCCTGTAGCACAGGGGAATCGAAAGAGCAAAAGTTAGAGGCAGAAAGGCCAGAGGTTAGTTTTTAAACGTGATTCTTTGCTGCACTAAGAGATACTTAAAGATGAATCCAAGGAGGTGGCTCTGCTCTGCGGAGAGCCACATGGAGGGTGGGAGGGGGGTGGCTCCGGGCCGGATGGGCTCGGGCAAGGGTGGATATCACCACGCCCAAGCTGTATGACCTCAACCTAATTGTCCCGCAGCTCCAAGCCAGTATCTTTATCTGCAAAATTGGAGTAGGCCCTACCCCACCAGCCAGTAGAAGATTTAAATGAATTAATTCGTTAGACACACTTAGAACTCTTGCTTTGTGACAACCTGGATGCAGCTGAAGGGGGTAATGCAAAGTGAGATAAGCAGAAGGAGAGAGACAAATGCCGGATGGTCTCACTCATATAAAGAAACAAAACAAAGGAACAGACCAAAACTAAACCAAACAAACCTTGGAAATCTGCAGATTTGAGGCCAACAGAAGGGGAGGGAGAAAGGGGGCGGAAACAAAGGGGGGAGAGGGCCCAGTGGTCTGTGGTGAAGAACTGTGGGTGCTTTGATGGTGGGTGTGGCGACATACTTCTGGGGTGTGAGCCTGTGCCCTGGATCACGTGCAGTGTTGTAAACCGGTACTGCTTCAATTTAGAAAAATAAAAAGAGGCTTAGAATAGTCCTTGCCTCCTATAAGCACATAATTTTACAAAATAATATTATTAATTGAATTAATTGAATAATTACTGTATCATTATCAGTAATAGCTGAATAAATGTCACTAATACGATCATTCAAAGTCACCTCATCCATGAACCTGTCTCTGTTTACCAAAGTGCACCAGGCCTGCTTACTGCTCCTGGGGACACCGGCCGTCTGGAATAGAGCAGGAATGCCAGCCGAATGCACCCCCACAGTTGTGTGACCACGGGAGGTGATGGAAAAGACAGATTTTAGGGCCCGATACCTGTGTTAAGGTTCTCGGGTGCCCTGGGTAATTCTGTCGGTAAAGGTTAGATTGATGGATGCTTTTGCTTGAAAAGTAAAGTTTGCAAACTGAGGCAGAGCTTGGCATCTCCTAGCACTGGCTTCTGACGTGCCGGGGATTCTGTTAGGCTTCAGGTAGGAGCCACAGCCCAGGAGAGTCCAGACAGCCCTGTTTATCCAGCTTCTGCTGATCCAGACTCTGTCCAACCCAGGTTGCTGACACAGCAGGGCTCGGGCCTGTTTTGTTGGAGACACACTCCTCAGCCTGGACCCGGGGCATTTAGTGGAGGGGAGTGGAGGTTCTCCCAGTGTAGACGCCTATATGGATCTAGGTTAATCCCACGTCCAAGCTCTTGCAGGCTCTTGGCCGTGGGAGGGGCGAACAAGAACGACCAGCGTCTAAGACATGTTTATTTTCTCTTTCTTCACCCACTTGGCAGATGGGAAGATAAGCCCATTCATATTTGGAGAGTTCTCCGAGGCGTTTCGCCATTCAGAATTTTTCCCCTGAAATAATCTTCTCATCCTCTGCCCTTTGCTTCCCAGACTAATTGTGGTAGTTTTTGAAATGGTGATAAAATAAGCCACTTTTGACCTTTCTCTGACAATACTGTAGTGTGATCGCTCGTTAGCATTGTTGAGGGGGTGCGTGTGTGAGCGGGGCGGGTTCTGTTGAAACGTAAGTGACAGATGGTTGGCGTTCAGGATTATGGATCTAGTATCTGTCATCACTTCAGAAAGGAGAGAAAATTATGTCTCTGTCATTTTTGCTCAGTGAGATTACTTCCCCAGTAAGTGTTTACTACACTCAGAAAAACAGTTTTTTTAACATCGGCAGAAATGGAGCGGGGCGCCCGGGTCACCAGCAAAGTTCCCGTGTCCGGAGCAGGAGTCGGCACTGTCTCGGAGCTTTAGTCTGGGAACATTTTGATCTTGGGGAGGCCACAACCCTCTGTGGGTTTGTGGGTACCCATTGCCAGGAAGGTTGCTCCCTTCTCCAGTAGAGCTAAGGTCTGGGGACCCTGCGCCTCCCTGCATGCAGTCCGCTCTGAAAGGACTTCGTGCAGACCCCCGGAGCCCCGGCTGCCGTGTCCTAAAGAGGAGTGCAGCTGCCTGGCTTTCCTTCCCAGTGTCCTCATCTTTCTGTTTCCAAACAGGCTAACCGGCCTCCTGCAAAGCTCAACCTGTTAACCTGCCAGGTGAAGACTAACCCAGAGGAGAAGAAGTGTTTTGATCTTATTTCACGTAAGTTTCTTTCTCAGCTGCTGGACCGCAGGCAGTGAGGGCAAGCTGCCTCCTGGGGCGCCAGTCCTATTTCAAATACTGTGAGCAGTTGATTTTCAGAGAAATCGCCTGGATTTCTAGCGGCATCCTCTCCCTTCCTGCCCCTCCCCACTGCCGCTGTTGTGGCTGCGTGAGAAACACTGCTGCCCGGTGCTGGCCTCTCCAGGGGGCCTTGAAGTCTTGTCTCCGAGACGGTTTATCTTGCGCACCGCAGAATTCATCTTTCTGCTTCTGTGTGCTGTTCTGTTTGGTGGCACACACAAAAGAATGACCACAGAGCCAGCTGTTGGCTTTTCCCTAAGTAGGCCAGAAACATCTCAGTTCCCCACTTTAGAAAGGCTTTTGCTATTAAAGGGCCTTAACTATTACTTTGGGGGGCCAAGTCTGGAGCAAGCTTGAAAGGATAGTGACAGTTTTCCTGGAATAGCTGCAATTTGAGGGGAGCTGCATGTCTCTAGTCTGGAGGGAGAACTAGGCAGATTCTTTAATTTGCATCACAAAACCACAAAGACCAGCGACTCAGCAGCATGGAAGGACCTCAGCATGAGAGCATGTTTGTGTACAGCTCACCCATTCCCAGCAGAGTTAAGACTGTTCCCGAGGTTAATGTCTGTGGGACTGTGTGCGGGTGACAGTCTGGGCTCAGAGCTGACGAGTCCTCTCGCCTGCAGATGACAGGACGTACCACTTCCAGGCCGAGGACGAGCAAGAATGTCAAATGTGAGTTCCTGTGCATTGGGGCTTCGGGCTGGGGCTCAGCAATCTGTGGGATTTAACCCAGCCCCACTGTGATTTTCCAGCTGGATGTCTGTGCTGCAGAACAGCAAAGAAGAAGCTTTAAACAATGCATTTAAGGGAGATGACAACACTGGAGAAAACAACATCGTCCAGGAACTGACCAAGGAGATCATCTCTGAAGTGCAGCGGATGTCGGGCAATGATGTGTGCTGCGACTGCGGGGCGCCAGGTGACCCAGGCCCTCCCCAAGCCCCCCAGGCCCCCCCAGGCCCCACAGCTCATTGCACACAACCCAGTCTGATCACCCCTTTTTTTTCCCGAGCACTAAGTTCAGCACAGCCTGGCCGCCCCTCACCCCGACTCACCAGCACACGGCCCGTCAGTGTGCGCACCTCCTAGGGCAAGGGTGGGGCATGGGCCCCGGCCTTCGGAACAGGACCGCGTGCAGATCGCCCAGTATCGCTAACAAGGCCTAAATGCTCTTTGGGGGTTGAAAGCTGAGACACACAACGAGGGTGGGGTCGCAGTGGCGGCTGTGCTGTTGGCTCCAGAAGTCGGGCGCCTGTGGGACTTAGCGCACTCCTGCCGCTGCATAGACGCTGCGGAGATTCTAAGGTGCTGTCAAGTGGGTGGCCTGGAAGAGCCCCCGACTGTTAGACTCTGGTTTTCCTGGCCGGAAAATGCAGCAGCCGGGAGATTCTTTTCCAGCCCCTCCCACCCTTCACATTCTGTGAAATGAGATCTTTCCCTTTGCTTTTCAGAAAAGCCGGCAGTGTTGCTGGTTTTAACAGCAATCAGTTGTCTTCCATTCTAGTTAAGATGCGGTGGTCTTGTGGCCCAGGGAGCCGTGGGCCAGCCTTTCCTGAACGCGTGTGAGATGGGAAAGGTGGTAGCTTAGGGTGGCCGTTTGCCTTTGCGTTCCTCTAATTCTATGCCAATTTTTTTGAAAAGCAAACAAAACAGAGCCAGAGTGGATGGCCGAGAAGGGCCGTGAGCTTCCCGTTCCCCTGGAGACTAGATCTGGGCATCATTTGAGGAATTACCTCTTGAGGTTTGGACCTCTTGAAAAATACCTTTTTGGCAGGAGATGAGGTGGAGAGTGGCCCGTGCTGAATCGTGCTGCTTCTTAAGAGAAGGACAGAGCAGTACGTGGCCTTTTTAACGACTTCCATCTAGAAGTCGAAGTTAGGTACATTTTTGTTCAAAAGGCTGAGGTGAGGTGGGTGAGGCAAAGACTTGACGGGAAGTAGGCTCAGTGCCCTATGACCACCCACATGCCAGGAGCGACCCAGGGTGCGGGAAACACGGCTGCGAGGGCTGGGGACGTGCCCTGCTGATGCCCGGAAGTGTTTCCTCAGGTAGATGACGTCTTTCACAACTTGAACACTTGAAAAGTAACTTTCCAGTGAGCTTACTGACCTCAGTTGCCATAATTACATAGTTGCCATGAGTGTCTTAGGGCAACAAGCTATTATTTCAAAGAGGAAGGTACTTGTGGGCTCTGCCAGCACGCCAGTGTGTTTGAGTTGTCCGTTTTCAGCAAATTCAGCATTCCTCTGTCAAGCATATCTGAGTCCCTACTGTGTGCTTGGCTTCCGAGAGGGGGTAACTGTACAGTGAGGGGCGGCACAGATACGTGTGCATGTGGGCGTGGCCTGACTGCACCTGCCTGTGTCCTCCCCATGGCCCCGCACCTTTCCAAGCATTGTGAAGACACCTGCCTCCTTGGCCTCCTGAGGCTCCTGCCTCCTCGGCCTGCTGAGGCGCTCACCTGTATGAGGCGGGGGCCTGGCAGCACAGCTGTCATTTCTGAAGCCGCATTAGCCCTCAGTGTTTGCTCCCGGTCGCATTAGCATCTTCATGAACACGCAGGCTTGTGTGTGTTTAGCCTGTTCCCCACCGGGCTAGATGCCAGCACTAGGCCCCATGTCTCTCGCTCTCTGTTGCAGGCACCACCTGGTGACGCCCTTGGTCTGTGCTCAGCAAGGTCCTGGAGGGCCCCGTGGCCGCTAGAGGTCCCCGTGCCCCTCTTGCACACAGCACCTCTCAGGAAAGGAGGGGATGGAGGGGGTGGAGGGACCAGGAGAGGAGAGAGGACAGCTGTGTGCACACGTGTGTGTTGTGTGTAAATTGGTGGTAGGTGTGGATGAATGAGGGCCTCAGACGCATCGAGGATCATGAAATCATGCCTAGAACTCCTCGTCCGCAACAGCAGAAGTTCTGTCCCCGACGTCTGCTCACTGCAGTTCTGTTCTCCGGCAGATCCTACCTGGCTGTCGACCAACCTGGGCATTCTGACCTGCATCGAATGTTCCGGCATCCACCGAGAGCTGGGTGTGCACTACTCCAGGATGCAGTCCCTGACGCTGGATGTTTTAGGGACATCTGAGCTGCTGGTAATTCCCCAGTCCTTCACTTTGGGCGGGACTTGAGGTCCTGAAAGCTGAGGGTTTTTTGGTTGGTTTTTTTTTAAGCTTTATTTTTTATGTATACAAGAGCTGGGGTACAGGCCAGAGGCATGGGAGGGTGAGAGGATTCACCAGAGACAGAGTGGGGAGTGGAACAGCAGAGAGACCGACAGCACTGCTGAGGGAGCAGCGGGCAAGACAGGAGAGGTCTGCTGCACCATGTGGGAATCTTCCTGGCTCGCCAGGAATTGAACCCCAGATGCAGAGGCTGCGGACAGCTTCACAGCGCTGCGCTCAACCCGCTGCGCCACCGGGGAGGCCCCTGAAAGCTGAGTTATTTTGGCATGAGAATCCATCTTGTGAGAATCCATTTTGTGAATGTGAGATTCCGCTGGGCTGGCAGGGGGCACCACGTTGCCAGATGGTCGTGGGCGACCAGAAGCGCGCTGCGGACTCCTCCCACCGGCTGCTGCTGGTTGAGGTGCTTCTTATTGCCAAGCTGAGTTCATGAGTGAATAAAATGAAGTCAGAAAGGAGGGTAGAGACTGGCCTGGGATTCTGCCATCACGTGCTGGCCCTGTCTGGTTCGCCCCAGACAGAGGCAGAGCCCAGGGCTCAGGCGGAAAAGGACTCGTCCTCCCAGACTCAGCAGCCGGCTTCTGCGGGACTGCGGTCACTCCTTGGCCCGAGCTCTCCCTCTGGGAGGGACCCTTCGGGAGGGACACTGGTCTTCGTTTCTACTGCCCATCTCCCACTCTCGTTCAGGGGTAACACAGGAGCCGCATGACGCAGGTCACGTTTGGACAGTGAAGCGTTTCTGTGATGTGACTTGCCAGTTTTCAAGACATACCATGCGGGGAGCTGCAGTGCTACCTGGAAGGGGGGCCTCGGGGACTCTGCTCAAAGTCCCTAGTTGCTGATTAGGTCAGAGGCGTGTTTGAAGCTCTTTCTGGGCAGTGCATATTAATTAAGTGGCTATTGAGCACCATTGATTTTAGTGTCAAGAGCAATAACCTTGACAGAAAATCAGTCGTTCTGGTCAGCACCCCCCGCCCCAGGGGCCTTGCATCTTACAGACGCCCACTCAGTCTGCATCTGAAGCTGAACTTGTAGTGCGTTTCCAGCTGTCTTGTCAAACACTTCCTGGCCCTTCCAAGGAAAGACAAGCTGAGATGAACTCAAGTGGGTTCTGGTGACTCCGTTAGTGGCACCCCTTTTCCATCAAGCTCCACACTGAGCTGCACTCAGTAAGGCCCACCCCCCCACGTCCCTGGCCACGCTTGGGCAGCAGCTGACATGCTATCGGCACCACGATGTGGAGCGTGTGCCCGCGGGCTGAGGGTGCTGAGAATGGCATAGGTCTGGGCTCCTTGCAGCCTGTTTTCCAACAAACCCAGCTTCTCAGTAAGCCCCCAGCCATGCTGCCGCTCCCGTCTGCTCAACTGAATGGACGCGCAAGGCAGCGTAAAGTGGTGATGGCTCGTTCTACCCCACACCTTGCACTGCTCTTAAGGGTGAGCTCACTTGCCCTCCATGACAGCCCTTTGACCTGGGTGTATCCTCCCCACTTTACAGAGGAGGAACTGAGGCTCTGAGTGCGTTGACACACCCAGTCATACAACTGCTGAGCCAGTCCTGGGGGGCCATGTCCCTGTGTTCCGATTCCAGAGCTCACCCTTCACCCAAGGTGTAAGCAGCCTCAGCAAGTCGTTACCTTATGGGGAGCACTCCTGTCTCTCCTCCCACCCCATCCCCCCACAGATGTCTAACAGCCAGCTCCTTGGGGAGCCCAGCCCTGTTCCCCTGACTGCTGGACCCATCTGAGGCTGTGGGTGTGAGCCACTCAGCGTGGAGGTGAAGAGGTTCTCCTCAGTAACTCACCTCACAGCTGCACAGTCACATCCCAAGCTCCACCAGTGACAGCTGCGGTGAAATCACTGGAAGTGATGAGTGTTGAGTATCTACTACTTTGTTTATAATGTAACTTATTTCAGTATGCGTTTATAGGGTGTAATTTTTAATAGTGGCCTTTAATAGTTGGCTCCCAGCCTGGTAGGAACCTGACCCAACACATCTGTTAGACCGGCTTAGACGTATCTCAGGAACGTAAGTGGTGATCTGGGGAGGAAGGCCCCAGCAGCCTTTGGAAGGGCTGCATCATCTCCGTCTTGACAGTGAGACGAGGTGACTTCTGATCCTGGCTCCAGTGTATTGCCTCTGTCTGTACAGTCCCTTAGACACTGTATGTACTCTGTCTATACAGTTTAGTTTAGAGTTTGAAGAAGTGATTTCTTCATCACCATTGAGAGCTGGCTGAGAATTGAGTCAGGCAGAGCCTGCTTAATCAATACCTGCAGATATTTTTAGCATCTAATTTCTGCCTTGGTTTGAAACGCTCCCTTCTCTAAGCCTCTTCCTCGATGGTTGTCAGAAAAACAAAGGGTCGCACATGGGTGTGGCCTGTCCCCACGTCTGCCCCAACCCCCTTTGCTGAGTGTGTGGGGATTAGGGGCGTGTCCTTGTGCCCAAACCCTCACTCCTCAGCCACCACGTTGAACAGCACAAGGAAGAGAAAATAACCCGGCACGGGCAGGACCCACCCTCATGCCACGGGAACGCTGCTCTGTGACAGGCACTGCTGCACCAGGGTCCTCTCAGGGCACCCTTGGGTCTGTCCGTCTTCATAAAGGCAACCACCTATCGCCTATTTCTCAGTGGCGAGGAAGCAGCCGGCAGGTGTCTGAGGCACGTGCCGTGGGCGGCGTTAATATTTGAGCGGCCTGTGTCCACTCTGTCTTTGCAGCTGGCCAAGAACATTGGGAATGCGGGCTTCAACGAGATCATGGAGAGCTGCCTTCCAGCAGAGGACTCGGTCAAACCCAACCCCGGCAGCGACATGTGAGTGCGGGGCTGCCCAAGCCGGGGCGGGGGGCATCCTCCGCTGCCGCGTCCTTAGCAGAGCCTCAGCCGAAGTGGTCCTGCTGTAGTCACTTTACCCCGTGGGTGTGCAGACGACCTGGCATGGCTGTTTTTCTTAGGAAGAGGCCACAGCAAAGCAGATGGGGGTGCCTGTGTCCGTGGAGGTGGTCATCGCCCTCTGCTGGTGGCCGGTGGCTCTCCCTCGCCCTGCCCGGCACGCCTGGCCGTCACTTTCCCATCCTGGTCCTCCCCACACCAATCTGAGCCTGTGGAAACCGTCCGTTGTCAGAGATGCGTGACTACGCACGTTCTCTTTCCCAGGCCCTTGCAAATGCGGTGTGTTGTTTCCTGCAAAAAAAAAGTTTTAAGTTTTAGTTTTACTGTCGGCACAAAACTTGGTTGAGAAGTTCTGGGGCATATCCGCACCCAGCTGGCCCAGTGGAGGGATTCCTGCCAGTCTTAGGGATGAAGCATAAATGGCCCAGGTCACACTGGCCTGTGAGTGGTGGACGGCCACCAGCTGCCCGGGCAGTGCATGTCCTGCCCACTTCAGGCTCCCGTGGCTTAGCTGCCCAGAGGCTGGTCACCGCTGCGGCCTGAGGCAGAGTGAGGCCAGACTATAGGACGGGGCGGAGTGTCCCCAGGCCAGGGAGGGGACGCACCGGTGCAGGGTGGGCAGCTGGGAGGAGAGTGTTCTGGCAGGGGAGTGGGGGGAACTGCCGAGGAAGTGGAAAGTCCTTTCACAGAGACAGCCCCTCCCTTGGGAGACTCCTGAGGCGGAGGTGCTGCAGGGCCCCGGGGTTGGCCACAGCCCAGCAGTTAAGAGGGAGCGGGGCCGTCCTCCTCCGTGACTGCCCGCCTGTGTCTGTGCAGGCGCCTCGCCTCGTTCTCTTGCCCTTAGCAAGCTTGCAGGGTGCTGATGAACGGGGGCAGGAAAGAGGGGCTTGACCCTTAGGCGCTGGGTTCGGGCCCTTTGTGAAAGCAGAGAACGCCGATTTTTGTAACAAGTCTGTGGGGCGTGTGGCTGGGAAGCTGAGCCCGGCTCCCATCCCGGCGCTCAGGTAACCGCATCCGGTAAAGGCGCTTACCCCGCAGGGAGGGGGGCACGGGCGGCGCGGCCGGCAGCCGCTCGGCTTCAGGCAGCTTAGGTGGGTATTTAGTGGGCGTTGGGGCTAAGTCACTTACGCTTGTGACCGTAGCAGAGGCTCGTGGTGTCGCATTCCCAGGAGCCTGGGTAATGCGAGGCTTCAGAGAGCAGGTGCGAGGCTCGTTAAGCAGCCCTTATCCCTTGGGGTGAGGCTCGAGTTTCAGATTGACCCAGAGAGGCTGCGTGGGGCTGAGGCCACAAGGCCGGGCGCCAGGGGCAGGTTCTCATTTTCCTGGTGGGGATGGAGCGAGCGCCCTCTCTGAGCCTGGGGGCATCAGCGGGCGAGGAGGCGGACAGGCAGTGGGTCGGTGTGGGCAGCAGAGGCCACAGAAGTTCCCGCTGATTCTGCACCTGAAAACGTAGGGTCGTCTCAAGTTAGGAGAGGGACCTGGGGGGCCGGCCCTCCCTGGCATATCCTGCTGGGTGAGAAGTCTGCGTGGCTGCGGGAGCACAACTCACCTGCTGGGAGGTCTCAGTTCCCACCTGCAGGGGCAGGCGACGCCATCCTCCCGGCGCAAGGAGGTTCCCTGCAGGCGCACCTCGCCGCGGGCCCGGCAGGCTCTTGGGTGTCCTCGCTGGACCGGTGCTGGAGGCCCTGCGCGATCCGCAGGTGATGGTGCTTGATTGCAGGAACGCGAGAAAGGACTACATCACCGCCAAGTACATGGAGAGGAAGTACGCCAGGAAGAGGCACGCGGACCACGCGGCCAAGCTGCACGGCCTCTGCGAGGCTGTCAAGATGAGAGACGTGTTCGGGTTGCTCCAGGCATATGCCGACGGCGTGGACCTGACGGAAAAGATCCCCCTGGCCAACGGACACGTAAGAGCGGGGCTCGCTGCTCTAGAGAAACAGAAAGGAGGGGGGGTTGGCTCAGGCAGTGGGGAGAGAACGCCGGCGAGGCCGTGCGGCTCAGCACCAGCGCCGCGGGGACAGACGGGCGGTTTATGCTTCCAGCCAGAGTGGGACAGTGCCAGCCCTGGAGAGAAGCCCCTCGGAGGCCCCCCCAAAGGAAGCCTGTCTTCAGCAGCGGGGTGCGGCTCCTGGGCCACCCCCCCGCAGCAGCTCCCTGAGTTATGGGGGCAGGGGGACAGCCTCCCTCAGGATGGGGTGCAGTCCTGATTGCCTGCCTGGCACCCTGTGGACGCTCACACTCCTTGGAAACCGCCACCCCCAGAATATGGGGCTGGGCTGAGCACCCCAGGAGCCTTTGCGTCAGCGTGAGGCCACGAGAGGCGGCGAAAGCCACACTGAGCTGTCCCGGCCGGAGAATGGGGCAGCCTGGGCTGGAAGAGCAGGCAGTGCAGGTGGCATTGGGGTCACCCCCTCTGCCTAGGTTCCCCGTTCCCGGATCTTTCCTCAGCCTGCAGCCCTCTCCCCCACCAACCTCCTAAAGTACCCCCTATTGGGTTTCTCCCCCACCTGCCAGAAGTTGCTTTCAGGAAAGGCAGCAGGGCCACTGCCCAGCACAGGGTAGAGTGGCAGGGGGCTGGCGCCGCCGCCCCTATAAGGAGAACGTGGAAAGATCTGAAGAGAGCACCCACTGGCAGGCAGCACCTCGAGTTGTGTGTAGGGACAGGGACACAGAAACGGAGGGGACTTTGGAATGAAACCCCTGAATTTCTTGCTTGCCTCCCATGAAGAGATGAGCAGTGGGACCGACCTCTAGCGCGTGTTCCCAGGGCAGAGCCTGTGCATGGAGATGAAGGTGCTGCAGAGCTTGGAGTGGTGTTTTGGGGAAGAGCGAAGAGGAAAGGGGTGCACGATTCCTCTTGTGGGGGACCCAGGGTTGAGTGTTGCTGTGGGGTTCTGGAATGTTCGTTCCTCTCTGGTTTTCAGGAGCCAGATGAAACAGCCCTGCATCTCGCTGTCAGATCCGTGGACCGGACTTCCCTTCACATCGTTGACTTTTTGGTTCAGAACAGGTGAGTGTCCTAAAATTAGGGGAAGCGTCAGATTTTGCCCCTTGGTGTTTGTAAGGGAGGAAGCAGGCATCATTGCTTCAGGTGAGTGGCTGAGACTGGGTAACTTCCGGGGTCTAAAGTTTAATTTTTGGGACCAGGATGATGTTGCCTGGCCTGGGGTGTTCCGGTGTAGCCCTCCACACGCCCTGGAGTGAGACAGAGACCCTTGGGGGACATGCAGGGTCCAGCTTCTACTGGCCAGGCCTCAGGGAGACCCCCAGTCCATGCACCTGCTGAATTCCAAGCCCCTAGCTCTGTCTGGGGTCCCACAAGACCCAAATAGGGTGCCCTGAGCAGAGGGGAGCAGTAGAGGGACTCACAGATCCAGCTGAGATGGTAAACCAGGACTCCGGGGCGTAGACCACTGCTTGGTTGGAGAACTTGACTTCATCCTTGAGTCAGAAGTTGGCTTTGGAGGGGCGTGCGGTGCACTCGGCACTGCATGGTCTCTGCGGCCTTCTCGGTTCCGCTGCTGTGCTGCTTTGCCTGCTGGCAGCTGAAGCTGGGCTTGAAGGCCTGTCCAGGTGACACTTGACTCTCTGCCCCTGCCGGGATGGTGTGCAGGAGGAGAAGCCTTTAAAATTGTCCCACGTGGAACAGGAGATGCTGCCATGCCCAAGTGGGGGCACTTCTGCCTTCCCTGCCTTCCCTGCAGCAGGGGTGAGGAAGGGCTTGGGCGGAGGGGGTGGGGGGTCGGCTAGGCCGCCCTCATGGAAACTGCTCAGAGGGTCTGGATGCCTGCCCAGCACTGGCACGGGGGGGCCCCCGACCTTTGACTTAATCCCCAGTGATGGCTCCTCCCTCAGGGTGAACTCTCAGGGGCAAAAGAAGAAAGTTCTGGTTTCTGTTCCAGATTGAGAAGAGGAGCAATCAGAAAACATGGCTATTTTTACACTGAAAGCTCCCATGGGGCGCTGGGGCGTCACCCTGGTGGCCACCACACTGTCCCACTGTATATGGGGGCACTGCCCCAGTGTGATGGTGGCACAGTTCAGGGCTACTTCGCCAGTGAGCCAAATGTCAGGTCTACCTTAGGGTGCTCCAGCACCTATTAGGCCACCTGGCTTGGCTGACGTTGGAAGAACTGATCCCTCCTGCCCTCCCCTGCCTGCAGCATGTGAGCGCGTCTGATGGGGGACACTGAGCATGAGATCCCCACAGACCCATGTGCCACCCTGACCCCACAGCTCTGGCCACAGCCTGGCCTCCTGGTCTCCTGGGCAAGGCCCCGCGCCTCGATGAACAGAGCTGTTCGGGAACATCCCAGAAGCCTGGGCGGGGTAACGTGGCTCTTCTAGTGCCTTTTCACTGCCTGGACATCACGGCCTGTTTCCATGGCTCTTGGAACTACCTGTGGAAGACGCGGCCCCGCTGAGGTCATGCAGGAAGCCACAAAGTGGGATGATTCTGCCCCCCAAGCATCTGCTTCTAAGAGCCGCTTATGGAATCCGATCAGCTTAAGAGAGGACTCATTTTTTAAACGTTTCCGGGTTTTTGCTGGTGGAAAGACTGTTTTTTACGTTACACTCAGATAAGGAATTTAAAAGGGGAAAAAGAAAAGAAGCTCTTTCTCCTACAATCCCCCCATTAGCCTGTGTTTTAGGGGCAGTCTGAGGGGGCCCAGCTCAGGGGAGCCTGGAGATGCTGGACTCGCAAAGGGGCTTTCTCCTTGGGAGGGTGTCAGGATTAGGGGGCTCACGCCTCCCCCTGGTGCTTGGCCCTCTGGCCCGTGACTTACGGCTCCTTCTCTGGCTCTGCCTGTGCCCGCAGTGGGAACCTGGACAAGCAGACGGGGAGGGGCAGCACGGCCCTGCACTACTGCTGCCTGACCGCCAACGCCGAGTGCCTGAAGCTCCTGCTGCGGGGCAAGGCCACCATCGAGATAGGTGAGCCCCCACTTCCACGGTTTCTCCATGGGGAGAAGCTAGTTCACCCCGCCCCCCGGTCCAGCCTCGGGCCCCCACCTCCAGGCAGCCAGCAGGCCTCGCCAGCCGAGATACCTGCTGCGAGCGGGTCACCAAGAAGTATTTTTGAAAAACTGTTGAATGAAGAGCAAGGAGGTAGAAAAAAGTCCAGCCCTGCTGGAGGGCCAGGTCCAGCCACAGCAGGTGATAGTCAGACTCCGGAGGCTTGTTTAGAAGAAAGTTCAGGGCTTCAGAGGGAGGGCGCTGAGGAGGCCGCGTGGGGCCTCCAAGAGCTGGGCCCAGGCCTCGGGCAGTGACTGGCAGCCAGGTGTCGGGGTTCACACCTGTCTCATCATGCTCACCTTAGCCTGCATGGGCTGCGACCTGCCCCTACTGAGGCAGCCTCAGCCGTGACTGGGTGGGCCCTGACTTGATGAGTCACGTGCAGCCTCACTGACCCCTTCCTCGCCCACCCCTTAGCCAACGAGTCGGGGGAGACGCCGCTGGACATCGCCAAGCGCCTGCGGCACGAGCACTGTGAGGAGCTGGTGAGTGTCCATGCAGCGTGGACAGTGAGGGGCTGCGCGGCCACCCTCTGAGGAGGACTTTCTGGGAGCCTCTGGGTGCAGGCCATGTGCGGTACCTAATGCCCTCGGGGAGCACTTAGCGGGTGGCTGGAGAGGAGGTGACTGCCTGCTCCTGGGGGGCTTGCTGGAGCATGTGCTGGGCATGGCTGGGCAGCACAGCTGGCTTCACCACATGTCCTCTGAGGTCTCTGAGCTGTCAGCTTACCCCTAAGCCACAGCACCTCAAAGCTGGCTTTCTTCTTGCATTACCCACCCCCAAATCATACAGTAGTCCTGTGCCATCTTCTCCTGTTGCGGAAGAGTTGCTGGTGCGGCCAGTGGACAGGCAGACCTGGATTTGCACTGGGAAGTCCCAGCAGCACCGTCCACTCTGCCCGCAGCTGTCAGTGGGCTCTGAGAATTATTGTTGGGCTTGAAAGCATTGGTCACTCAGCGGGAGCCCGATGATACGCTCCTGAGGCGATGCTGTGGAGTGCAGGCCAGGGGGGCGCTGCCCTAGGCCTTCCACCTCTGTTAGCTCGTTCACTCTCCAGCGCTGCCTCGGGACAGGGTTTTCCCCGTTTTTCCCATTTTACATGTGAGGAAATGGCACAGAGAGGTTAAGTAATTTACCCAAAGTCACACATCCCCAGCCTCTCAGCTACTGTCTGGCCTTGGAGAGGAGCAGGCCCTTGTGTCCTGACACCTGTTGCAGCTGATGAATCACACTCTCTGTGCACCCAGAATGCTCTCCCTTGCCTGGGAACCGTACTTTACAGTCTCGAGGCACCATGGGCCGAGCTGCAAGGGTTGTCCGTGAGCTGGGGCCTGGGCTGCGTCGCAGCTCAGCTGGCCATGGGTGGGCGAGCTGCCCACATGACCTGCCTGCGGACCACATGACCTGGCAACGTCCCTGACCCACTTTATCCTCCTCAGCTGACCCAAGCCCTGTCGGGGAGGTTCAATTCCCATGTCCACGTGGAGTACGAGTGGCGGCTGCTCCAGGAGGACCTGGACGAGAGCGACGACGATGTGGAGGAGAAGCTGCAGGTTTGTGTGGGTGGGGCCTGTGGGGGCCACGGCCAGCACCACCCCCAGGCCGGGCAAGGCGCTAAAGTACTGGCCTAAAGTACCGCTGTCCGTGGCAGCAGCTGGAGCAGCTGGACAACAGTAAGCCAGCAGCGTGCTGTGTGCCAGGAAAACCTTTGCAGCAGCAGGTGCAGGCCAGGCCATGGCTTGCTCGCCCCCAGTTAGGGGAGTTCCGGGACTTCCAGCTCATACAGGAAGACACCATGGATCCTGACTGTCGGGGTGGGTGCAGCCGGGGTCCCAGAGGGCTCCTGTACTATGACATAAGGACCACGTTTATGAAGGGCAGTGCAGGGCTGGACCAGGACGCAGGCTCACGAGGACTAGCTCACTCTGTTTAAAGCCTTCACGGAATGGAGACTTGTACCTTGTAAACCATGGCTTTCTGTGGCGTGTGTGTTTCCGTAAGAGACGTGATAAAAGCAAGTGACCGTCTGGAGAGCCAGCGCCCCCAGGCCCAGGCAGAGTCGGTGCCCTGAGGTCATCCCCAGAGGTCACGTCCTTCTTGTAAGTGTATCTCACGCTCTGCCTGTCCCCCTCCACAGCCCAGCCCCAGCCGGCGAGAAGACCGGCCCGTCAGCTTCTACCAGCTAGGGGCCAGCCAGCCTCCGTCCAACGCTGCGTCCTTGGCCAGAGACCCCGCCGGCCTGGCCAAGGACAAGCAGAGGAGTTTCGCGCCCAGCCTGCTGCAGAACGAGACGTACGGGGCTGTCCTAAGCGGCAGCCCGCCCCCCGGCCAGCCCGCGGCCTCCGGCGCCCCCCCGCTGCCCCCACGCAATGTCGCCAAAGGTACTGGGCTATTGTGGCTGTGGCTTGGAGGTGTGGTTGTTTTTGCCGTAGATGCGTGTGTTTGCTTTGCCCTCGGCTGATGCAGGTTGGGGTGCTGGCCTCCACTTGGGGTCTTCGTAGCTATCTGGTTCGCATCCTAAAGAGATCCACCACGTGCTGGATGGTGGTGGAGCGGCTTGCCTTTGTTCATGATTTGGGGAACACAGGGACCCCCCCCCAGGTGGGCCTGGGCTGGGGCAGCTCTGGAAGCTGGTCCCCACAGTGTTTCCCTGCAGACTCTCTTGCCCTTTTCTCTCTGCTTTTCACCCCTCCCTTTGGCCTGGTCAGCTTGCAAAATACCTGTGATTAGTTCTTATCTCTACGATCCCCACGGAGTAAAGGATAAAAAGATGCCAATTTGGAGAACAGTACCCAGCCTTGTGAAAATACGGACTATTTCCTGTGGAGTGTTCCCTTCAGTGCCAGCCCTGTGACACCCACCCCAGCCACTGTCACGGTGGCAAGAGGTGGAGTTTCTTGTTTTATCAAAATAGAAACTGAGGTCCCTAACAGTGAAGTCACAGTCCCTGGCCGCTGTGCTCCTTGAAGGCAGGTCCAGAGACTGGTCAGCTGGGCGCTGGGCTGGGGCTGCCAGCCATGGCCAGTTGGCCACCAGGGGGCGTCCAGGGGCAGCAGGGACAGGGGCCTCCACGCGACAGGGATTGAGGGTGCTCTGGGCAGCTGGCACCAAATAATCAGCCCCAGTGGTATTTGTGCAGGAGCTGCTCTCTGGGCAGGAGTGCCGTGAGGGGCGTGGCCGTGCTACCAGGTATGGACTGAGGGGCGAGGACGGCAGCCCTCATCCCGGGACAGTGCATCCTCGCTCTCAAGACCAGCTTACCCAGCCCTGCCCCGGCACTACCCTTCAGAGCACACCCACTGAGAGGAGGGTGGGACACCAGGGCCCCCGAAGCCCCTACCCCTGCCCCAGGGGCAGTCCCTGCACCTCGGCCTGCTGGGGAGGCCCAGCACGGATGGAAGCTGCAAGCTCAAGTCCACAGCGACCCTCCCTGTCACCTGGCGGGTAGCCGGCGGAGCCAGGCAGGGAGGACAGCAGGCAGCTGGGCCCTGGTCAGGGCGTCTCACACCTCCCAGCCTCCCCCCACATCCTGTGTGCAAGTGTTGATTTCGTAAGGCTGAGTACAAGCAACTTGGTCATCTCCAAGCCCCCACGGGGCCTCTTACGCGTGTTGTGTGGAGGAAAGTTCTGTTGTGGCCGAGCTGTAGAAAAGCAGCGGAAAGCTCGTCACCACCATTGCCTTCAGAGCTCTTGGAATGAGGAGTCTTGACTCTTCCCGTTTCTTTGTGCCTTTCTGTGTTGAGCTTGCTTTCTCCCTCTGCTGACGTGGGGTACACGTCCTCCCTGCAGGCCCCGCGTGGCCCCCAGGTCTCCGTCCCATCCACACTCTGTCCCGTCCCCACAGCAGGTGAAAGAGACCTCAGGTGTTGTCAGACTGGGCCAGACCAGATCTTGCCCACTGCAGTCGTGGAGGGCGTCCGAGGGCCCGGGGCTTGGCCGGGGCGGTAGGACCCACCTTGGTCTCTCTGTGCCATCCTGGACACGGTGTCCTGAGGCCCCAAAATCCCGTGCCCTGAGACCTTGGACCTCAAGGCCCTGATGCCTGAGACAGATCTGGGCGGTGGAGGGCGCTGTGACCGAGGCAGTATCATCCCCCAGGGTCCCTCCTGAACCCCAGGTGTCACCTGTGCTGACCGGCCAGAAATACATCGGCAGGGGGTGGGGCAGTGTCTGACCTGCCCCCTTCTCTCTCCCGCTCTGGGTGAGGACAGGGTGGGCCCTGCCAGCCAGGAGGGGACTCGCGCAGGGGGAGGAGCAGGCCACAGACACCACGAGGCGCGCTCCCGGCCCGGCGTGCTCCTTTCCTCCTCTGTCCCGTGCGTGCTGTCAAATCAGAAGCGCTCAAAGTTCAGTGAGGATGAGACAACCAGCTGGGGATGTCCCCGGAAGCCTCCTTGCTTCTTCCACTACACCAGGGGCGAGAGTTTTAGAGCCCAGCGTTGGGTCGCGGCTGCTCACCGTTCTGGAAGGGTCGTGTTTGCCGCTTTATGGGGGAGAGGATCAGTAACGCCGTCTTCTGTTTCTGTTTTTGTTCTGTGCGCGTGTGCATGCCTGTGTGTGTGCACGTGCGTGTGTGCATGCGTGTGCATGCGTGTGCAGTTCAAACAGCCTGCTCAGCTAACGCCGTGTGGAAGACAAACTCTGTAAGTGTGGACGGTGTAAGCAGGCAGCGATCTTCGTCAGATCCGCCAGCTGTCCACCCACCGCTGCCCCCTCTTCGCCTGGCATCTACCAGTACGTTTTTCCTTTTTCCTTTTCGCCCGCGGGCTCTGTAGGTGTGGATGGCTGGGGTGCTGTTGGCCGCCGAGTGGGGGAGAGCCTCGGGCCGAGGCCCAGACTCCGCCGAGCCACACGGGGCCAACGGTGGCTCCTCCCCAGGCCCCACCCTTGCAGACACTCCTCCCCGCCGCACAGACCCCTCTGCCCTGTACCCCCACCCATGGGACTGCTCCTCGCTGCTCCCCGCTGGCGCCTGCCTTCACGCATTAGCCCCGGGCTCTGTTTCCTAGGCTGCTGGTGCTCCTCAGTATGGGGCGTCTCTGGATTATAATCTGGCACGTGTGCTTCTTCCATGTCCCAGAACGGGGGGCAGGGGTGCTTGTGCCCCGGCATGCAGGGCAGGAGCCCCTGACAGGGTCGGTGTAGCCCTGCCCCGAGGTCCCGCCTCTGCAGGGCTCTAGACAGAGAAGCCCTGACAGTCGTTTCGAGGTTTCCCGAGTGGGACGATAGATGCGCAGCCCAGCTGCAGCGGGTGCCGACGGCCTGCGCCCGTGACAGAACAGGGCACTGTGTCGGGGTCTCCGGAGGCTGGGGGGCCCCTGCCTCGACCTGGCATCCTCTGAGCTGTTGGGTTTTTGTGGTAGATTTTTATAGTCTTCTCTTTGTTCTCCTTCAAAAGAGAAAAAGAAAACAAGAATTAAAATAAGACCTGGGGGAGTCCTCCTTGCCCGGGGGCACCTGCCCCCTGGCCGGGCCAGCAGGGAAGCTCTACTTCTTGGGTGTCAGCGCCTGCCGAGGCGGCTGTCCTCCACAAGGACCCCGGGATGAGGATGCGGGACTTCAGGGAGAGCCCCGATGCTCGCGAGAGCAGACCGGAGGGAGGCCTGGCTAAGACCCAGCCTGTCTGACCGGCTGTGACCCCACGAGAGGACCTGAGCCTCAGTGTCCGTCCTGTCAGTCAACGGTGGGGACAGGCCGCCCACCTCCCAGACCCTGGAGTCTTCCAGAATTCCCGTCAAGAGCATTCCTAGGTTGACCTGCCTCGCAGCTGGGGAGGGGGCAGGGCTCAGGGGAGGCCGAGGCACAAGGAGACTTGCCCAAGAAGGCCTGTCCCCCAGGGGCAGGAACTCGGCCAGAGGGGCCCAGACCTCAGCCCCCCGGATGCCGTCCTCCAGGGCGCGGGAGAGACCAGAAAGCCAAGAAGATGCTCACGGGCTCAGAGAAACATCTGAGTGCGGATTTGTGATGGTCAGGGGCCTTGGGAGGGACCCCAGCTGTGACTCCTTAGTGCCTGGACCTGGCGGTGGGACAGCAGCGGTCCCCCCGCCCCCCAGGACAGCAAGAGGATGACGCACCCCGCGGCACCTCCCGCGCTCACCTCTGCGTTTCTGTTTCCTCTCTGCAGATCCTCTGGCTCCCACCCCACCCCCTCCGGTGGCCAAGACACCCGGCGTGGTGGAAACCCTGAGCCAGCAGAGCAAGCCGGCCCCGCCTGGGGCTCCCCTGAGCAAAGCTGCGCCCCCGCCGCTGCCGCCCCAGCCGCCCAGCCGGCTGCCCCAGAAGAGGCCCACACCCGGGTAACCCCCTGCCTATGGCCGAGGCCCAAGCCTGGCCACCGGCTGCCCTGCTGCTTGCATTTGGGGAGCCTCCAGCAGCAGCCCCAGTTCCTCCTCTGCTGAGGTTTCTGTCCGGACACCGTCCCGCGGTAGCCCTGCTGTGACGTGGACGTCCGGCTTTGCACGATGGCTTCCTCGGGTCTCGGGGTCTGAAGGAACTTCCCGGCGTCTTTGACCTGTGAGGTCATCCTGCAGAAGGGTGTCGCGCAGCTGCGTCACGAGTTCTGGTTTCCGCTGAGCACAGGGGGTTGGGAGTTAACGTCCTGGAGCTGTGAGGCCTCTGCCTTCTGTCTGTCGCTCGCTGGCGAAGTCATCTTGAGCACATGGGGCTCTGGGTGTGGGGCGGGGTGTTCCCTGGGAACAATAAGCCAGCGAGGTCAGGAAGCGCGCATGGCTAACCTTCAGCTTCTCACGCGTCCTCAGTGTCCTGACCGCCAGGGGCCCGGGTCAGTGCAAAGTGGCTTCTCTCTGTGCAGATGAAAGTGAGAAACTGGGACCTGGTCTGTGTGTGCTGGTCCTGGTCCCTGTCCCGGTCAGAGTGTCCCTGTCCCTGGGGCTGTGGGGTTGGTGTCAGTGTTGTCACTGGCCGGGCGAGTCCCCAGGCTTCCCTCACGGGCCAGCTACAGTAGCCCCAGGGAACCCGCCTAGAGCCCTCTCAGCTCCCCATACCACACTGGTGCTCGTCCCTATTTGGGAGGTGACAGAATTGCTGTCACACCTTTCGTAGGTGACGGTGCTAACTCCCAGGAAGCCATCTCTCTGGCCAGCCATGGTCACTCTTAAGTTAATAGACTCCCCAGTGCTGGCCCAGAGGCTCCCGGGGAACCCAAGCCATGGTCAGCCACCCGGCACAGGGCCACACAGCATGGAGGTGGGGGTGACGCCTACTCCTGGTGCCCAGACAGGTCCTGCCGTCATTGGCCCTGGTGTTGAGCCAGCCCTGTCCTCAGACATGAGAGACCAAGGCCCTTGAGGGGCAGGGATGAAGCTGATGGGCTGTGTTCAGCCCCCAGCCAGACCTGGGTTCAGCGTTGCTCTCCGGGCCTCTTCCTTTCTCCAAAGCCAGGCAGTTGAAAGGCAGTAGATAAAATCACTCACCCGGTTCCAGCTTGCACGGTTGGCCCCTCGCAGCAGGGAGGGGAGTGGCAGCAGGGCGTGGCTTTCTGGCCTCAGTGTCCGAAAATCTGTTTCCCTTCTTTGCAGGGTGGACAAGTCAGCCCCACTGATCAACAAAGGCCAGCCCAGAGGTCCTGGTAATGACTTAATTCGGAACTGGGGTTTCTCCTGCTTGCTCTTGGGTGGCTAAGTGGGGACATTTCCAGCCGTGGTCAGCCCAGGGTCAGGGCCCAGCTGTCCCCTACATGGCCAGTGCCCTGCCCCAGGCCTGTGGCTGCTCTACCTGGTGCCCACCCAGCTGGGGGCAGGGCCCGGGGCCTGTGTAGCAGGCGGCCCCCTAGGCGCCCTCTTGTGTCACTGGCCCCAGCAGCTCTGAGGGTGGTGTGGAACTCGCCTGGCTCTGGCTTTTAGGGGACTTTTCCCTCCAGAGACCAGAAGATCCAGGAGCCTTGCCTTTCAGACAGATGAGTCTTGTCTATGAGAGGTTTGTGTCTGGTGGTGCTGATTGATGGGCACATTGTGAAGTTGGTTCATTTTGACCCCATAGCAGCAGATCCCTCGGGAACAGAAGCCCTGGGTGCTCTGTCCAACACGGTGGTCCTCCAGCCCCCGGCGCCCATGCCCAGGAAGTCACAGACGGTCAGTGCACAGCCCTCCTCTCTGCCTCTGCCCTGGCGGGAGTGCACGGGTGGTTTCTGGGGCTCTGAGGCAGCAGGTCTTTCCTGCCTATGCTGGCTGGGGTGCAGGAGGCACCTTCCTGGGGCCTTGGCTCTTTGAATCTCGGCTCCGGACGGAGCCTGTGCACGCCCACTCCTGCTGCCGCGTTCCCAGCAACCCGCTGTCAGCCTGGGTCTCTTCCCTGTTCCCATCCACCTGCTCCTAGAGGCCCTGCAGCCCTGAGACCACCCATCTTGATACCCCCGGGCTCCCTGTGCTGCGTCCGGGACCCTTGGGACCAGCTGGAAGCCAGACGGCCCAGTTCTGTGCCCCAGGAGCTGACACCCCGCCACACTAACCTTGCCCCCCGCCCCATGCAGACCAAGCTGAAGCCCAAGAGGGTGAAGGCCCTCTACAACTGCGTGGCCGACAACCCGGACGAGCTGACCTTCTCCGAGGGGGACGTGATCGTCGTGCTCGGGGAGGAGGACCAAGAGTGGTGGGTGAGTCACGGCTGGGCTGGGGAGGGCCTTGGAGGGGCAGGGCTAGTCCCTGCCCACCTGGCCTGAGAGGGGAGTCCCTGGCGCAGCTTCCTGCACGTGCATCCTGGGGCCTCGTCCGCCGTGCCCCTGCAGTCCCTGGTGTCTCTTCAAGTACAGCCGCTGCTGAGGGGCCTCATGTATCCCCCGTGGGTTCCTCCCACCTTAGGCCATCTGGGCTGCAATTTCCAGAGCATACCTGAGTCTGAAGTGAGGTTCCTGCATCTGACGCCTTGAGTTCTAGGTGGTACCATCCCCCCCACATCTCTAGGGAGAGTGAGGGTTGTAGAAGGAGCGTAAGCAGCGTATCTACAACAGCCAGGACGCGGGTCACTGAAGTGCCTACCTGCAGAAGGTACTGCCGTGCACGGAACATCGGCAGCCACGAGCAAAGACAAAATGCTGCCGCCAGCATCAGGAAGGCGCCCGGGGGAGGATGTCAGCCGGGCTCACCGGGGACAGAGACCAGTGTGGATGTCTACGCAGCGGATGATTCGACAGAGCAAAATAGTTTCTGAAAACCAGCAGAAGCTAAGAAGCACAGTGAGGTTTTGAGGTTAAGCAGGGAGTGGGAGAAAAGGTCACAGGCACAGAAGGCTGGCAGGAAGGATACACAGAACGTCGCCCGCAGGAAATGGCAACGTGCAGCGGCGAGGAAATTCAGCTCCAGACTGTCTTGGCGTGAACCGCAGCTGGGCTGTGGGCACGCAGGTCCGGAAAGGTGGGAAGGGCGCCGGGTGAGGCGAGGAGGGCGGAGGTGTCGGGCGCCCCCTGCAGAGCTCGTGCTACAGGGCCGTGAGGAGACGGGGCCTTCAAAACAGAAAGGGCACCCAGAGGGCAGGGTCCTGGGTGGCAGCTCAGCTGGAAGCCGTGCCCTCCAGGTGGGTGCTGGAGCAGGGTGTGGGGCATGGGGTTCCTGATGACCCTTACGAGCAGACGCAGCAGCACAGGCGGCCAGTGACCGGGGCAAGTGGCTGGCGTCGCTAAAGCTCGGCAGGCTGGGGAGATGGGACAGAAAGATGGGGAGAGCGCGCAAGAATGGTGAGCTCAGCCACGAGTGGTCACCCGGGCAGCGGCTGCCACACCCATCTCTGTGAAGGGAGCTCTGGTGATGTGAGGGGCAGCTAGGACCCGTGGGGCCCCTCGGCCTGTCCTCACGGAGCTTCTACCCCTGCCTCTAGCACAGCTGGGTTCCGGCATCTTCTTGTGGGTCGTTTCCCCTTGAAGGTCAACCTGGCCACATGCAGTGCAGCCAGGAGCGGGTGCTGCTCCTGCCCGCTGCCCCTGCCGGATAGTCCCTGGGCAGGGACGGCAGTGAGTGCCCAGCCTGCGTGGATGGCACCTGCCTGGGTGGTGGGAGGGTCGTCCCTCCCTGACGACCCACAGCCCCAGGACCTGACATGGCCCCCAGGGGCCCACCGTGAGGACGGCCTCCAGCAAGCCGGGCATCTGGGAAGCACCTGTTCATTGCGGGACCTGAAAACACAGACAGGTGCAAAGAAGGAAGTAGACGCTGCCTGTAGCGCAGCCACCCCCACCAAAGACTAAACCCAGTGTCTCTAATTGGGCGACTTTGTCTTAGGTTTTTATTTAATGACATAATGTGCATTGTTGGGATCATACTGGATGTATAATTTGTATCATTTACCCAGAGGGAAAATGAAGGGGCTTCTTAAAGTCTTCCTTAAAGACTGAGTTTAAATAGGGCCAAAATAGAGGTTTGCATCTCCCAAGCTCCAGACACGCGGCTTCTCCATCGTCCCCAAACAAGGCAGGCGGGGGCACTCGGGGTAGCTAGCTGCCTGTCGCCCGGGCTGCCAGACCCACGCCAGGGTGCCTGTGCCCCTTCCTGCCCGCGCCCGCGCGCCTCCAAGGTGAGGCTCCCTCCAACCCAGCCTGTCCTTCCTTTCAGATTGGCCACATCGACGGCGACCCCAGCCGCAAAGGCGCCTTCCCTGTGTCATTTGTGCACTTTATCGCGGACTGAGCCGCCGCCGGAGCCCCCTCGCCCGCGTCCCGCTCCCACCGTGCGTCGGTGCCAGACTCCGGCCAGAGCGCCGTCCCCCGCCTCTCCGCGCCCTCCTCCCCCGGTGCCGCCGCCCTTGGGGAGAACTCGGAGGCAATTTATAGATACATATATAAATGGATCATTTTTTATCATTTGTGGTTTTCATGAAACATTGCTACACTTTATTAGGAAAACCTGAATGTCCCAAAGGTGAACTGAAAAGTGCTTTTTAACAATGTGACCGAGATCCCGAGTCTAGAATGAGCTGCCCCTACAGTCGCCTTTGTGGCCTGGCATAAGTTCACCCTGCCCCGGCCCCGTGCAGCGGGCAGCCTTTATGGACGTGGTCTTAGGAAGCCAGGCTTTGGAAGTCCTTAGCATAGTCCAGAAAGTTCTGGACGTTCTAGAGAAAATGTTTCAGTTCACCTTTAAAGGTTTTTTTGGTTTTAAGACTGCCTTTGCTCTCCACCCAATGTCATTTCCAGCAATCTCCAGACGTGCGGGAGGCTCCAGCCTCCGCGGTGCCCCGCATGCTCCCAGCCTCTTGCGAATCCTCCTTCACAACACCACACGGCGGCGGTTCCTGACGCCCAGGGCGACTGCCGTGCGCTTGGCCCACGCCCACTCCAGCCGTGTTTCACGAATTTGGTTTCAAACTAAAGATAATAGATTATGAAGCATTTCTCTCAGCTAGTTTTTATACATTAGGTGTTTTGGAATTTGCCTTCTAGAACTTCCTTAATCACTCAGAAAGTTGTGCACAGCTTGAGCCCTGGCCACGCGCTGTTAACACTCCCTCGCTGCTCACCATGAAGTGTGCCACTGCCTGCCCGTTCTAGCTCCTGAGAATGTGTGACTCAGTTTAGTGTCTTGTGTTTATATAATATGCCAACAGGAATGGTAGTTACACTGTCTTGATGTTTAATCTGTCGTTTGTTCATAATCCAGAATGTATCCAAAATCCGTAGGTCCCCAGGTGAAAAAACACTCCCCAGTACCCCGGTTTTGCTATTTAAGTACAGCATATTGTTCAGAAATTTAAACTATGGGGGGTGGGAGGCTCGGTCATGTGTGCTAAACTCAGAATTCATTATTTCAGTGGCCTTTTTACACCCCCGTTTAGTCCCCGCAAGCCTGATTGGTGGCCGGAGTCCTGAAAACATTACTCTGGGAATAAACAAGCGTGTGATGCCCTCTTGGATTTTACCAAAAGCAAAGGAATAAATTTTAGCATATAGGCTTGGAAAGCGAGGCCAGGCGCTTGTATTGAGTTTATAATCATGGTACAGTTGATTGAAGCAGCCTGTCTTTATTATACAAGACTTGTTAACATAGAGTTGTGGGGGGTTTTGGTTTTTTGGGGTTTTTTTTGGTTGATTTTTTTTGGGGGGGGCATTGTATTTTTTGTTACTATTATAGAGGAAGACAGAACAAACTGGAATGTTTTCTGATATGCCGCGATTGCTTTTGCCTTAGAAGTTCCGAGTAAAAATGTGTTGGTTCTATAATTAAAGTCCTTTTTAAAGCACTACATCTATTTTCACTAATTGTTCATGTCTGCCCAAGCCCTTCACTGAGGTCATTCTCTCATAGACCTAGGAAAGTAAACAGAAACTTTGCAGAGGGCACCTCCTATGTATGATCTACCATAGCCCTCTTTGACTCGTAGCCATCTTCAGCTTTGGCTACCTGGTGCCAGCTACGTAAGGAATCACAGTGACTCAGATCGACATTGGAATGTCCCAACCGAATCTGTCAGGTTCACTGGTACAAAATATCTAGGAACTGTGTTTCCACTCTACAATTTGGTGGTGCTATTGTGCAGTCATCAAGATTCCTCGTGCCAGAGGAGAAATGTTCACTTCCCTGCTAATAGCTTTTCCTAGTTATTTGCTCTTTGCAAATTAAAAAAAAGGAAACTGAAAGGAAAACATTGTAGATACCTATTTATATTTGAAGTTTATGTTTCCTGACCTTAGCTGCAGGATCCTGGCATCTGGCCCTGTCCCATCAGACCCGCTGGGGTGAGGGCCCAGGCGTGGACGCAGACAAGCCACCGAGCGGCTGTGGGGGGCGGGGGGCTGCGAGCCCCGCGGCCTGGAGCGTGCGCTGAGATGTACGATACTCAGTTCGGTCACTCGATTCCTTCTGTCCAGTGGCAGCGCAACTGTATATACTGTATAACCTAAATCAATTCTTATTTTCATTGTCCTTGATGCGGTGATTTATAACTAGAGCATGTTTAATGGACTTACTCTTCCTGTTAGTCATTTGACTGGAAAAAAATAAATACTTTTAAATGGACTTGGCGTTAATTTTTGTTTTTAATGTCTAAAGCATGCTATGTGAAAAGCATCCTTTAAAAGAGACACTAGCCTACTTACCGTATGTGAGGGTCTTTAAATACTATTGCTGTTAACAGGAGCGGTACCCTGGTAAGGTTCTCTGAACCCAAGATAAGCACAGCTTGCAGCCTACGTCACCCTGACCGCACGCTACGAAGGCCGACTTTGTGTCTTGAATTGGCAGAGCCACTGTCCCCAGCCAGCCTGAGCTGCTGCCCGCCAGATCCAGACCAGACGCCATGCCAGGGAGGCCCCCCTCCCGCAAACTGCTGCAGGACAGCCCAGAAAGTTCCCGGTGCGTCCCCCTCACTGCGTGCACGTCTGTGACACTAGTGCCAAGCGTATTGGTGGCTAAAAGTCACAAATGAGGTTTCCTTTTTAGTCCCAGAAAAGAAGAGACTTCATTGAGAGTCAATTCACTCTTAACAAGACACATTGTAACAGAAAAACAAATGATCAATATTTTATACATTGCGTTTATTTTGGGAAATCTAGAGCAAGGGATAACTTTACGTTTCTGTAACAGCTCAAGTTACAGACTGAAAAGTGGACAATTTAGAAAAGTGCTGAACTTTGGCCTGAGGTCAACGCCACTGGCTGGCGGAAGTCACGCTTTCTCAGATGTTAATACAGAGTCGAAGGCGGTGGCCAAGACTTTGCAGATGGCCTGTGCTTGCTCCTGCAGTAGTAAAGAGACCCAGTGACGGGGTCAGTGCCTTCTGAACATGACCAGAAGAGGGACAAAGCTGACGCTCCCAGCACTTCCTAAAATGCACCCTAGCTTGGGGAGCCCCCCCCCCACCAACTCCACACACTCCTTCCCGCACCTGGAGAGCACTGCACGGTGACAGATGGAGCCAGCACCTCCGCCAAGGCCAGCAAGTGTCAATAAGGACAATGACATACAGAGAGGGCACCCGCTTTCCTCACCTGCCTTGGGCTTACCCTAAACGCCCAACCCCAGAGAGCGCTGCTCTCGGCCTCAGCTGATAACCCGCAAGCAGTCGGGCAGCCACTGGCCAGACCTACAGCCGTCACCTCATGGACAGCACCCTCCAGCCTCGGAGGGGACTAGGTGGTGGCCACTCAGCCGCTTGCCCAGGGTAGGGGTGGGCGCTCACCAGGCTGTGGCACTGGTAGACCCACAGGCTGTATTCCTCGTTGCTCGCGTCTGTGGTCTTCAGGGCTAAGAGGCTCCTTCCCGCCCCCAGCCCGTCATCGTAACACACCATGCGGATAATCAGGTAGAGCGCGTGCCTGTGCAGCACATCCTGTGGGCCGAGAGAGCCAGGCGGCGGTGGCGGTCACAGGCCCTCAGGCCTGCAACGCACTTTCCACGCAGGATTCCCTGTGGGGCTTTGGCCGGAGCACACCCTGGGCCAGGCAGGAGGCCCCAGAAAGACCAACCTCCAGAGACCGGCAGGATGACCCAAGCTCAGGCCCCTCTGTCCTGCAGGGAAGCCCCGCCTCCAGCTGACTGGGCTCTGAGTGGGCTGGGTCCCAAGTGGAAAATGTGTTAGGGACCAGTGATGGGGTGTTTGCATGGCCAAAGGGGAAAAAAGGAAGCCCCGGGCACCTTCCCTGGGTAACCCGTCACTTTCCAGACCAGCTGCCAGGGAATCCAGCAGGGACCCACAGCAAACAGGAGCCCCAACGCGCCGGGGCCGGGCTGGCCCGATGCCCCAGCCCTCCTAGCACATCCTTCCTTAGTGAGTAAAATTACTTACGTACTGATCTGACGTGGACACTTTTATGCCATACTTGGAAACGCCCATGATAAAGTCTTCCTCCAGAGGCACGAAAGGCAACTTTCCATCTTGCTTTAAAGTAAAAATAAACCACGTGACAGGCTTTAAGCATCGCCCTGTCTCCTGCAGGCCGAGCAGCCGGTTTAGTGCCAGACCACCCCAGACCCCAGCCTTGCACAACAGCCCAGCAAGGACTGTTCTCCAAAGAGGCAGAAACGTAAACATATACTGCCTCCCACCCCTTTTTTAAACAGTTCACAAATCTGAGCCAAATCCAGCTCCACTTTAGTGTATTCTACCCGTCTTGCTGCTCACCCTCTGACAGGTGACTCTCACAGGTCTTAGGTTGAAACACTTATGTGAAGAAAAATAGTCTTAGTTTAAATTCTAGAGCTTATGGGAATGTGAGCACATGAAAGGCTCAGGAAGAGGTGGCCTGAGAACGGCTCGCTCACCCAGGCGCTGACCCTTCCAGGGTCAGCTCTACCCACTCTTCCCTGCAGCCTCGGCCAGGTCAGCAGTGGGGAAGGACCGCTCGGCTGGAGAGACCAGTGGGTGCTCTGAAAAGCTCCAGGATGGAAGAGGCTCTGTTGTTAAAAGTAGCCAATGCTGTACCCTGTGGGGTGACACCTCTCCACCGTCTAGAAACTCAGGAAGTGACTCCCTGACGGTTGCATTGTCTTCTGTTTCATTCCTTCCCGTCACTGACCTGACATTTCATGCACTAACCTGAAACCTTTCATTGGTCTTAACATTTTCATATTTAATTTCCCTTCTTGATGATTTATCTTCTCAATCAGGATCTAATTTGGAAACCCACCTCATCTCAACTCTTGTTGGACACAGGGTATGAAGAAAGAGGTGCCCTAAGTCCACACCCCAGGAGACAGATGAGCCAGGGAGCTGCAGCCCAGCTTTCCCTGCTGTCAAAGCCCCACCCGGGGCTCAGCCCCTTGGCCTCATTTCAGCAAGCCCAGCCGGCTCCACCGACAAGCACAAAGGACTGTCAGGAGGAGGAATTCTGCCTCTGACCCTCCGTTCCTGTTCCATCGCCAAGGCCCGTGGGCCCCCACAACCACAGCGCACCCCATGAACAGGCCCTGTCGTGGCCCTGGGCTAAGGCGGCAAAGACCTGGGCAGTCTGCACCCAAGGCCTTAAGTTTATGCTCTAGAATCTCATGAAAAAAAAAAAAAAAATTTTTTTTTTTTACCTGGGCGACATCTATATAATTTATCAGGTCTAGTGGCCCTTCTAGACTTTTTCCCTCAGAAAGCTTCAGTTTCTCAATGGCCCCGACGTATTTTATTCGAAATTCTGCACAGGTATCAGAATTATTGTTGCTTTGTCCTAAAAGTGAAAGAAGAATTATAATAGTAAGACTTCAAAACAATTATCTAAAAAACAGGCTTTGGGGCCTCACTGGTGGCGCAGCGGTTGAGCGCTGGGCTGCGAAGCTGCCCGCAGCCTCTGCAGCATCAGTTCGATCCCCGGTCACCGGGTGAGGGTCCCACATGGCACACAGACCTCTCCTGCAGCCCGCTGCTCCCCTCAGCAGTGTACTTCGTCAGTCTGCCTGTTCTGCTCTCTGCTCTGGCTCTGGTGAATTCTCTCACCCTCCCGAGCTTCTGACTGTACCCAGTGCTTGTATAAATAAATAAATCTTAAAAAAAAAAAAAACAAGCAAACCCTAGAAATCTTGTGGGTCTGCTCATCCTAAGTGGCCTGCTCGGCCACCATTAAAAAAAAAAATAATAAAAAAATAAAAAACAGGCTTTGTCATCAGAACTTAACCTGTAATAAAAAAAGAAAATTAAAGTAGAATATTTTGCTGTAATAGGAAAGAACTTAAAATGCCACACCTTTTCTTCCGTGACTCACAGTATACGAAAGGTATAAAAGTCTTAGCAGGAATAAATGAAGTGTGGGTGTCCTTCATTTCAGAGAAACAAGAATAATAAAATAACCAGGTAATGACTCAGTGCCTCTATAATGCACAGTGACAGTTATTTTTTTGGTTTCTTCTCCCTCCTTACCATGTTAACATTTAACTTTCTTTCCTGATCCAGGAAACAGGGCCTGCCCCTGAGGGGCAGTTAGCAAAGACCAGACGGTTTCTGTGGGTGGAATAACGCCGAGGAACCTAGGGGCCCACACAGAGCCCCAAAGTATCCGGGACACCTTCCATGCTGGGTGTGGGGGCGGGCTGTGACGCCTTTAAGCTTATTTAATATTCTGCAGGCATCTGAAAGATGCGCTTTTGCAGCCTATGGTTCTTCTCTGCTGCTCCCCTACACCACCACCGTTTCTAGACGGACGAGTCTGACCTTGAAGGGAAACGTGGAAGGCTTTTAGACAAGGAAATGGATGTAGTATAGCTGCTGTCGTATATCTGCGATTCGACCGAATTAACAGGTGGGCTGGAAGCCACCTTTGATTTCTCCGGAGGTACTCATTCCAGGGGTCGGTGGCGGACGCGGCCCTGGACCTCCAGTCACTCCTGATGTTAACGAGCTGGTGCGCCTCTGGCCGAACAGCTCTGAATCCTCTTCCCCAGCCAGACGTTTGCCCCACAGCCCACAAGTGATAGGATTTGCCCTTTGCCACCCCCTGCTCACTCGGCGCTGAGAAAGGTCTCCATCCCTCTTCGCTGCTCTAGACCAGCGAGGGGAGTCTGCCCCGTGCCTTAGCCACACCCCCGCAGTGGCTCTCCCCAACCACCCTGCACCCCCAACCCACGCTCCACCAAATCTGGGGCCATGTTTATAACTTATTTTTAATATTTATTTATTTATTTATACAAGATCCAGGGTACAAACCAGATGCGCGGGAGGGTGAGAGGATTCACCAGAGACAAAGTGGGGGACAGAACAGGCAGACTGATGAAATACACTGTGAAGGGAGCAGTGGGCGAGACAGGAGAGGTCTGCCGTGCCATGTGGGACCCTTGCTGGCCAACTGGCCGGCCGGGATCAAACCGGCACTGCAGAGGCTGTGGACAGCTTCACAGCACTGCTCTCAACCACCTGCGCCACCAGGGGAGGCCCCGTGTTTGTAACTCTTATCCAAATCAAATGGCAGTGGGGAAAAGAAAGTCCCAGCACACAAGGGGTCACGGTGCCCACCGGGTGAGGCCCTAAGCATGGGCAAAAGCCTCGGGCAGCTCGTACCTGAGCTCTTGGTAGAGTCTGTGTCCAGGCTGGCCACGGTGCTGGACCGGGAGAGGCCCCCGAGGCTGGAGTCCACGGACTGGGAAGTAACAGACGAAAATGTAACATTAGACTTGCTGTGTCCAGTGGCTTGCTTGTTACAGCTGATCCAACACGTGCAAAATCACCTCAACTAGGCAGGTCAGCTGTAAGGATTTTCTAGAAGACAAACTATGGCAAACTTCAAAAGACAGATAACACCAACGGCTCCTTCCATAACAACAAGTAAGTGGGGTGTCCACACCCCCAGCCCACATCAAGAAGCTGCCACTGTCTCCTTCCAAAGGACCTGACATTTGTAGTGTCTGAAAATCTACATTAGCCCCCAAAAACAACCCTGTGCAGAGAGCAGCTGGGAGTTTTATCCGGTTTATTAAATGAGCAGGGACTCAAAGAGGATTCATCCAGCAAAGACCTGGCTCTCCTCTCCTGCAGCTCCCCAAATCCCCAGCCTGGGGCGTCAGTAGCTCTCCTACGAGCACCTGGCCTGCAACGGGCCCTGGTGACCGGAACACCCCAGTATGATGTGCAAGAAAAACAACCAAACCACTAAGCAGAACAGTCGCACGTGGTGGTGTGGTTTGTTCTACAGAATTACGTTCTCGGTGTGCTTAATTTCCACGTAGATAACATCTCGTGAAAACACTGGGTTGAAAGGATCCATCCTTTTTTTGCACCTCGAATCAAAAATTTTCAAAGTGCATTCAAATGTTTTAAACTTTTAAGAAGTAAATCGAGATGAATGCAAAAGCAAAATAATGCTTCTTCCCTTTTTCCACAGCTGCGCTTCGTGGGAGATAATCTAAAAGGAGAACAGAGCCGGGTGCAGAGCGCTCCCCAGGCCACATGAGCAGGAGATGAAGCAGGACCGACCTACATACGCAGAGGCTGGGGGCAGGGAGTGGGGTTCAGCTGCTGCTGCAAACTCAGACTGATGTCTGGGCCAAGTGAGTATGATAAGCTTTTGTGCTTCAAACTACCCGCCGCACACACGCATAGAAAAACACCCATCCTAGTGACCCCGAGGACAAGGAGAACAGGAAGGGAGAAACCTGTCTGCTTCCCATGTTCAAAATATCCAACAACAAAAGCACACACCACCCTCAAATGCAAATCTGCCACAGCTTCCCTTAGAAATAAGTCCTGTGGGGGCCTCCCCGGTGGCGCAGCGGTTGAGCGCTGGGTTGCGAAGCTGCGCGCGGCCTCTGCGGCGCCGGTTCGATCCCCGGCTGCTCCCCGGCCACCGGAGGAGGGTCCCACATGGCGCGCAGACCTCTCCTGCCGCCCGCTGCTCCCCTCAGCAGTGTACTTCGGTCCTTCTGCCTGCTCTGCTCCCCGCTCTGGCTCTGGTGAATTCTCTCGCCCTCCCGCGCTTCTGACTGTACCCAGTGCATGTATAAACAAAACAAACAAAGAAACCAGCAAACAAATAAATAAAGCATGCCTCTATAAAAAAAAAAAAAAAAAAAAAAAAGAAATAAGTCCTGTGGCGGTTCCCGCTCCCTGCGGGGTGAGACCTCCCCCCGGGCCCCTCTGCGCCTCTGGCCCCTCCACCCGCCCTGCCCATGTGTGTCTGGCCACGTCAAAGAACCCAGCTCAGCCCGATACTGCAAGTGGCTAGCGCGATCCTTCGGGAGTCAGGCCTCTAGTCCGACCGCCCAGCAGCAAGTAAGTCATGATGTCTCCCTTTAGCCACTTTCTGGCCTAAAGAACAAGAGCTGAGCCGGACACTGGTTCCCAGCCTGGGGTCCTCCACGCCAGGGCTGGCAAGTCACTGCAGGGAGGGTCTTGATTAGCTCCAGGAGTTCAAAGCCCTTATCTCCTGCGGTGGTGCCTTCCTCCTGAAGATTCGCTGAGGAGTGGCCATCGTCACCCAGAGGGGTGCCTGGTGATACATCCCCTGGGATAGGTGCCCCAGCATTGTGCCCTGGGTGCCCCTCTTGCTTGCCAAGTCCTGGCACTGAGCATACATGTCTTTTACAATAGAGCAGCCCCGGCCAACTAGGCCTCAGGGCCGCAGGACCCGTTCAGAGGCACATCGTCTGCTTCTCAAAGGTCTTAATCACGGCATTGGCCACTCTGCCCAGTAAACGCGCTGCTAAGCAAACAGAACTATTGTGTCCTGGACACAGCATTCAAGAGCCAGCCCTGCCACCTGCTACAAGTCCATGGAAAAAGTCTAAAGTTGGTGTTTCAATGACACCATTCTAGGTTAGCGGATTTAAAAGTTTCAAAAAAATCTACCGATACAGAACAGAACTGTCTCGAGGGCGGGGCGCGTCCACGCCTGGCGTGAAGGTCAGACTCCCCTGTCTGAAATGTCAGAGGCTGCCTGTTACACACTCTCGGGAGAAACCCGACCCGAGGCCCACCTCCCTACCTTGCTCTTAGTGCTGATCTCGCTGCTTTGGGAGCTGCTACTGCTGTGTCGCTTTTTGCCCTTCCGAAACATTTTCCGCCACCGCGGGGCCCGGAGGAGCCCTAGGAGAAGAATCCGGTTGGTTAGCCCAGGACGGGCAATATGATGTCACCACAGAGCAGAGGGAACCCCCATCTAGTCCAGGGCGCCGCCTCTTCTGGAACAAATACTTTCCTTGGACCACGAAATCTGGACGCCATTCTCCGTCATTCTTTCTTTGCAAGCGGCAAGGGCCTAACCCAACAAATCAAAAGAGCAGAAGCCTCGTGGTTGCCGAGGTGAGGAGAGCGCTGCTCTTGGCAGTGACACGTGCAGGGGCCGAAGCGGCCGGGTGTCTCTCTCACCCAGTCAAGATGTGGGTGAAACAGGGATTAAGCGGGAGTGCAGGGATTAAGTCTCAGCGCTATTAAGCCATCGGCAGCCACTTTGGCTTGAGATCCATCCCCGGCCAGGGAGCTACCCACATGGCTCAGCAGACCTCTCCTGTCTCCCCGCTGCTCCCCTCAGCAGTGGATTTCAATAGATCTGCCTGTTCTGCTCCCCACTCTCTGGTGAGTCCTCTCACCCCTGCACCTTTGGCCTGTACCCCGGTTCTTGTATGCATAAATAAATAAATAAAAGACGTGGGTGAAATACACAGCCTGTCACTTTACTGGCCCAGAGACTGAGACGGAGCCACTGCCTCGGGTCGACACTGTCAACAACACAGCTAGAAACAAGCCATGCTCCGCCTCAAAAACGTTGAGTTTCTCTCAAGTCTTGGACTCTTTAGGTAAAAGTTGTTATCACATCCCTAGGTAGCCACTCCCGCTCCAGGAGGCCAGGGGAGGACGTGACCTGGGGTCTCCCAGGATCGGGCCACCCTGTCCTTTGTTCAACGAGTGGCCTCCCCCGCCCAGCGCGCAGGAGACACACACAATACTTGGGAAATGACTGACTGGCCCGCACAATGCTTCATGCTCCAGACCCACAGTGTTGTCCCATCCTCACAGCACCCTGATGAGATGGGGGATTTGTCGGGCCTCCCGTGCCTCCTTTCACCCAAAGCCCCAGCCTCCCGGGCTTACAAAGTAGGCCATCACCTGCATTTCATAGGTGAGGGGACTGGGGCCCACCTTTCAGGAGTATTTGCGAATGAGATACTAACAAATACTCACCAAATACTGGAAAATCTGCAGCAGAGACAAGGAACTCTACTTACCACGAATCAAATGATTTTATTGTCTTCAAAGGTTCCACAGACAGTCGTCTGCACAGAGCGCGCCTCTTCATTCCGACACGGTCAGCTTCTCAGGGAAACAACGTGCCTGGTGAAGGAAAAGGGTGAGTCCATTGTGAGTTGACCATGAACGGACCTCCCTGCTCCAGGGAAGCTTCTCCAACTGCACCTGGAGACCCCGCGCTACATCCACTTACCTGGGTCTGACCTGCGGCCACTGACCCAAGACTTAGCTGTCAATCAAGCTTTGGAATCAGCCTCGTCACCCAATTTGTTTCTATAGTTTTGCTTACTTTTCAGAATGAATGAATGATTCATTCATTCATCCCGGAGGAGCGCGAGGGCCAGAAGATGCTGGGGCCCGTCAGTGAAAAAGACAAAGCCCCGACCCCAGGGAGCCCAGTTTATTCTTGAGTGTTTCATGTGCACTTGAGTGAAGTCTGCACGCCGTAGCTGTGGGTTGGAATGTTCTGTAGATGTCCCATAGTCCTATCTGATCATCTTCGAGAGCTCATCTTCGAGAGCGACTCTCCTTATTTATTCTGACTCACTGGTCTGTCTATGACGGTGTCATTGTCATCTCTCTTTCATTCCTGGGCGTCACCTCCTATGTCTCGGGGCTCCACATTTGGTGCGCAGATATTTATAAGTGTTTTGTCGCCTTGTATTAGGCAGGGAACTCAATTTTAGGAGTACACAGACCAACAGGAAAACCAAATATAAAATAGTTTTTTTATTTATAAAACAAATGACTAAGTAGAGAACCAAAGCAAATGAAAGAGACACACAGTGATAGAGGGAAGGGGTAAGATTTTACATAGTGAAAGATGCTCTGAGGCTGTAAGAGTCAAGGAGTCCTGATCAGTCTCAGAGGGAAAGCATGAGGGGCAGAGAACAGGCGGTGCAGAGGTCCTGGGGACACGCCTGATGGGAGAACACTGCGAGGCCATCGTGACTGGCGCAGGAGGGGACAGTGCCGATGGCAGGAGAGCCACACTCGGCCTCTCAGGTACAAGTCTGGGTTTTATTTTGGATCTACTAGGAGGACTCTACAGGGTTTTACAAAGCACTCAAGTGGGATGATAAGATTTCATTTTTGGAAAGAGGGTTCAGGCTGCCAGGTGGAGAACCAACTACAAAGAATAAAAGGGAAACCTACTTGAAGGCTATTATGGATAATTTGTTGCAGAGGACAGCCTGGTCACCACAGAAAACTTCAGTAAAGGAGAGCGAGGGCTAGTGCCAGGACTGCACAAAACTGGGTTAACCTGGCAGCTTCCAATACTGCGTGGCTGATCTCTGGCGGGTTAAAATGTCAGGGTATACATATTGAAGCACATTTTATTTTAAATATTTACCTATTTATATATGCATATAGATTTAATTTTATAATTTCAATATATGATTTAAAAATAAAATGTCCTTCTATTGTTAGTGAAATCCCAAAGCATCCCTTTGAATCCCTACACTAGTCTAGAACCACTGGGAGTCACCACATTCTATCAGACACCTCCACGGACTCCTAAGATGTTCTTTTCATTGCTTCGGGACAAAAGGCATTTGTTAAGATCTTTGATATCTGCTGCTATTTTAATGCATGTTCTTAAGCAAGTCATTCTTGTCTCTAAATTATTCATGCATGAAAATGAGGTCAAAAACAGACTGTCGCTTAGCAGGAATGTCTAGAGCGGAACCCATCAGCCCCCCCTCTGCTTCCCCCCCTTTCTGAAAATACAGTATTTCAAGTAGAAGAAACCCACTACCCCCACCTGCCCCCCAGTGCCACGTGCGATCAAACACCAGGACCCTAAATACACTGCCCCGAGCGTTCTCCCACCCTCGCCTCCAGCAGGGCCCCTCAAGCCCGCGCTGCTGTGTGTAAGGGTTTTTGATTCTCTGGTGAGCGTGATGGCTCCTCCACCCCCAGAGACGCGGGCGCGCGCCGTGGCAGGTGCTTCGGGGACTCCCCCGGCCCCAGGGAGCTACTTGAGACCGGGGTGCTTTCCCGCGGTGGCACTTCGGGGCGCCGGCAGCGCAGCTGAAACTCGCTCTAGCACCCGAGTCCCAGCCCCCACCCCGCGGGCACCCCCTGGGGGCTCCCCAGCCGGGGACCGAAGCCCGCGGTCTCGGGCCGCTCCGGCGAGGCCCTCGCGCGGCCCGGCTGCCTCCCGGCTCGGTCCACGCGGTTTCCCGCCGAGCTCCCCAGGAGGCGCGGGCCGGTTCCGAGCGCATCTGGGCCCATTTCTGCGCCCCCTGCCCCCCTCTCCCGGAGCGCCCGCCCCCCGGGGCCGCCCTTCGGACCCCGTCGGGGCTGCGCCTCCCGAGGGTCCCCGGCCGCGCAGCTCTGGCCGCCGGGCCGGCCGCCTCCGGACGCCCGCAGCGGGCCCCGCCGGGGGCGCGCCCGGCCCGAGGCCCTCCCGGGGGCGGCAGGGGCCACCCGCACCGCCCGCCCGCGGCCCGGCCCGCGCGCCCGAGCCCGGGACAGCCCTGCGGGGGCCGCTCGGCGACGCGCGCCCGGGGCCGCCGGGCCTCGGGGCCGACGGCTCGGCCGGGGGAGAGCCGGGCCGCGCCCCGACGGGTCTCCCCGCGGCCGGCGGCTCCGCGTGCGGCCGCGCGGGACACGCAGGACCCGGGGCCGCCCCCGCGCGGCCCACGACACCGGCCGTGGAGGCGCCGCGGCCCCGCGCTCAGACCCGCCCCGGGCAGCCCGCCGTCCCGCGACCCCACCCATCCGCCCGCCCGCGAGCCGCGCTCCCCGCGGGCCCGGCGCCCCCGGCGCTCCCCGCGGGCCGCGCTCTCACCTCCCGCCGCGCCCGCGGGGCCGCCCGCCTCGGGGTCCGCAGCCCCCGCCCCGCGGCGCGCGCGGGCAGCCGCTCCGGCCTCGAGTCCAGCGCCAGCTTTTCCGGCCGCCCCGGCCCCGCCCTCGGGCCCCGCCCCCGGCCTTCGCGCAGGCGCAAACGTGACCCCGCCCCGGGCTCCCCGCGGGGAGGAACGCGGCCGGGAATTCCGACCGGAAGCGGGGGGGCGGGGCCTGCTCAGCGGGCCCCGGGCGCCGGAAGTGGCGCTCCGGCGGCGGGGCCGCGTCTGCCCTGCTGCGCCGCGGCTGCGCCTCCTCGCTCCGGCTTCTCCGTCACGCTGCCGCGATGTCCGCCATTCCGGCTGAGGAGAGTGACCAGCTGCTGATCCGACCCCTGTAAGGACCGGCCCGAGGGCTGCGAGAGGCGAGGGGCGGCCGGGGTCGCCGTGGCGGCCGGGTCTCCAGGGCTGAAGAGTTCGCGGACGACGCTCGGACGGGCCTGCGCTCTGGACGGGGCTTTCCTTTTCCTCAGGCTCAGGGAGCGAGCCTCGGAGTTGGGGCGCGAGGGGAAAGTTACCTTTGGGGCCGCGGGGCGCTTTCCTGTGGGCTGAGGAGCGGCAAGTGCCCGGGCAGCCGGCGGTGCTGGTGCTGGTGCTGGCCGCGGCGGCGGGGACCTGGCCCGGGCCGGAGGGGCGAGGAAGCGCTGGATCTGCTCCTCGCTGCCGCCGGCATCTGACAAAACAGAGAGGAAATACGTTAGGCCCCAGCTGTGAGTTCCAGTCTGCGTTCCCCCTGCCAGCGTAAGGGGGGTGGAAAGCAGGACAGAAAGAAGAGCAGAGGCCGCAGGACTAAAGCTGCTCTTGCTGTCCAGGAGAACGCTGGTCTCTCTGGGGAGAGGGCCTCCTGCCGGAGGAGCCCTTGGCAGGTGGGGAGACCAGCTTCGCAGGGGAATTCAAGTGGTGCAGAGCTCACGCCCATAGATGAGCAGCTCAAATCCACACACGTGTTTGTTAGATATTAGTTAGCCCCACGCGAATGTGTGCGATTCCCTATGGGTAGAAAGTACCTCCTGTACACATTCTCAGTGAGGACATGGTCCCCCTGCTGGGGATGTGGCCCTAAATTTCCCACTGCTCAACGCACACCTGTGCACTGCCTGTGTTCAGCAAACACAGCAAGTGTCAAGCACCACACTAGGCACAGGGAATACAAGTAAGACAGAGGGCAGCGTTCCTTGACTTCACCTTCAAGGAGAGAATTGCAGGGAAAGGATGCGTGCTGGAGAGAGAGGGTGAGCTAACGGGAGGCCATTCATTTGGAGTCAGACTGAAATCTAATCCCTAGTCTCACTGACTAGGACAGCGACCTCACTGAATCTGTTTCTTCCTGTGGGAATAATTTAGCAACACTCACTGCGAGAAGGAAGACCATGGTAGTGCTGAGTAAATGGTAGCTAAGAGTCCAGGGAGGCATTGCGCTGTATCCTGGGAGGATCCGGAAAAGGGGTTTCTAAGATGGGGAAGAGAATCCTGGACGTATGGTGCATGAGCTAAGCCCTAACGGAGGAGGAGGAATTAAAGACAGGTGAAGGCAAGGATGTTCCAGGCAGCGGAAGTGGCAGATAGGAAATGAGAGTGGTCAGTGTGTGGCCAGGGTCCTCGTGGCTGTTGCTCAAAGGTCAGCAGATGAGGGGGGAGAGGCTCTCAAGCACCTGTATACATCCGAAGAGGTGGCAGCCTTTATCACATCCGCTAAAAAGCCAATGATGTATCCTAAGCAGGGATGGGACAAAGTGGGGGTTGTATCACAGTGTCACGACGACATAGCAAAGATCTCTCCTAAGCAGCCATGTGGCAGGTGAATGAAAGGGTGGAGGAAGTAGGGAATCCAGTAGGATGCAATTGAAATTACCTGGGCAGTAGCAGCAAGAACTTGGAATGTGTGAAATGAGCAGCAGCAGATTGGAAAGAAATGTTAGAGAGTAAGGAAGTGACATCTTTAGAATGTTATAACCATTCAGATTTATCAAACGAGGCAATGTAGGGAGGGGAGGCAGGGCAGAGCAGTTAGGATGACTCAGATTCTTGTGCTTAGTGTATAGGAGATGGGGCAGGTATGGAGTAAATTGGGGTGTTTTGTCGTTTTATTACAGCCTTGTTGATGTATAATTCACATGCAACTCGTGTAAAATGCGTGATTCAGTGGTTTGTAGGGTGTTCACATAGTTGTATAAACATGGCCCCTATTTAATCCCGATCATTTTCGTGATGCTAAAAAGAACCCTGTGCCCATGAACAGGCACACACTTCCTCCCAGTCTCCCCAAGCCCTGGACAGCCACCAGTCCACTTTGCATCTCTACAGATTTGCCTGTTCTGGACATGCCATAGAAGTGGGGTCACACAGTCTGTAACTTTGTGACTTGTTCCTTTCCCCAAACACAGAGTTCACAAGGTTCAAAATCTGGGGGCTTTTAGTCAATAAATATTTCCCGAAATTTACTGCATGTCAGGCATTGTGGCCGCACAGTGGGGACTCAAGTAGCCAGTGTCTCTGCTCTCACAGAGCTTGCATGCAAATGGAAACAGTAACTTCAGGGAGTAGTGACAGGTGATGGGTGGCGTGGGAGCCTCGGGAGAGAAGGAGGTCAGGACCAGGCCTTGAGAGGGCGCTTTGTCTGAGACCCAAATGTCCTCGCTGTGGCAGAGACTCCCAGAGTATAGGCAAGTGACTGGAGGGGAAGCAAGCGCTGAGTGTCTGACTGAAAGGGCCTGTGCGACATGTCCCAGTAGATACTGAGCACCTGTGTGCTAGAGGCCTGGTGTCCAGGGCAGTCCGAACTAATACAGGTGGGCAGAGGCCGCAGGCAGTAAAGGCATCTGAGAGGGAAGCCAGCTGGACAGAGTGGGGCATGAAGCCAGGAGAAGTGCTCCGGGGGGGCAGCGTGGGGGTTCAGGCCTCAAGAGGACGGTAAGACCAGGGCTGGAGAACTGTTTCAAGCCACAGAGCTGCTGTGCGGGGATCCTTTCAGAAGAGGGCTTGGAGGAGCCGCATGCAGAGGGCTGAGTGGGTGGAGGGAAGGAAGGAGAGGCAGAGTGTACACAGCTCTCTTAGGAAGCTGGCTAGGATGAAGGGGGAAAGGGATTCGACTGCAGGGATTTTCATTTGGGGATGAACGTGACTGGTGTGTTGAAATCCCTGTGGTAATGAGCAGAAAGCCAGGGTGATCGCCGTGACAGCCATACTTGGCTCCCTGGGGAAGCTGAGAGCCATGGGCAAAAGCCGAGCAGCTCAGACAACAAAGAGGTCCTTGGAGAAGCAAAAAGACGAGGACATGGGTGGGTTGTAAATGGAGTGGAGGAAATTGGCCAGCAAACTGTCTCCTTGACATGGATGAAGGCCATGCCCCAGGTGAAGAGGATGGAGGGCTGGAGGGTGAGGCAAGGGGAGAAAGTTAGAAGTGGCTGCTATGGAAACTCTAAAAACAGAGCCGGGACCTACAGGTAGGAGGACGCACAGGGCGCCCGGTAGAGCGAAGGGTCAGGGGTCCAGTCGCACCAGGGCTTTTGAATTTTCTTCATCAACATCCCCTGCCAGGGTCTCGGTTTGGGCATAAGTAGATCCCTCTTGTGTTTTAGCTTCTAATAAGTAGGCAATTGTTCCTTGACAGGGTCTTTGAAGCAGGCAGCCCCCCTGGGTTAGGCACTTACTGTGGTGCTTGGCAAATAAAAGCTGGACTGTTGGGTGAGCAAATGAGATTGGAAAAAGTCATCAAAGAGGGGAAGGGATCTGCAAAACAGGTGTGTCTTAAAGTGTGTCTTGTGGCCATCGGACATTAAGTCTGACTAACTTAAAAGGGAGGAAAAAGTTAAATACATGGTATCAGAGATACTGAAATAACAAGGTAGAAGGGGACGGAGCTTCACAGGTGTGGAGAAGTCTTATTTAAATTTAAGCTAATGCGTATTATGATCTCAAACTGCATTTTTGAAACGCTTATGGGTTCATACTTAAGTAGTGCTAATTCTAAAAGTCTTATTAAATAATCCTCATAACTGCTCGTTTACATTCTAAATACATCATAATTTAACCCCAAGTCCCTGAAATCCCAAATGTGCACTTTCATCCTTCCCCATTGACACCTCCTGTCCCCTGTCGCTCTGCGGGACTCTGGACTCTTCCCTGGCGGGAGTGAGCGCCGGCGTCGAGGGGCATAGCTTAAGGTGTAAAAGAGCCTGAACTTGTGGGATTTGATTTTGATTGTCTTTGAATCATTTTTATTTCTCCCCTTGAATATTTACAGTGGAGCTGGACAAGAAGTGGGAAGATCATGTATTATCCTGGAGTTCAAAGGAAGAAAAATAATGGTAATTATGATCGTAGTCAGATTAGTAGTCTGCATGGGGCGTTTGATCTTTCTGGTAGAGTGTCTGTTTAGCTCCCAGAAAAATGTCATAGTTGGTGTTTGTAGTCTGTGCTGTATCACGTTAATGTGGAAATTAAAACATCCTTCTCCTTAGTAACTTGGCAGAACATTGGGTGCACAGGAGAACTGTATTCCAGGGTTATAAAATTGTCACCTAGATGGCCTGAATGGATGCTTCTTCCAAATCCCTCTTTACTTTCTGAGGGACTTGTCACCCTAACTGCCCCAGTCCTGGTGGAGGCCCCAAAGGGAGTGAGCACCAAACACGAGTAGCGCTCCCCCACCCAGCCCATTAGACTCCTAAGTTAGCATTAGGGCCCCAGACTTGCCCCCAGTGTGGGCAAGTCGGTCTGCTTCTCCAAACCCTTTGCCTTATCTGGAGGATAGAGGGGTCAGAAGAGATGGTTTCTTGGGTCCTCAGTAGGAAGACAGAGGCTCCTCATGTTGCTCAGGAGAGGAACCTCATTCATCTCCCAACCTCAGAAGGACAGGCACATGTCAAGCGTGTGTTTTTAGTTGTTTATTGTAGTAATTTCACTGTAAAGCCCCCCAAATGAGTCTATAACTCATTAATGACTAACTCTTAGGAATTTTGTTCCCTAACTGTACATTTTGAAAAACAAGCTTTATTAAATTAAAAAAAGAATTGTTCCCTCACGCCTTAAAATCATGATTAGGGAAGTTTTCCATTTCTGAGCACTGTCACCTTACAGTAGTTCAATCTGGTAGCAGGAAGCCTGTGCACTTTTAAAATACATTTTAAAATGCATCCTCTGATATTAAAGTTCTTGAAAAAGAGTTCATTCATTGCTAGAGTGACTATAGACCAGCCCGGAAAGATGGCTTGTGTTTGCGCCTTGGGGCCCTAAACACGAGCTGTGTGGGCGTCCGCGTCACCACTGCTGTCTGCTGCATGCAATGGCAACTGCGTTCCAAATGCTGTCCACCTTGGTTGTGTGATTAGCGGGTCAGTTATAAATGTTGTCTATTTGTCGGGTGAATTTTAATAAAAAGTGCAGGAGATTGTGGACTTTTTCCCACCTTTTCCAGCTGGACTGTGGGATCCACCCTGGCCTGGAAGGAATGGATGCTCTTCCCTATATTGATTTAATTGACCCAGCCGAGATTGATCTCCTCCTCATCAGTCAGTAAGTTTTTTATTTACTAACAACACTGGTTTTCAAGGACTTTTACTATGCAGACAAGCGCTTACCAGATTTAAGTCTAAGATTCTGGTGTTTTAAGGCACTAGTGTTTCCTCCTTGGAAGCACTTGCAGACACCCGCGGCAGCGCTCCAGTGCTTATCACAGGTGAGAGGGGTTTACTCTGAAAACCTTACCTCCTGTGTCCGGAGCCAACAAGGAGACAGAACACACCTTGATCCCTGTGACTCTTGAGACCAGGAGAGCCCCTCTGAAGCCACAGTGTCTTGGGGAGGGCCCTGCATGGTCGCGTCTCCTCTGGGGCCTTCACCTAGAAGCACTGACGTGGGCAGCTGGCTGCCACCTAGTACAGCTGCCAAGAGCAGATTTACATCTTTTCTTCTCCGCCACCGGTGAAAGAATTGACTGTTTAAGAAACACTTCTTGTGCTAGAACCGGATGCATCATTCCTTCCCTCGGCACACAACTTGTGTGGCTGTTCTAGAAGTCAGTGTGTTGTTGCTTTTTTCTTTTTGTTTGTTTATTCCTGTTTAGTGTGTAATTGTTAAATAGAACTTTTCTGAAGAGCTCTACCGCCATGGTAATGATGGACTATATTTTTAAGAACTGGCGCATCTCTCTTCCTTTTTCAGTTTCCATTTGGATCACTGTGGAGCATTGCCCTGGTTCCTACAGAAGACAAGTTTCAAAGGAAGAACATTTATGACTCATGCCACAAAAGCTATTTACAGATGGCTTCTTTCCGACTACGTCAAAGTTAGGTAAATTACTTCAGTGGATTTTACATGCCTTTAGTTTTGTGTCATGCCTATCGTTCACGTCATGGACCATTTGGGTTTTGAAATGAGGTGCTCTCTTTATTCACAGGGATGTCTTCAGTTTAGCTATTCAGTAGCACTTCATCAAACACCCATTGTGCGCTGTCCTGGAGACTCTAGATAGCATCAACCACACAATGTAATTTGAAGAATCACAATATCGTTCTTACTGTGTCATCCATAGACTTTTAGAAATCTTGGCCTTAATTCTTCTTCTTTGCATCTTTCCAAATCTAGTAACATATCAGCAGATGACATGCTGTATACTGAGACCGATTTGGAAGAGAGCATGGACAAAATTGAAACCATCAACTTCCATGAAGTTAAGGAAGTGGCGGGGATCAAGTTTTGGTGTTACCACGCAGGCCACGTTCTCGGAGCTGCCATGTTCATGATTGAAATCGCGGGTGTGAAGGTATTCCAGCTCGGGGCATGTCCTCCCCACCTTGTGCCAGCATGTTGTACTAAAGAAATTTCCCTAAGATTTGCATAGTATCAAAACACTGAAACAAGATAAAATTAAGTGGTTACTTTTTCCTTTTAAATATCATAGTTCATACCTTGATTGTAATACTTCTATGTCAAGGCTGAGAAGAATAAAATAAGCATCTCAAAAGAGTAACGTTCCTCAGTTTTCATGGTATTACTTTTCAGTGTCCTTTAGAAAATTAATTAGGGAAGAGCTCAAATTATGGCTATGTCTGCTTAACGTTAGAACCTGATTCAGCATTGATATCCTCTATGTTCTGGAATTCACAAGACGCTCCTAAAGAGGGGGTCTGAGAGGAGTGAAACAAGTTCATCAGAAAGAATTTTTGCAGCCATCCTTATGAAAAAGACAAATAGATTTCTTAATAACCTTGTGAAAACGTTGGTAGACTAATAGGTTTCCTGACTAATAGGTTTCCTGACTAATAGGTTTTGAGCAGTTCTGAACTCTGGCTGCACATTAGAATCACTTAGGAGACTTTTTAAAAATACCTCCTCAATCAAAATTTGCGGCGGTGGCCTTGGCCTCTTTTTCTTGTTTCTTAAGTTGTTGAAAGGATTCTTATATGAAGCCAGTATTCCGGGATAATATTGTCCTGAGTTTTTGCAGCTGCTCATATATTTGAAAATTTTACATATTGAGCTGTACTGTCTATCATTGAATTTATTGTTGGTGTTTGCTCAGAAGCTCAAAGAAGAAGCTGAAAAGACCGCAGGTGCAGATCTCAGTTCCCACTGGCATTCGATGCCTGCCTACCTTAAGTTTACCTTCCGTTTTAGACGGTTTTCCCTTATACCTCAGAAGATTTCTTTTTTTTTTTTTAAGATTTATTTATTTATACAAGAACCAGGGTACAGGCCAGAGGCGTGGGAGGGTGAGAGGATTCACCAGAGAGAGCGGGAAACAGGCAGACAAGCCGAAAGCACTGCTGAGGGGAGCAGCGGGCGCGACAGGAGAGGTCTGCCGTGCCATGTGGGTTTCTCCCTGGCCAGCCGGGAATCAAACCTGCACTGCAGAGGCTGCGGACAGCTTCACAGCGCTGCGCTCAACGCACTGCACCACCAGGGAGGCCCTACCTCAGTAGATTTCTCTCCTCATTGTGCCCTTTTACTCAAGTTGTTCAGAGTACTTTCCAAGTTTATTAATAAATGGGTTATCTTTGTGCGGTGCTTCTGGGAGTATAGTACCCATTAGTCGGGTTGAGTAATTGAAACACTGGACAGCTTGTGTCAGAACCAACTTAACATTTTGAACTAGACACAGGCATTGCATCTAAATTTCTGTAGTTGTAGGCTATTTTTTCTATTGAACTTCACTTTCAACTTTCATGAGTTAAATATATTCACTAGTAAAATGAATCCTTCCACAGTCCTGACTTTCTACTTTTGTCTTTTTCACAGCTTTTGTACACAGGTGATTTCTCAAGACAAGAAGATAGACACTTAATGGCAGCTGAAATTCCTAATATTAAACCTGATATTCTTATTATTGTAAGTATTAGAGTACTGTATAATAATTAGTGTAATGTAAGCATAATTTTTTCTATTGGGAAAAAATTACGTGATCACCATTTCATAATAAGTTATCAGATATAAATGTATCTGCTTTTAAATATAAAAATAATTGTTGGCTTCTCTTTGTGGTACAGCTCTAGATTCTTGCTGTAAGTGTATTCTAGTCTAATATCAGAGATGCTAGGCTAGCTCCTGGTGATTTATCCAAGTTGAACTACCCCAAATTCATAGCTCATCTTAAGGGATATGTAGAATAGTGTGCCCCCATAGCCTTTACCATGATAAGTATCTTTGATCTGTAGCATCTCCTAACTTAATGTGTTCTGCCTGCTACTAGTTTTTAAGTCCCAAGAGAACAACAAAAATTAACTGTAAGAGACATTCACGGGGCAGTAGGGGAGAAAGGCATAAATTAAGTGTGTGTTGGTATCAACAAGGTCAGGGATTGGGGGCGAGATCTTTGGGGCCTATGATATTTGTTAGAATAACAGGTGTGACAGTGAAAGAGCTCTATGTTTTTCCCTCACACCTGTGGCATCCCCCTTCCCAGGTGTGAGGGAATAGTGCCTATTGCTATCCATAAGTGACGTGCTGTGAGTGGATTCAATCTGACTTGGTTGATGGTAAACCCAGCAAATAAACTGAGCTTCAGCAAAGGGAAATTTTTTTTAATTCTTCCAAAAATATTTTTGTGATAGCTTGTACTTTAGAGCAGTACTTCTCAAGCTTTAATGTGCTTGTGAATAATCTGATATTATGAAAGTTAGATGCTGATTCACTAGGGACCTGATTTCATCACTACTACTGAGCTCCAGGGGTGCAGTGCTGGTGTCACACATGGTAAGGTGTAGGGGATTTCTGAAGAAGCAATATCTATTTCTTTTTCTTTTTTTAAAGATTTATGATTTATTTATTTATGCAAGAGCTGGGGTATAGGTCAGAGGCACGCGGGAGGGTGAGAGAATTCACCAGAGACAGAGTGGGGGCAGAACAGGCAGACGGACTGAAGACACTGCTGAGGGGAGCAGTGGGCGAGGCAGGAGAGGTCTGCCACACCATGTGGGTTTCTCCCTGGCCGGCCGGGAATCAAACCTGCACTGCAGAGGCTGCGGACAGCTTCACAGCGCAGCACTCAACCTGCTGTGCCACCGGGGAGGCCCAGCAATATCTGTTTCTGACTTACAAGCTTTGATTTATCAGAAGTAGAAAAAATATCCTTTTCCCGCCCATTGAAAGCAAATGGTTTAAAAAATAAAAAGACAGCAAAACAGTCTTGAGCAGAGAAGATCCATTTTTGATTGTTTCCCAGTTGTTTTCTGAGAAGTTCTTATACTTAGCCAGATTAGAATTTTAATGTTCCCATTTACTCTTCCAATTACTATTACAAGATGTGTTCAAGAGAAACATCATGTTAATGGGGAAATGAATCACTTTACCTCTGCATTTCATTGATGTTTAACTTTGGAGTTCTTCGGGAATCATCAGTTTTGGTCTCACACTTCTAGTGTGTTCTTTAGGAGTCTACATATGGGACCCACATCCATGAGAAGCGTGAAGAACGAGAAGCCAGATTCTGTAACACTGTCCATGATATTGTAAACCGAGGAGGTAGAGGTCTCATCCCTGTGTTTGCTCTCGGAAGGGCTCAGGAGCTGCTCTTGATTTTAGGTATGCCTTTTCTTTTTCTGTTTGGGAGATTCCCCAAATTTTGGAGTTCCATTGTATCAGGATCGTTGCATGACGCTGGATAAGTCATGCCATCTTCCTGAGCTTCGGTTTCTACATTTAAAAATACAGAGATCAGGGCCTCCCTGGTGGCGCAGGGGTTAAAGTCTCAGCACTATGAAGCTATCACCAGCCACTGTGGTATGAATTTTATCCCCGGCCAGGGAGCCGACCCACATGGCACAGCAGACCTCTCCTGTCTCCCCACGGCTCCCCTCAGCAGTGGATTTCAGTTGATCCACCTGTTCTGCTCCCCACTCTGGTGAACCCCCTGCAACCCCCACACCTTTGGCCTACACCCCAGTTCTTATATGCATAAATAAACAAAATAAATCTTAAAAAATAAATACAGAGATCAGGTGCCAATAAGAGCCTGGAGAAGCTGTAACTCTCAGGCACTACCCCTGGGAATATGGATTCCTGCTATCTGGTTGCCATCACTATCAGAAGTCTTAAAAATATGCTACCCTTGATCTAGCAGTTCCACTACTGGGAAAAAAGTGAGACACACAAAAAATTGCATAAATAAACCTTCCTTTGGTGTTATATTGCCCCCTATTTTTATGAATTATCAGAAAGTATTTAACATTTAGAAACAAAATTCAGTTATATAGTAGTATGACTTTGTACACTTTTTTATGTGCAAAATTGGTTTTAACACATTTGGCATTCCTGTTTTGTAATTAAAGGTCAGTGTGTCTATTTGAGATATTAATACCTTTTTATTTAAAATTGTCAGAATTTAGCCTCTCTCTGAGGTAATAAGTTATGGTTTATTATTCAGTGCAAACTTCTACCAAATCACTTTTGGTTTTTGGTTTTTGGGTTTTTTTAAGGATTTATTTATTTATATAAGAACTGGGGTAGAGGCCCGATGCGCGGGAAGGTGAGAGGATTCACCAGAGACAGAGCAAGGAACAGAGTAGGCAGACTGACGAAATACACTGCTGAGGGGAGCAGCAGGTGAGACAGGAGTGGTCTGCTTCACCACGTGGGATTCTTGCCGGCCGGCCAGGATCAAACCCGCGCTGCAGAGGCTGCGGACAGCTTCATAGTGCAGCGCCAGGGAGGCCCCCCAAATCACTTTTGAAAGTCTCCACATCTTGAGACTGTGATTGTACACATTCTTTTTAGGTCATGCACTAGTTTTTAGAAATGTTCTGGTTTTAAAAGTTTGTTACGTTTCTCAAACTGTTAAAAAGATATGCTTTAGTTTATCTGTCTGTTGTCTGAATTTATAAAAAGTCATATCATTATTTGAACTATTTACCACACGTAACAAGAGGGTATTCAATTCTCGTAAAATCACTCTAGATGAATACTGGCAGAACCACCCAGAACTCCACGATATTCCCATATACTACGCGTCATCCTTGGCCAAGAAGTGCATGGCGGTCTACCAGACGTACGTGAACGCCATGAACGACAAAATCCGCAAACAAATCAACATCAACAACCCCTTTGTTTTCAAGCACATCAGTAACCTCAAGGTGAGTCCTTAGGGAAGAGGGAACAGGGTGCGGAGAGACAGGCCCATCTGGGTGGGAGATGCCAGCAGGTGACCTGTGGCTGGAGCCGCCGGTGAACTCTCCTCTTCTCCCGCAGCCACTCCTCGGCAGGACATCAGAAATCTAACGACTGGCATTCTTCACTTCACTGAGTTTTGTCTTTTGTTCCAAGTCTGCATACATTCCGAATATTTACTGTTGCTAAATAACTTGGATCCTTTGGCCATAGAAATAAAAAGTACTGATGAGAAAAAATACCTGGTGGTTCACATTCAGTTTTCCTAGTCTTGCCCAAACTCAGACTTCATTTTGTTGTGACATTGCCAATTCCGTCTATAGAAATTCTCACATGTAAACTTTTCTAGAGCATTCTATAAAATCTGATTTTCTTTAATTCAATAAGTATGTTGTCTCATTTAAACCAATGCTGTATTCATAATAAAATAATACGCAAAATAAATTTTAAGTTTACTTGCTTGAGCATTAGAGCCACATTCTCCCTGGAAATCCTGTTAGGCATTTCTGTTAGATTTCCAGACCAGCTCAGACTATTCATAACCTATGCAAAACCATTGTGAGTCTTTGGGGAAATATATCCTGGGGTGGGCAGAGACCCAGCGGACTCTCATTCTCTGCCTCCTTCTAGGCACTGGAAATGGCCCTGATGGCACTTCTGCTCCCATTAGAACTAGGTTTTAAAGGTTAATGTGAACTGGCTGCTTTCTCACACTTTGTCTTCCTATCGCTCCTACCCTAAACTGTTTAGGAACTTAGAAAGTAGACTTAAAATGTGTACTAGTCTTACCAAGGCAGCAGTGGCTCATCTCTCTACCTAGCTTTCTGTTACACTGAGTAGCTCATGTGCTTCTCCATTCTCCTTTCTTTTGCAGAGCATGGATCATTTTGACGACATTGGGCCCAGTGTGGTGATGGCCTCCCCTGGTATGATGCAAAGTGGCTTATCCCGAGAGCTCTTTGAAAGCTGGTGCACTGATAAGCGGAATGGTGTCATCATAGCAGGGTACTGTGTAGAAGGGACACTCGCCAAGGTCAGTCATGCTTCCAGCCCCTTGTGATTCCTAGCCAGGATGGCGGAGGGGCAGTTTCTTCACAGGTTTTCCCACTGAAGTAGTTCTTTAAATAATACAAGTTTTGATTATTTAAAAAGATGAAACTGGAAATGGGTAGCTGGAGATGTTCCTAGGTTGAGGAATTAACGCAGCCTTGAGTGGCATATCCAGACCCCCAGGAGTTGGTAAGCACAGTGAAATCTGAGCAGCTGCCATCTGGTTGCCCGCAGAAAAACCACAGAAGCACCCAGGTACCCTCTGATGAGGAGAGACCAGTGGCTAGCCCTGGCTTGATCTTCCCTCTTCCTATTGATCTATCACGGTTGACATTAACTCCAGGGGACACAGGCATCCGAATGCAAAGCCTCAGCCAGCCTCACGCTCTCTAACCTCCTCTGACAGTGACTTGTGTTATATTTTTTCAAATACATTAAGCTCCCTCATTTGATCCTTTTCATTTGTCTTATTCTGTAAGTCATGTGGGCAGTATTGGCTGTGTATTTGAAATAGATTAGAGAATAAAAATACATCTGTCCTTTGTACAGATCTTTTCACTTAGAAAGTCACTTTTAGAGCAAGAAAATTGTTGAGATTTGTAGGTTTGCCTTTCCCATCAGAAGTTCTTCTTGCATTCCAAGAACATTGAATCTTAATCTGCTTACTTTCCTGATTAAAGATTTGCTTGAGCAAGAGAATTTGATTTACTGTGTCAGTAGTGTTAGAGGGTTTTTGTGCTGAAAGTCCTAAATTTATAGTTTACAGCTGATGAGAAAGTTGAACATGTACCTCTTCTTTCCTAATTGGTTAGTTTATTTGTGTGTTTTCGCCTTTGCTTTTAACAGCATATCATGTCCGAACCTGAAGAAATCACTACCATGTCTGGACAGAAGCTGCCGCTGAAAATGTCTGTTGATTACATTTCTTTCTCTGCTCACACAGATTACCAGCAAACCAGTGAATTTATCCGTGCTTTGAAACCGCCTCATGTGGTTAGTCTGTGAATGTGATTTACAGGGGGGAGAGTGCACCCGAGAGACTTAGCCGCAGCCAATTTGCAAATCAAATAGCACCATCTGTAAGGTAGCATTTTAAACAGACTGCTTGTGCTTGCCCTTGGGTTTGACCTTTACAGCTCCCTCATGAGTTAGCCAAGGCCTGCACTTTAATTTTCTCCATTCCACAAGGTGTCACTTTCTCAGATCTGCCAACTCCAACGCCACTGTCCTTCCTGTTACTGTCAGCTGCCTCCCCAATAACTTGGGAATACAGGCTTTGAGTTGTGACTGCTTGTTTTGAACCCCATCTCCACCCCTGACTTGCTAGTAACCCTGGGCAAGTTACATAACATCTCTGCACCCCGCTTGTCATTGGGATAATAATATAAGGTTGTGAGGGCTAAAGAGAGAACATACCTCAAGTGCTTAATGTGGTGACTGACGTAGTAAATATAATAATTTGGAGGAAGGAGAAAGACGTCATATAATAGTCGTAAAGGTTAAAGATGCAAATAGGTATGAAATATGCTGCATAGGTCCTGGCTGATGTGACTTGTTTATATTTTCAAGTTTCGTGTAATTATTAAAGTAACAATTATATTTTGGTGTAGTTGGGTACGGGGGGGGTAAGCTTTTTATTTTTATTGTTTTTTAAAGATTTATTTATTTTTATTCAAGAATTGGGGTACAGGCCAGAGATGCGGGGGGTGAGAGGATTCACCAGAGACAGAGCGGGGAACAGAATAGGCAGACGGACCGAAGTACACTTCTGAGGGGAGCAGCAGGCGAGACAGGAGAGGTCTGTCCTGCCATGTGGGTTTCTCCCTGGCTGGCTGGGAATTGAACTCGTGCTGCAGTGGCTGTGGATTGCTTCATAGGTTGCGTCTTAACCCCTACGCCCACGAGAGTAAGCTTTTGAAAAGCATTTTTATATTAGAGGAACTGTGTGGAGCAGGTGGTTGTGGAAAACAAACGAGTGCCCTTTCTGGACGTGTTGAGAAGTATCTTAGAAGAAATGCCATTTGTTAACTGCTTTTTTCAAAAATTTTTATTGTGGGGAATACACAACGAAATGTGCAGCTGTAGCCGTTTCCTCGTGTACGGTTCCATGGTGTCTACCACACTCAGTGTTGTTCAGCCACCCCCACTCTGTTTCCAAAACAAACTGCCCACAAAGCAGTAATGCCGCCCTCCCCTCCACACACCCCCAGCCCCTCATTGACTTTGGTATTGCACTTGCTGTAGCTGACTTGCCAAGTTCTGGGTGTTTCATGTACGTAAAATCACACACACTGACCCAGCGGGCTGGGCGCCATCCAGCGTCCGATTCCACCTCCCGTCGTGTGCACTCACCCCATCTTGCTTATTCGTCTTTCTACCACACTTGGCTCGTGTCCACCTTTTGGTCATCAAGAATAAGGCCGCCATGAATAGTGCAGAGGCAGCTGTTTGAGGCCCTGTTTTCAGTTCTGTTGAGCAGATGCTGGGGGTGGAGCCCCGATTGCGTGGGTGATTCTGTGTTGAGATCCCACCAATCTGTCTCCCACGGTGGCTGCACCCACTTTCATTCCCGCTGGTAGCGCAGGAGCGTTCCACCTCCCCCAAACCCTTATCTGCTTGTTTTCCTTTTTGTGACTGCAGCCATGGTGGTGAGTGTGAGGGACCTCTCCCTGTGGTTTCCATTTTCATTTCTCTAGTGACTAACAGTGCTGGCACCTTCTTCATACTCTTGTTTGTTTTGGCCTCTTTCTACTACAATAGTCCTCACAAGTATTTGCCCTTGGCCCTTAGTTCTTTGGGGGTGAAAACCACTCACCTACATCCTAGAATGCCCAGTTAGTTACAGCCAGGCGCTTTGTACAGCCGTGCTTCACGGTTCTACAGCAGGAAGGAAAAGCTGATTCTGGCCCTTTTTCTCTAACTTCCCCCCTTGTCCTCTGTCTTCTCGTCACTCTCCAGGCTCTGTCTCTGCAGACAGTTTAAACTCCTGGATTGAACGTGGTGCTTACCTTCCCCCCGCCCCCAGGTCAGCAGCAGCGTAGCTATGCAGTGAGGCAGGACTACTACTGCAGTGGGTGGTAACAATAAAGGCTAGGCCTTGTCATTTTTCACGTGCTAGGCACTGTGCTAGTGCTAGACTTGTATTGATTTGTCACTCCTCACAATTATCAGCTATTTTGTAGATGAGAAAACTGTGACTTGCCCAAGGTTACACAGCAGTGCCGGGACTTGTGTTCAAACAGGCAGCCCCAAAGTCAGCCTCTTCGCCACTAGGCCCGGTGGCTCTGCCTGGTGGTGATGCCAGGCAGGCTTCTACTAGCACTGGCAAGGAACCACCTACCAGGAGCTTACAGGGTAAGAATGATTGAGCTTGAAAAACATAGGTCATGAAAGGGAAAGAGACTGGTAGCTCCTGCACTGGTAAATACACCCTAAATGTGATATTCTTTGGTTTGGAACTGTTTTATGTGGTATCACTTTAATAAAAAGAGAAAATATCAGAAGTTACTTTTTCCATGAAAGACTTCTTTTGAAAGTCTTAGATTAGGAAAGCTAGCAAAAACCAGGTGTTGTCTGAGGGAGTAGCAGCAACAGTTCATACAAGAATCACATGCTTTAAAGCATTTTAGCTACAGAACAGCCCTTAACCAGCGTGAGCATATAAGCTTGGGCAAGGTCTGTGGCTTCCCCCAAGTGGCAAGAACTGGAGTAAAGAATTTTTCTCGAAATAATTCTACTTAAGGATCTTTTTAAAGCCAAACAGAATGAAAAAGGCAAGTTGGATCAACTGGAGGTGCTTACATGTAATAAAATTTAATAGCTTCAAGTACATGTCTACTTCATTTATCTCTCTAATTCAGGATAGAACATCATTAATCTAAACTAAGGATGTTTCCTTGTACTCTTTTAAAATTGGTTCTATGTAGATTTTAGTCCACGGAGAACAGAATGAAATGGCCAGGTTGAAGGCAGCCCTGATTCGCGAATATGAAGACAATGACGAAGTTCACATAGAGGTTCATAACCCTCGGAACACAGAGGCAGTGACCTTGAACTTCAGAGGAGAAAAACTGGCAAAGGTAAGAGGTTATGGCCCCTAACCTCAGGCTTGTCTTGTTTTCAGGAACATGTGTACTACTTAAGAAAAAAGCACTCAAGAATGTGTGCTTCGTGATGATTTATGTCTTCTTAGTATAGTATAAAAACCGTAATGCTTTTTAGTCATTTTCTAGTACTGCTAATTCATTTCTTTGCATGGAAAATTTTCAAATAAATTAGCTCTTGATGCACTTGAATTTAGTAGCTTTTTAATCCACAACCCATTGCTTTTCCGTCCCATGTCTTGAGGATGAGCAAATATTCACTACTGCTTGTCCTCTTGCTGTTTGCCCTAGAAATTTAAAGATAGGCCCGTATCTGTAAACATTCATCCATGGATATGATGGAACTTACTGAAAAATTTCTTTTAAAGAATTAGTCATTTTTAATGGTAAAATACAGTATTCATGTTTTTATAATATTTATGTAGTTTAAAAATAAAAGGGTTAAGAGAAAAACATACCTGGCACTTTAGCTAAGGAATGCTGTAATAAATCTGATTTGTACTGGGGTGTAGCCCAGAGGTGCGGGGGGATGAAATGATTCCCCAGTGACAGAGTGGGGAGCAGAACAGGCAGACTGACTGAAATCCACTGCTGAGGGGAGCAGTAGGGAGACAGGAGAGGTCTGCCGTGCTGTGTGGATAGCTCCCTGGCCAGGGATCAGACTCGTACTTCCAGATAGCTTGACAGTGCTGAGACTTAACCCTTTGTACCACCAGGGAGGCCTCTTATTTAACTTTATGTATGCGTAGAGACACTCTTGTGAATATCTGTTTTCCCATATGCAGTTTCACATTGGAGTGTTGATCTGGCACTTTAGCCATAATTTTAGCTATTTAAAATCTGATGCTTTACTTCTTTTTTTGCTCACATGCAGTAACCTTACTTAGGTTGAATTCAGGTTTATAGCCACCATCCTCAACCATGTAAAACAAACACTTAAGAAACAAATCAGATCCACAAAGGACTATCAAAAAATCCACACACTCTGCTGTCTCAGAATGTCCGGCCAACCATTTGTATCTATTTCCTTAAATCTGTGTGCTGGACACTAGCACACACTGGCATAAAGAGAGAAAAGCACAGCTGGCAGCAGAAAGTGAAGTCAGGATTATCCCAGCCCTTCCCTGAGGTCCTTCATTCCGCAAGCAGACAAGCGACCCCACCTCATCAGGGTCTGGGGCATCCTGTGTTAGAATTAGTGTCCTGGGAGCAGAGCTCCTGTTCATGAAGGAGAACCCTGTGAGGCAGAGCTCTGTCCGTGCCGGGAGCAAAGCCAGGCTGCTTGTGCCCTTACTCAGCTGAAGACCAGTATGAAATGCATCACCTCTGGCCCTTGAGTTCATTTATTTGTAGCTGGGAAAAGTTATGTTTAAGAATGTGAGTCATGTTTGGAAAGTTTGGTTTTGAAATGTCGTTACTCTCTTCCATTAAAAAAAAAATTCCCCCTTGGGAATTTTTTGGCTGTTCAGGGGTTGAGGTCTCAGTGCTATTGGGCTGTCGCCAGCCACTGTGACCTGAGTTCCATCTTCCACCAGGGAGCTACCGACAGGGCACAGCAGGCCTCCCCTGTCTCCCCGCTGCTCCCCTCAGCCATGGATTTCAGTGGATCTGCCTGTTCTGCTCCCCACTCTGTCTCTGGTAAATCCTCTCATCCCTCGCACCTCTGGCCTACACCCCAGCTCTTGTATGCATAATATAAATTAAAGTAAATCTTTTTTAAAAAATTCCTCCTCAATTGTGTGAGCTTATCCACAGCTGTCTGTGTTCATAGATACTGACAAGATATTACCTGGCTCTGCCTCACGGGTTGGGTCTGGCAGCCGGGGTAATGGAGCCCCCCGCCTTGGGGGGCTGATGACCAGCGGAGGGAACGTGTGCATCAGTGGCCTTCCCACTACACTATCACCTCTGAGAGCTTTTTTATTTATTTTTTTAAGGATTTATTTATGCATACAAGATCTGGAGTATAGGCCATTGGTGCTGGGGGTGAGAGGATTCACCAGACAGAGTGGGGAACAGAACAGGCAGACTGACTGCAGTACACTGCTGAGGGGAGCAGCAGGTGAGACAGGAGGGGTCTGCTGCACCATGTGGTCAGCTCCCTGGCTGGCCGGGGATCGAACTTGTGCTGCAGTGGCTGTGGACAGCTTCATATGTTGTGTCTTAACCCCTTGTGCCACCAGGGAGGCCCTCTGAGAGCTTTTTTAAACCCCAGCACAGCACTCAGTAGGTCTACTTGGTTGCTGAATGGATCCTGGCATTCTTGCCAGATTAGCCCTTGTGATTCTTTCCTTTAGTGACTAGGTAGCCTTGTTACTGCCTGCCGGAAAGCTCTGTGGCGTTTTTTACGTTTCATATATGAATTCATGTGTGTTGTTTCCATGGGCCAAATGTCTAGTGGTTATCATTATGAGTGAGTACTTGAATAATTGCATTTTATAAGATCCTGTTTTCTTAAAGCGGCTCTTTTGGTGTGTTTTTCTTTCAATAGGTCATGGGCTTTTTAGCAGACAAAAAACCAGAACAGGGCCAGCGGGTCTCAGGAATACTTGTTAAAAGAAACTTTAATTATCACATACTTTCTCCTTGTGACCTCTCCAGTAAGTATACTATTGAATGTCAAATATAATTTTACTTTAGCATTTAGCATTTGATTTTAGCACCATTCCAAAATCTGTGACAAGTTCTCGCACTGAGCCAAATTTTAAATAACAACCAAATAATAATACAGAAATATGTAAAAGTTAATAATTTAGTTAGCTTTATGGCAGGGGTAGGGAGATCTTCCTCGAACTATTGAAATACTTAAATCTTTGCCAAATAACTCTTCTCTTAACTGGAAACTTCTACAGTAGGCTAATGGCACCTGCTGACTCTCTGCGGGCCTCTTTCTAAACCCTTGTCAGTGGAGTGTGGTGTTTTTGCTCTTAGAAGTAACACTGCAGTCCCCACATGACGCTGTACATCACTAATGGGACTTTCTGTTCTTCACCATTCCAAAAGAGTGATTAAGAGTAGAAGACAAAGCTTTTATGGTCAACTTAAATGGAAAAATAGTTTAACGTAAAGCCTGATTTTTTTCATTGTGTTGGAACTTTTTTTGAATATTCAAATCGGTAACACTATATAGCCAAAGTACATACGTTATAAACATTCCCCTGTGTGTTCTGTGCCTGTAAATGCTAAGCCAACATTACCTTTCCCAGTAAGCTTGATACTATCTTCAAGTAAATAACTTAGGATTTTTTGTTAGCACTAATAAATTATAAGTGCTATATGAAAGAATAAGAAACAGCAGTGTGTTTAGGTATTCGACCTTGAGACAGGCCCACTGTCAGCTTGCAGAACGTCACACAAGTAGAATAGATCTTGTTCCTTTTTCCAGCAACCCATGAATTCTCCCAGTGCTAGGACTCACTGGGAACGCGTGGGGAGGACAGGATTTATTCAGCACAGTCTTGAACCTTTAAAGGCCGTCTTTTAAAAGCAGCGGTCTTGTGCAGAGTGTGCCCCAGCATTTGTCAGTGCCAGCTAGAGAGCATGATAGGTGTGCCAGGAGAGAAATGCACTGGGAAGAGTTGAGAAGAACTTTGCCAACCAGATAGCTCTGGGCCCGGTGATGAAGGATTACTAGGCCTTGCCAAGCGGGAAGAAGACAGAGGACAGCTGGCTCACTGGGCAGGGAAAGCCCAGGGGGGTGAGGGTGCTTTCTAAGGTTGGAGCATAAATTAGTGGGGGGTGGGAAGAGTGTCAGATGGAAACATTTCACCGAATTACATGCTCTCTTTCTGCTTCTCGTTTTTTCTTCATTCCTGGTAGGTGTTTGCAGATTGTATTTTGTGCTGCTGGTGGTGGTCCTTATCTTTATTCTGATTTTCTCTTCAGATTATACTGACCTGGCCATGAGCACTGTAAAACAGACCCAAGCCATCCCGTATACTGGGCCTTTTAACTTGCTCTTGTACCAGCTACAGAAATTGACAGGTGTGTATATTTATTGAAATTCATTTCATTGGGTTTTTTGGAGCATTTAATAATTATATATTGAGGAAAGGATGATAAAATTTTTGCACTTGTCTCAGAATTGCACAGATTTTATTTTTACTTCATTTGGCCATATAATTGTTACAGTGGGTAAAAATTTTGAAAATATACTGCTAACTTTAATGCTGTAGTACATCTTATAGTACATCTGTGCCAGTCCGTGCAGTAGGTTTTACAGAAGTGTGTAACTACTGGCCGGAGGTCAGTAAAAGAGTAAACCACTCCTATTTTCACGTTAGATCTCTTTCAGTTAGAGATTTTCGTGTTTTAACATGAGGGGCAATGTGTAAATTAAAAGATGTAGACTCTAATAAGCAAGAATGCTTCAAATTACAAGTTACGCTTTCTATGACTATATACCTCGTAATTCATATTGTACTACTACATAGTAAACCCGTAGGAAGCAAATTATTGTGCACCTCAGAACTTCACATTAAGATTTAGGTCATAACATAGAAAGTTAATATATCTGAATTAATCCTTAATGAAGAAGTTACTAGGGAGACCAGAGAAATCTTACCTGAGACAGTAGAATTTCCCTGTGGAATGATTATACCTGTGAAGACAGAAGGTAGAAGTAGTCATCGGCAGGAGTTGACTAGTCTCATGTTCAATGTTAAGATGCCAGCAGCTAAATCTCTTGTACAGACAGATGTTTGGTGGTCATCAAAGTGTTACTGCTAAATTATTTAATATCCAAGGTAAATCCTTTCTAGTTACATGTATTTTTAATATACATTGAGATCTTTCATTTGCTTTAAGCAATTAATACAAAATTTACTTTGCCATTTAAAATCTGACTATGGGGCCTCCCCTGGTGGTGCAGCGGTTGAGCGCTTGGCTGCGACACTGCCTGCAGCCTTTGCGGTGCCTGTTCAATCCCTAGCTGCCTGCGAGGGTCCCACATGGCGCGCAGACCTCTCCTGCTGCCCGCTGCTCCCCTCAGCAGTGTATTTCATCAGTCTTCCTGTTCTGTTCCCTGCTCTGGCTCTGGTGAATTCTCTCACCCTCCCGCGCTTCTAACTGTATCCAGTGCTTGTATAAATAAATAAGTAAATCTTTTTTAAAAAAAGATCTGACTATGCATGAGTTATTAAATTTTTTCATTGTATAGCATTTTTATTTCATCTGTCTCTATAAATAAATGAGTTATTATGTCCCTGGAAGATTATCAGAAAGGTATAAACATAATTACTTCTTTTTTTCAGGTGATGTAGAAGAATTAGAAATTCAAGAAAAGCCTGCTTTGAAAGTGTTCAAAAATATTACTGTGATACAGGAACCAGGAATGGTGGTATTAGAAGTAAGATAAGTTTATTTACCCAAGTGGGGTGGGGGATGGGAGGTGAGGTTTAATCATTCAGCTATAATTGTAGAGAAAAATTAGTTTCTCCCTAGTCAGGAAAATACTAACTGGAAAATATATGCATGTCTCTTTTTCTTTCCAAGATCAGCTTTAAATATAACATAGCTGGGCATCTCCTATGTAGTTTTAATAAATTAAAAGCTCAAAAGCTCAATGTTTGGTATGCTAAGGAGTAGAGGTCTCATGTGAGTGAACTTCACTGATTTTGTGTGCCTCATATATGTCTTCAGTTATGTAAAAAGTTCTTAAAATTCTCAAGATAAAAATCTAATTGTTACATTAAAACAAACCTGTCATATAAGCACTTTTTAAGATATTAAAATTTTGAAGATTTAAATAAATTTAAAGTGACACCAATCTACAAAGGCTAGAAATGATAAATTTAGGTAATAGGATTTCTGCTGGTAGAATTTGGAACCAGACATCAAAGGAATGTGATAGTTGATTTTGAGAGATTCATGCCTGCTTAAAGAAGGACTTCTTTAAAAAAAAAAAAAAAAACAGGTTTATTTTATTTTGCATACAAGAACTGGGGTATAGGCCAGAGGTGTGTGTGTGTGGGGGGATTCACCAGAGAGAGTGGGGAGCAAAACAGGCAGATCTACTAAAATGCACTGCTGAGGGGACCAGTGGGCGAGACAGGAGTGGTCTGCTGTGCCATGTGGGTCACCTCCCTGGCCGTCCTGGGATCCGGGGATTGAATTCGTGCTGCCAATAGCTTGATAGCACTGTCTTTAACCCCCCCACTCCCGCCAATAGGGAGGCCCTAAAGAAGGACTTTACAAAGTGAATCCTGGAACTGAATGATCCAGGGAGGTATCTTGTCTGTTCTCTGCCTCAAGGCTGTTGTAAATTACAAATTTCCCAGTGATGTGGTCAGCTGTTCTTTCCACACATAATATTTTTAAAAACAAAAATCTGTCAAGTTCTGTGATTGAAGTTTAAATTTTTTTTCTTTTAACATTTATTTATTTATACAAGAGCTGGGGTACAGGTCAGAGGCGCGAGAGGGTGAGAAAATTCACTAGAGGGAGTGGGGAGCAGAACAGACAGACAGACCAAAGACACTCCTGAGGGAAGCAGCTGGGAGACAGGAGAGGTCTGCCACGCCATGTGGGTTTCTCCCTGGCCCGGGAATCGAACCCATGCTGCAGAGGCTGCCGACAGCTTCATAGTGCAGCATGAACCTGCTGCACCACCGGGGAGGCCCTGAAGTTTAAATTTGACTTATAAAACTATAACTGAAAAAAGTTAAAAGGAATTGTATGTATAACATGCACTTACATACAGTAACATATAAAATATTAACATCCAAGAAAGCACAAAAATTATTGGCGACGTTGATTCAGTTCTTGTTGCTAAAAACTGTTAGACTATTTTTATTCCTCAGAGTTAACATATCAAAGGAGATCTTAGAGATGTTTTTCAAGTGCCTCGCATTGCTTGTAAAAGCTCTCTCAGGAGAGATAATATAAAATGGAGGCGTAGAAGACCTCCTCGGAGCACTGGGCACGTGAACGTGCTGGGGGCCTCGGGCTTCAAAGGACAAATCAAAGCAAATGCTCATATGCTCCCTGCTCCCCGTTTTGCTGTGGCAGAGCCACTAGACCCTGAGCCGGAGTCCCTGCACGAGCAATGCTGCCTGTGTTACCTTCCACAAGTTTATTTTGGATCAGTTTCCTCCTTTACAAAATGGAACTTTTTCCATTATGAGAATTATGAGAATTAAATGAGATGATGCACAGAAAACACTTGGCACAAAGGGAGTGCTCCGTGCACTTGACTGTTGTTATTGAAAGAAAAATAGAGCAGTCCAGCCTCATTAATTTTAGTGAACGAGGCAATGAGTTTCAGTGAAAGTGCGTGAAGCAGCCATCCCTTGGTGCGTTCTGGGTGGGGGAAGCAGTGTGGGGGAAGCTTTTGTGATCGGCCACAGCTGTGTTTCCTAACCTGCCCTCTGCTCTCCAGTGGCTGGCAAACCCTTCCAATGACATGTATGCAGATACAGTGACAACTGTGATACTGGAAGTTCAGTCAAACCCGAAAATAAGGAAAGGTACAGTTGTTTCGTGTTTTCAATTCTTGCACTTCTCCCATGGGCCTGTGAACTGAAAAGCAGAAGGTAGAACCCTAGGAAATGAAATCTCCTAGTTCCTTCATTCTTACAGCCTCTAAGATACAAAACGTGCTTAGCAGTGCATATTGCTAATATGTTACATTTTGTGCTAAATCTTTTTGTGTGCCTTTAAAAACCTGGTTGCAGCTAACATCAAGATAAAATTCCTTAATAATATTCTAAAAAGCAATTTAATCAGAAATTCCAAAATATTGCAAAATTGAGTCATTATATCTAATGGGAAAATGTTCTTTGCTCTGATCCATAGTAGTTGTATTCAAATTATCACTATATTGTTAGTGATCCTTCTTAAACTGTAGGGTAAAAATTTCTTCTTATGGTTACCTTCTGGGTATTTCAGCAGAGATTGATTACAGACAAGTAATCAAGTAATTTTTCTTGAGTTAACTGTGATAATCTAGCTGGCTGGCTTAGATTCCCAACTTTCACCCCCACTGCATAGTGTGTCGAGAACAGGATTTTATATTCTTTCAAAGCAGTGATGTACTTGCACATTTCCTTTTTTTTTTTTTTTCAACTTTAATTTCTTTTTCATGTGTAGTAAGGACTCAAGTATTTTATTTATTTATTTATTTATGCAAGCACTGGGAAGAGTCAGAAGCGCGGGAGGGTGAGAGAATTCACCAGAGTCAGAGCAGAGCAGGCAAAATGACGAAGTACACTGCTGAGGGGAGCAGCGGGCGGCAGGAGAGGTCTATGCGCCATGTGGGACCCTCGCCCGGTGGTCGGGGATCGAACCGGCGCTGCAGAGGCTGCGGGCAGCTTCACAAGCCAGCACTCAACTGCTGCGCCACAGGGGAGGTCCTTGCACATTTCCTTTTAACATTCATTCAACAGGTACTTCTTGCACACTTGCTGCTTGGCAGGTATTCCAAGTGCTCAGGGTGCATCGGTGAATAGCCCAGCTGTCCAGGGGCTGACACTGTAGGGTGCGGAATAGGAGGCAGATCATGTAGGGTCTCGTTGGCCATCGCAAGAACTTGGGACTTTTGTTCTGAGTAAATGTGTTACACTGTAGGGTGCCTGTTGAGAGTGGACTGTTAGGAGGTTAAGTCTGAAAATAGAGGTTCCAGTTAGGTCAGCCAAGTGGGAGATGGAGGTGCAGCCAGGGCAGAAGGGGAGGAAACAGGAGGAAGTGGCTGGATTCCCAGGTTCTTGGAAGGTAAAGCCAAAAAGTATTATTCCCTGATGGGTTAGATCTAGGGCGTGAGAGAAAGAAAATAGACATGAATTTTAAAGCGAGAAGATGGTGTCCAAGAGGCGTGTGTGACAGAATAGTCTGGGAAGTTGTCACCCGGGGGCTGTAACTGCTCCTTCGGAAGATGAGACGTAGCACAGAACTGACACACTCACGCACTCTTTTCTTTTGCTGCACGTGAGGAAGTCGAGGGTGTTCATTCCATACATTTCTCATTTAACTAATTGACTTTATCCTGTCCCAAGAGGATATTTACCTTTATAAAGCAGAGGCTGCAACTAGGGCCCAATCCCACCCTCTTCCTGTTTTTGTAAATAAAACTTTAAGGAGACACAGGCAGGTGCATGGGTTTGCTAGCATGTCATGCTGCTCAGGGCTGCGACGGCAGGGTGGCCACAGACTCGCAGCTGGTCATTTACAGGACTTGGCCAGCTCTCGTCCGTCCCCAGACCCCTTCGGTAAAGCAGTCTGTGAAAAAGCTTGAGAAACACTGGAAATAAAGTCAAATATTTTTAAAATGTCATTTGTGAATCTTTAACATGGTTCATCACTTTGATCTATCGTAACTATATTTTGATTATTGGTTTGGAAAGTATTCCAAATGGGAATTTGGAAGTTGAATTCCGTTGCTTTCTTTCCCCTCAGGCGCTGTACAGAAGGTTTCAAAAAAATTAGAAATGCACGTTTACACCAAGAGGTTGGAGATCATGCTGCAGTAAGTGCTCCCCCTGTCCGGCTCCACCAGGGGGGAGGGAGGGCCCCTCTGCACTGGCTCAGCGCTAACGGTCCAGGAGGCTCGCATAGGCCACCAGTGTGACCACACTGGGTCCCTGCATTTGGTCAGCAAAGCGGTTTGAATCTCTTCCTTCACCTAAACCCTCCAGCTGCTTCACATTCACATGACCTGTTTGCTCAGTGCCTCTCCGTTCCATGCAGGTTATTTAGCCTAGATCCTTGGGACTTGTTTGGCCTGGCCTGGCCTGGCCTGGCCCACTCAGCAGGGATTAAAACATCAAGGATGGGGACTACAATCTTAACCCAATGTTACTATGCCTTTAAGAATCATTTTATGTATTTACTTCTCTTGAAATGTGAATTCTCCATTAAGAACTATTTTCTTTTACACTCTTCTCAGGAGGTAAGTCTGTTAACTGTGACTTTTAAACTCAGCATTTTTCTAAATAACAGCTTTTGGTTCTTTAACCTTTCCCTGGGTGCTTTTCGAGGCTGATTTCAGAAAGTGTTTCCAGATAAAATATTTATCACATAAAATGCCTCAGTGTAGATAACCACAGTCAGTGTGTGTGAACTGTAAGAGGAAGAATAAAAAATTTGAATTTCTAATTCTGCATCTAGCACAATGTCTTCCACATTGTAATCTCTCTTTTTAAGATTTATTTATGTATGCATACAAGAGCTGGGGTACAGGCCAGAGGTGTGGGGGGTGAGATGATTCACCAGAGACAGAGTGGGGAGCAGAACAGGCAGACTGACTGAAACATACTGCTGAGGGGAACAGCAGGTGAGTCAGGAGAGGTCTGCTGCGCCATGTGGGTTGCTCCCTGGCTGGCTGGGGATGGAATTCATGCTGCAGAGGCTGCTATTGCTTCATAGTGTGGCGCTTAACCCCTTGCGCCACCAGGGAGGCCCCACATCGTAATCTCTTGAATAATGTAAAGGTTGCTTCTGATTGTAATTTTCAAGGTTGCTTCTGATTGTAATTAGATGCTTTTAACAAGATAAGGGGCCTGTGTTTGCAGGTTTTAGGTTAAAGTCCCTTCCCTCAAAATGCCTCCCTGACCTTCCTTCTTAAACAGCCATTTAGTAGCTTTTAAAAGCTGAGTGATGACAGGCTTTCAATGGTGAGTTCGCTTACAGAAGCCTTCAGACACCTTCAGAAATGAGTCCATGGTGTTGTCATTTTGATATTAAGAAGCATTCATCCTGTCATGCAATCCAAACACCAGCCCACAGTGGTTGGCCAACAGCGATCTCCCAGCCTCAGGCTCTGCATTGTTGCTTCCAGCTGTGGAGAGAGTAGCCACGTGTCTCCCACAGAGGCCGCTCCCCTGCCCCTTCTGGAAGCCCCACCTACTAGCCCTGGAGACTGTTGATCATTGTAGATCACTGTAGATCACTGATCCCTTGGACAGTTGGGTAAAGTTGTGGAAGAAACTGGTGGGCCAGATGTGGAAATCCCATTGATGGGCGGTGTCGGGTTCCAGAGCCCAGCGCTAGCACAGCATCTGGCTCACAAGAGGTGCCCGGAACACAGAGCTTAAGGCAAACAGGCGCTTGAAGCCAAAGGAAAGGGTGAGCCAGAGGGCTTGGGGGCAGCTCCCCCCCGCCCCTCCCTTGCCTGGCTTGGCTCCCAGCTCTGCAGCTCCCGAGACACCCTTCAAACAGTTCACTGGACCCTTCCCCCCCATGCCCCGCCCTCCTGCCTGATGCATTGTCCCTGAGCAGAGCACTCTGGTAAATGAGGGCTGTGGTGGGGCTGTTTCATACCACTGATCAGGTGGATGGAGGGGAATGAGGACGTGAGAGGAGTAGGGGTAACACAGCGGGTCCTTCCTGACATCCTTTTGTATCACTGTTTCGTGATAACCTTGATGAGAAGAAAATCACCCCAGCTGTGGGGGGAAACGCCCTGCATGCTGTCTCGCCTCCAGGGGCTGCTTCCAAGCAGCTCCAGAGGATGCTCAGCGAGGACCTGGAGCTCTCCAGAACTGGGGCCTGTCTTCAGTATTATTTTTCCCCAAGTACATAAAATTCCATATTTGTGAGTACGTTTTCCACTAATATTGCATCTTTGTTTATCTTAAGGGACATATTTGGAGAAGACTGTGTGAGTGTGAAAGATGGTTCTATTCTTGGTGTCACAGTGGATGGAAAAACTGCTAACATAAACTTGGAGACACGGGTACGTAGCTGTTCCTCAATCTTAAGACGTGGGGAAATAAGCTGAAGGCAAAAACAGTCTGCTCCCAGCCTGACAGATTACTTTGGCATTTCCTTTCTGTTTTCCTGACCTTCTTTCTACAGGTGTGTTTGTGTCATTATATGCACATACATGGAGTTTCACACCCGTGCTTGTTTCTCACTGTCCTACGTGTCCTCCCGTGTTGCTGCCTCGTACACACTTCACTTGTTCCATTGCTCAGCCTGTACTGTTAAGTGGGGGAGAGTTACAAAATAGCAAGTGTGAGGAATTATCCTTTTTTTAAATTTTTTTTATTTATACAATAGCTGGGGTACAGGCTAGAGGGGAGGGTGAGAGGATTCACCAGAGACAGAGCAGGGAGCAGAACAGGCAGACAGACCGAAAGCACTGCTGAGGGGAGCAGCGGGCGCGACAGGAGAGGTCTGCTGCACCATGTAGGAGTCTCCCTGGCCAGCCGGGAATCAAACCCACACTGCAGAGGCTGCACACAGCTTCACAGCGCTGTGCTCAACCCACTGCGCCACCTGGGAGGCCCTATTTTTTTTTTTTAAGATTTATTTATTTATGCATACAAGAGCTGGGGTACAGGCCAGAGGTGCAGGAGGTGAGAGGATTCACCAGAGACAGTGGGGAGCAGCACAGGTGGATCTACTGAAATACACTGCTGAGGGGAGCAGCAGGGAGACAGGAGAGGTCTGCTGCACCATGTGGGTTGCCCTCTGGCCGGGGATCAGACTCGTGCTGCAGAGGCTGCGGACCCCTTCATAGGTTGCATCCTAACCCCTATTTTTCTTTTAAAGAAATAGGTAAGCATAGCTAAGCGTCTAGCAGGTTCAATACATTAACAGTGGTTATCATTAGTTGATGGGATCCAGGTGTTTCTGTTCTGTCCTAGATCTTCATGTGAAGCATTTTAGTGGTATGATTAAAATCAGTTCAACACCAAATTGCACTTTGTAATTGACAGTCACTTAGATTATTAGCAAGTCTAAGGCACATTTAATGCCAGACGCTGAGTGGGTAACCACATCCATTGTGGCTAAGCCATCTGTGTTGCACAGACACTAGATTCTTGGTGTGTCATTTACTCGGTCAAAACATGAGCTTGAAAGTAGACTTCCAATTTATTCTTATTTTCCAAAAATTAATTTCTAAGCAGACCCGGTTGCAGCTTTCTGTCTAGGCGCCTGCCCGCCACTCCCTGCTCCGTCACCTCCGTCCCTGCAGGAGGACTGTTCTCGAAGGGTATTCCTTTCCCTTCCGGGCGGCCATCCTGAACTCACACTGAGAGCCATGCTTGTGCTTCCTCTGCAGACGGTAGAATGTGAAGAGGGGAGTGAGGATGACGAGTCCCTCCGGGAGATGGTGGAGCTGGCTGCGCAGAGGCTGTACGAGGCGCTGACGCCAGTGCACTGACCCGTGGTCCGCGCGTGCGAGTTGCTCTCTGATGCTTGGCTCCACTTCTGCTACGTAAAATAAAATACTTTAGTTGATCGGAGTAGCCGATTTACTTCTGATGTCAAATAGCCTTTGTTCCCACATCCTGAACATGGCTAAAAAATTACCCGCTCATTTGTCCGTATTCTGAACTGCTGAACTGCCTGCCATTTTAGGACATGATCCCGCTGCAGGCGCTGGCAGCCCCCTCTGAGCCCAGTGAGGTCTCGTGGCAACGGAAGCAGAGTAGCTTGTACTTTAAAAAAAATACACGATTCATATTTTCATATCCAGATCCTGAATTTCAGTGATCCTAAATTATTATTTAAACTTTTAAGCCCCTTTTCTATTTCTTTCCTCCTAAGGAAAGAAAATTTCCCCTAAGAATTTTGCCAAATTCCTTAATTTGTATGTTTGTACAATTATGACTTGGGATTCAGTGATTTTCTTTATGTACTATCTACACATTCAATCAGAATACCGTGTTTATGGCTCAGGGTCAATGATTTCGGGTGTTCCTTGGTGCTACATGTAAACAGAGCCTGTGTCCCGTTTCCTGGCATTGCTGTCATTCAGACTTGCAGGTAATTGCGGGAGTGAAGGGGCTGCAGGGCGCCGCCCCTGCACAGGCTGACGCCTTCTGCGGAGGGAGAGTGTAGTAGCTCCTCCGCCGCAGCCTGGTTCCGAGTTGCCCCATTCGGCACCCCCGGCAAGCCTCGGGCCTCCAATGGAGGGTGAATGACACTTTCAGGCTTCTGTGGGCCCTCTGGTCCTGGTGTGGGTGCCGGGTGAGAGGTAGGGGTGCCGGGCAGGCGCACCCGTGATTATGGACACCTGGGCCCAGACAGCGTGGGGCGTGCGCACGCGCAAATGCACACACCTGTGCCTCGAGAAGGATAAAGTCAGCAGTGGCAGCAGCACTACGAGAGGGGCAAGACCATGAGATGAGATCGAGAGAGGGCCAGAAGGCGTGGAGCTTCGTCGGGCTGGGGGCTGGCCAGCCTCCCAGTCCCCCTGCCTGGCTCATGCCTGCCTCCTTGCATGCCAGCCTCCCCTCCTGGTGAGCCTGTGTGCCTGGCCAGCATTAAAGGCCTGTGAAATCCACTGAGGGCTCTAAGATTCGTCTGCCCCATCGATAGTGAACCTGCTCTGTGCATGCTGAGGCTATGCCTGGCACTGAATTCACCCGCACTGTTTAGCCCTCACCTTGCCTCACCTCTTGGTGGCTTATAGCTGCTGGCCTGCATTTTAAAGACAAATTTCAATGGACGAATCTGAGTTTTGACCTGAAAGAGTAAATAGAGGGGCTACAGCCATCCAAGGACAGTGGCCAATAGAGGACAGGTCACTGTAGGTCCTTCATGCGCACAATTACAGGACCACGCAGGCTCAGGGAACAACATGGGGTTTATTAACAGGTAACAATTTCTAAAGCCACAAGTGACCAGCTTTCTCACCCCACATAGTGTCCATGATGTCCAAAAGTCCTAACAAAAGGCTGTTCATCCAAGATGGCGCCATCCTGTCAATGAGGGCCTGGTGCGCATGGCAGCCAGCGAGCCCAGGGCCAGGAGCCAACTCACAGCAGCTAGAGGTGCTCACAGCAGGGGCCATTGAGAGGACGCCCCAGCCCCAGCCTGAAGGCCAGATGGACAGTACCGTGCACTCAACCAGTCAACTGAGGCAGCGCTGGGTGACCAGGTACAACATAACAGCTCTCAAAAGTGGCCCATACAGGGTGCTGGTCACCAGTCAACAGTGCTGGACAGCACTGACCAGTGGTGCCGGTCACTAGGCAGCAGCGGAAGCCGCACCAGCATTATACGCCAACAACAAACAGCTCTTTGGACACCAAGCTCCAGCCTGGTGCTGCTTTCAGGCAGTGTTAGAGGCAGGGCTTGAGGCAGGTGCAGGCTGTTTGGCCTCTGAGAAATCTGGCTTCTCTGGAGGTTGGCTGTTGGCCCTTTCTTCAGAGGCCAAAGCGTGCCAGAGAGAACAAGTTCCAGGCTGGTTCCCGCCCTGCCTAGATCCTCCTTCTGGGGTCCCCCACCGACAAGGCTGAATGAACCGAGATCCCAATCAGCTTGTAGGTGGCACTTGACGGTCCTCGCCATCAATCAGGCACCAAACCCACAGGCCTCTAGTGCCTGCAGCTGGAGGAGCTGCAGCCCTGGAGCTGGCCAGTGGGGCTCCTCCCTGAAGCCCCTTTTGGGACTTCAGTGGACCTACAGTGACCTGTCCTCTATTGGCCACTGTCCTTGGATGGCTGTAGCCCCTCTATTTTACTCTTCAGGCCCTGGGGTGCATGGTAGGGGAACCTGCGCCATCTGCCATAACTACTGGCCTCTCTGCAGCCTGAGCCCTGGGGCCACAAAATGCCGACCACACGCTGCAGCTTGCACTGCCCGCAGGCTCTGGGTGGAAGCACCAGAGTCCCCAGGTACTGAGCTGGGGGGGCCCGCAGTTTCGAAATGAAATACACTTCCATGAGAATCCTTTTGGTCCCAAAGTCACACTGACTTTTTATACTGTCATAAACATTTTTATTGTGATTTTGAAATATTTTTAAGTCACAAAAAATGCATTTATGGTAACAATCCAGGGTACAGCGGAAAGGGGAAGTGACCTTTGCCGCAGTCCCGCTCCCTGGCCGGAGGGGGTGGAAGTCCCCGCCGCGCTCGGTCTGCCTCCCCCGCCCAGGCAGCCGAGTCCCCGCCTCCCTCTCGGGCTCCTGCCGCCACCTCCCGCGTCCTGGAGCAGATTCCCGAGCGCCTCCGGGGGTCGGGCGGGCCGGGTTCTCTCCCCCTGCGCGCTGCATCCCGGGCGCGTCGACCGCGCCCACCCCCGGCTCCCGCCGGCGTCCGCGGATGCAGCGGCGCCGGTCGGGCGTTTCCCAGCCCGGGCGAGGCTCCTGCCAGCCCGTGAGCCGCGCCCCGCCCCGCCGCGCCCCGCCCGCCCCGCCCCGCCACGAGCAGGTGCCGCGCGAGGCCAGGCCCGGCCCGCGCGGGGAGGGGCCGGCCGCTGCTGGCGCGGAGGGACGGGGGGGCGCGCTCCGGCGGGTGCACAGAGGGGCTTCCGCGAGGCGGCGGCGCGCTCCTTTGAAACTCGGGGTGCTCCGCGGAACGCGCTGAGTCCCCCTGCACCCCGGGCCGGGGGACGGGAACGCGGGGGCGAGAAGGGAACCCGACTGCGCAGGCGCGTCTCCGCGCCCGCCCCCGAAGCGCGCCCCGCCCGGAAACCCGACCTGGCCCCGCCTCCCAGAGCCTCGCCCCGCCCCCATATCCGGCCTCGCTCCGCCTCTCAGTGCCTCGCCCCGCCCGGATATCCGGCCTGGCCCCGCCTCTCAGTGGCCGGCCCCGCCCCTCAGGGCCTCGCCCCGCCCGCATATCCGGCCTGTTCCCGCCTCTGGCCGCCGCGCCATGGCGCTGTGCGAGGCGGCGGGCTGCGCCCCCTCCCTGCGCTGGCCGCGCGTGCTGCTCTTCGGAGACTCCATCACGCAGGTACCGGCCCGTTCGCTCCCGGCCGGCCTCGGCTCCCGGGGCGACGCCCCGGCGGGGAGCCCGCCGGCCGCCGCGGGGTGCGGACAAGGAAGGCCGCGCCTGAGGCGGCCCCGAGGCCCGCGCGGCCCCCGGCGTCGCCCCCGCCGGCCCCGGCGCCTGCGCGGTGGGCGGGCGCCGTCCCCGTGGCCCTCGCGCGCCGCCTCCCCGCGTCCGGGCCACCTGCCGGCCGGGCGGCCGCGCCTCCTGCGGGCCCGGCGCCCCGGGCGGGCTGTCCGGCCAGGGCCGCGGCGCGGCAGAGCCCGGCCCCTCCCGTCGGTGCCCGCCGCCCTCGGGCTGCCCGGCGACGCGGTCCGCGGCGCGCCTGCCGCGGGGCCCCCGTGCGGGGTCGCCCCTCAGGGAACGTCCCGGTGACCTGCACCCTCTGGCGCGGGCCTGGGGTGAGGCGCTGCTCCCGGGTGGAGCCTGGCCCGGGGGCGTCATGGCGTGCGGGCGACTGGCTCAGCCGGCGGAGGGGGCAGGAAAGTCGCCACACCGGCCCCCAAGTGGCCTCAGCCCGGCGCGGGAGGGGCCGGAGAGCCGGGGGGTCTGACCGCGCTGCCGAGCAGTGATGGGCTTCTCTGTCTGCAGTTCTCTTTCCAGCAGGGCGGATGGGGCGCGGCCCTGGCTGACAAGCTGGTCAGGTGAGAGGAGTTTCCAGATGCTTTTTTTTTTAACATTATTTATATATACAAGAACCGGGGGACGGGCCAGAGGTTGGGGGGTGAGAGGATCCACCAGAGCCAGAGCGGGGAGCAGAACAAGCAGATTGACCAAAGTGCACTGCTGAGGGGGGCAGCGGGGAGACAGGCGAGGTCTGCCGCGCCGTGTGGGTTGCTCCCTGGCTGGGCTAGAACTCAGACCAGGTGGTGGTAGCGCTGCGGCCTAACCCTGAGACCCCCAGGGAGACCCAGAAAACAAATTCTTAACTCTAAATTGGATTCAGTGACTAGATTCTACCCCCCTCATTCTCTTTACTGAAATCACTTTTGATACATTTTGTATTTTATTTGTCCAGCTTGATTTGAATATGTGCCATGGGAATTATTAAAAGGAAAATAATGTCCTAATTCAAGAGGCCAAAAGTCTTAGAAATACTGGATTGTCGGAAAAGTCATGACGCATCTTTGCTTGAAAAAGAAAAAAAATACATCATGACTTTCCCGACAATCCAGTATTTTCCACAATCCAGCAGGCCCAAGTGTGTTTGGGGTTTCAGTGAATGATCTGCAGGAAGTTTCTTTTCCTCCTTTAGAAAAAATAGTAAGCTGGATTATACTGATTCTTTACCAGTATAGTCAACACACCAAGAAAAAATTTATTTCGGAAAGTGAAGTGTATCTCAAAACATCTTTCTTTCTCCATTTTTACTCCTGAAACTAGAACTGTAATTCACTTCCCAGCTTTTTTCTATTCCCAGTGCTGTTTCAGTGGATGTGGTCTGAAGGCGTGAGACCAGCATCCACTCCTCAGTGGAATGCTCACCTTGTGCAGACACTCCTGTCTGTTGCCTCATTGAACCTTTACAGCTACTCTAATCTTACTCCCTTCCCCATTTTCCAGCAGAGACAAGTAAGGTGGAGAGAGGTTAAATAGCAAGGTCACACCCCTCGGGGGCGGCAGGTGGCCCCTGCAGGTGACAGGGCCCCTACTCCTGGGAGGGCCATGAGCTGGCCGTGCCTGCTCACCCTCGGGGCTGGACACCAAGTGCTCAGTAGACACTGGCTTCTGTTTTATCCGCTCACTGTTGGATTTATTTAGCTTTTACTGAAGACCTTGAAAAGCTAAATAGTTAAGAAGCCTGAAAAACTGCAGGCACTTAATGTTTCACCAGCACCTGTTGCCTATGCAGTTAATGTGTTTACTATTAAAATCCTGTCAGACTCAATAGTGGACAGGTGTGGTTGCTGGAAGACCCTTATTTAGAAACTACTTTGTTTTCAGATTTGAGTGATTGCAAGAAAAGTTGGAGACAGTGCGTGGTCTGTTATGCTTTGTTTCTATAACTTACTTTGTTTTTTAAAAATTAATTTATGCATATAAGAGCTGGGGTATGGGCCAGAGGTGCGGGCAGGGGGTGAGAGGACTCACCAGAGACAGAGTGGGGAGCAGAACAGGCAGAAGGACTGAAATACATTGCTGAGGGGAGCAGCGGGGAGACAGGAGAGGTCTGCTGCGCCCTGTGGGTCAGCTCCCTGGCCGGGGATTGAACTCATGCTGCAGAGGCTACCGATAGCTTCACAGTGCTGAGATTTAACCCCTTGCGCCACCAGGGAGGCCACTATTTCTGTAATTTCTTAAAAGCATCTCGTTGAGGCATAAAGCACAAACCTGGCCCCTGGCTACCCCATCAGGTGACCTCACCTGTCTAAATTCTCCCCCATTCAGGCTCTGCCTGCAGAGACTACCTCCCCCTCTCCTGGGCACACTCCCCTCTGCCAAGCTCCCGAGAGCCCATTGTAAACTGAAACGCCACACTGGAGCAGAAGGTAGTACCAGACAGCAGAAAGCTCCCCACGCACTCTCAGCCCATGTCTTCCGGCAGGCAGGTCTGCAGAGGAGCTGGGAGGCCGAGTGGGGAGGGGAGCTTGTGTGGGAGGGAAGCTGGAGTGTTGGTGCCTCAGAGGTGCCTGCTGTAGTCACTGCCCCGGGCCAGGGCAGCGGAGTCCACCCTGTTTTCTTAACACCGGAACCTGCACTGGTGTCCACGTCCCCCAGCCGCTGCCGCTTGGTGGACACATTCAGTTTTCAGCTGCGTCGATTCTCAGGGCATGTTTCTGACAGACCTGGACCCTGATGTTGGCCTAGCCCAATGCACAGCCCCGACTGACTCTGGTCTAACTTGACCAGAGTTTGCAAGTTCGCAAGATTTCCAAGTTTGCAAATTAGAGACAACTTAGTGTAACTGCCCTCCTGTGGCACCTCCGTGGGTGCTGGTGAGCTTCAGGTGTGTGAGCTTCAGTGCATGAGAGAGTACGCCCCACAGTGGCCTTGCACAATTCTTAATTCCCTTTAAAATTCATTGACGTTTTCTTTTTCAACTTTATCCAAGTATTTCTTTAACCAGAAAGACTTCGTGAAGGAGTTAGAGCAAATTTATCTTTTTCAGTTTTTAAAAACTGCTTTTTGCTTTTTAAGGCTGTGCCCCAGCCTGTTGGGGTTTATAAAACCCCAAATTTACCTATTTTTTGAAAGGTATCTTGCAGGGCCTGGATGTTATAGAATGAATCTTTTAGTCCTTAGCTTTTTCCCGTTTTTCATCCAAACTTAAATACCTGTCATTAGCCATGAATTTATGTAAAAACTTACAATTTTTCAGTTTTGAGTAACTTAGGCACCATTTCGTTAGCAATCTCGAGCAACTCAGGGACGCTCCCTATCCCTGTCGGGACACCTGGGCCTCACTAGCTCTCTTCCTGGTTCACAGGCTATTAATGATTTTTTAAGTCTGTAATGGCCAATGTCAGTTGAGCTGTGTGCGCGCCTGGCCATTTCGTTGCTTTCAAATTTCACACGCCTCGTGGACTGGTTGCCAGTGCCCCCCTCCTGCAGGGCAATGGCGGCTCAGGACACAAGTGGCCAAGGCTTCCTTGCTGGGCGTCTGCAGTGAGGTCCCACCTGCTCTTCCAGGCCTTGTGTTTTTGCAGCCTCACCGTACAGGCCTTCGGGAAGCTGTTTTGCCTTTTAAGTGCTGCAGTGACAACCTTTGGATGGGGAAGGAGAGACTCACTTGTCAAAATTCTAGGTCTGTAAAATGGCTAGTCAATTTTAAGAATTATTGCACATAACAATAGAAATCAGGGCCTCCCCAGTGGCACAGTAGGTAGACCTCAGTGCTGTGAGGCTGTCTGCAGCCTCTGCAGCGCGGGTTCGATTCCCAGCCGGCCAGGGAGAGTCCCACAAGGCGCAGCAGACCTCTCCTGACTCCCCACTGCTCCCCTCAGCAGTGCATTTCAGTGGATCTGCCTATTCTGCTCCCTGCTCTGTCTCTGGTGAATCCTCTCACCCTCCCACGCCTCTGGCCTGTACCCCAGTTCTTGTATAAATCTTAAAAAAAAAAAAAAAATAGAAATCGCACTTTGCAATAAATATTTTATTGCCCCCAAGATGTGTAAATGCTGAGAGGGTCCAGAGTAGTGTCACGTGACCTCCCACTGCCTGGCCTTTGAACTTGCAATGTCAGTCATTGGTGCCTCACATTTTTACACGTGGGGATTTGAGCCACGCGCCGCTGTGAACGACAGCAATTCACTAATCCTCAATATGAATTCCGAGATACAGCTTATGGCAGCATCTGCAGGCGCAAGGCGTGGATGGCCGCTCCATCCCCCTCGCCAGGGGTTATGCTGAACCTCATCCTATGTCCCAGCCTTTCACCAAGATTACTTTCAAAAAGCACCTCTCGTGGGGCTGGCCGTGTAGTCCGTGTTTGAAGCCTGTTGCCTGGATTCGCCCTGAGCTACTCGTCCTCATACGTAAGGGACATCCCCAGGTCGCAGCCGCGATGCGGTGGAGCTGGCGCCAAATCCAGCCAAGTCCACGGCTTTTTTCATGACACCACGCAGCGCGGTGCCCCAAACATGGATTTTTAGAAGAAAAAGGGCCTATTTACTGGTTTAACGGGGGTATCTTTACTAAAGTCATTAAAACCATTATGTGCTACTGGCGCCGTGTAGGCAGAGGTTTGTCAGCCACAGCAGGCCTCTGGCGGGGGTGGAGATGGGGGGGCGACGCCTGGGTGAGGCCGACCTCTCCTGAATGGCTCCCTGCTCTCCTCAGCAGTGTTTTTCAGTTGATCCGCCTTTTCTCTTCCCCACTCTGTCTCTGGTGAATCCTCTCACCCCACACACCTCTGACCTGTACCCCAGTTCTTGTATGCATAAATACATCTTTAAAAAAAAAACAATTTGAACTTTTATTTCCACATTAGCATTCACAGTAGCTTTGGAATATTAGGTGTCAGGGTGACTGGTCAGGAAGAATTTATACCAGAGCTTACTTGGCTCCAAGAGTCCTTTGATCAAGTGAGAGATCAAACTGATACTATTTGAATCCTTCTTCCTATTCAAATCATTCCAGTGTACATGCTACTAAAGTTGTTAGTTTTCATTTAGAAAAGAATGAGATGAAATTAGTATAGGATATTATATCTTATTTAATTCCTCTTGTGGATACTTCTCAAGACTTTTGAGTAAGGACTTTGCCAAAAGTCCACCTGGTCTCTCATATCTGTGGCTTTTTCTGCCTTAGCTACTCGGTCGGGTAAGCAGCAGTCAGCTGTGAACCCCATTGGGAAAGTGCCCCAGAGCAGCTGGTCTGCAGCCTGGCCCGGCCCTTTGTGCCCAGCTGGGCCTGGCCCTGCAGGGATGCAGTGGGTTGGTCTCACAGGTGCTGCCCTCTAGAAAGGGAGCCATGGCGAGCTCCAGGGAGGGTGCTTCCTCCCGAGGCTGCCTGCAGGGGGCCCGCGGCGGCGCCCGCCCTCATCTTCTTTGCAATTTCTCATTGCAGGAAATGCGACGTTCTCAATCGTGGATTTTCGGGTTACAATACCAGATGGGCCAAAATCATCCTTCCGAGGCTGATCAGGAAAGGGGGCGGCACAGAGCACCCTGTAGTTGCAGCCACAGTTTTCTTTGGTGCTAATGACAGTGCGCTCAAAGGTAAGGGCATGTTTGTGGTTTTTCCTGAGTCGTTTTTAATCGTGTGTTACAGCCAGCTCAGATCCGGTAGCTTTTTTTTTTTTAAAGATTTGTTCATGCACACAAGAGCTGGGGTGCAGGCCAGAGGTGTGGGGGGGTGAGAGGATTCACCAGAGACAGTGGGGGGCAGAACAGGCAGATCTACTGAAACACACTGCTGAGGGGAGCAGCGGGGAGACAGGAGAGGTCTGCTGCGCTGTGTGGGTAGCTCCCTGGCCGGGGATCACACTCAGGTCGCAGTGGCTGGAGAGAGCTCTATAGTGCTGGACTCAACCCCTGCGCCACCAGGGGGGCCCTGGAGAGCAGTTTTAAACAGTAGTGTGCGTGGACACACATGGAATGAAAGTTCTCTTTTGTTACTGGTGGAGAAAGTTTTCTGGAAGGCTGTTTGGACTTGCCTGGAAACCAGGACACGTGCAGCTGAGCGCCCAGGGGTGCCCGCAGGGCTCCCACGGGCCACTTCCAGTGACAGTGGGCGGGAAGCGTCCGCGCAGCCACCTGCAGCTACGTCTTGTGGCTTTTGAGGATCGTGTCTGTGGCAGGGGCGCGCGGGTTATGTGGGGAAAGCAGCTTGTGTGTCTGCCGTGCGATCCCAGGGTCGCTCCCACATGGGGAGGACTAGAAGTCCGCCCACTGCCCTCAGCGCTTCTCTGGGGTAAGGTCATGAGTGAAATTTCCCCCTCCTGGAATTAAACTTAGGCGTGCTTTGCAGATGGCCGCCAGTGAGCCCCGATATTAACGTGTGAGCCCCCCTGGAAATGGCCCTTCACAGCCCTAACGATTATGGTAGCAAAGGCTGGTGTTTGCTGAGCGTTCCTGGGGCCCCGTGTGCGTCACACGCGTCGTCTCGCGCCCCTGGAGGCGGCCCCCGCAGCGTCTTGCTCTGGGCAGCACTTGGCTGTGGCCGTCCGAGCGCCCGTCCGGGCCCGGCAGTCTCACGCCCCAGCCCGGCGCTTGTGAGACCCGCTGAACCTGGCGACTAGTGACGGTCCGGCCGCCAGAGAACGGGGTGCCTGCGAGGCCCCCAGGTAGGGCCTCCGGGGTCTTGATTGGTGGGGACCCGTGCGCTTCAGCTCCCCTCCCCACCGCCGTCCTTGCGCTGAGAGCTCCCCACGGGCGCGCACATGCCAGCCCAGGGTGTCGGTCGCGTCTCACCAGCCGGTGACACCAGCTGACACGCCGCGCCCCCCCCCCCCTTTGAGCAGACGAGAACCCCAAGCAGCACGTGCCCGTGGACGAGTACCTGGCGAACCTGAAGAGCGTGGTGCGGTACCTCAAGTCCGCGGAGGTCCCCGAGGACAGGATCATTCTCATCACACCGCCCCCGCTCTGCGAGCCCGCGTGGGAGCAGGAGTGCCGCCTGCAGGGTGAGCCAGGCCCGCAGTGGGTGGGGGGGCTGCCGCGGACACCTCAGACGGCGCTGGCTTCCTCAGCTGCGGTTGAACGGGAAAGCCCAGGCTCTGCCCAGGGGCCTTGTTGACACGGGCGAGGGGCTTCTCGGGCGAGGCAGGCCTCGGGCCTGGATTCTGCCAGACCCCAAGGTGCACACAGAGCGGGTGGCTGGCGACCCGTGGGGTGGGGCGTTGACACTGACACCACCTTTGGGGCGTCTTCCTGGCCTCACAGCAGCGGGAGGCGCCGGCAGCCACGCTCTCGGTCGTGCCTGGTGCCTGCGTGGCCGAGAGAGACGGAGACGGCCGCTGGACTGCTGGCAGCGGCCCTTGCTGCACTGCTGGCTGCGGGGTGGCGACCTCTCCCCTCCACCTGCCGCACCTCCTGGGCTGGGCACGGCGCGTCCGTGTCCCCTGTGCTCGTGGGACTCCACCCGTCACCACCACGCACACTGCTGTCCCCGAGACTGCCCCGCTCCACCTTCATGTGCGTGGCCTAGAGCCGGGTCAGATGCTCAGGTACAGGATGACGAGAATCAGGGCCTGCCTGTCCATGTAGGTGGCGGCCAGAGTGGGGGGCTACAGCTCCGAGGAAACCGGAGCAGAAGCACGTTGAGGAAGGCGGTGGGCGGAAAGGCCCCCGGGGAGGACCGGAGGGCGGCCAGGCCAGCTGTGAGCAGACACCTGAAGGCGCGCTCAGGAGGTGCCAGGGGGCCGTGCGGGCGAGGGTTCGGGCCGTCTTGTCGGCCCTGCGGCGGGAGCTGGCCGGGGCGGGAGCGCCTACACCAAGCCTCGGCCGAGGCGTGCGCGTGGGGCTGCGCCGCGCCCCTTCGTGGCCACAAAACCAGCCAAGGCAACGGTAACCAGCCCGGCAAGGGCGTGTAGAGCAACCCCCGCCTGCGGTCCAGACGTGCTGCGCCGTACGCCCGCGTTCCCGGTTCAGTTCTGTCTCCTTGGTCCCGTACTGGGCCTCATTTGACACATCAGACACAGGTGTTCCTACACGTAGACGCCACGCGTGCAAACGTGCGTGTCAGGCGTGTGTCGTGAAACCCAGTGATACAGGGTCTGGTACTCCCCTCAGGTTCGGGATCCACTGGGGGTCTCGGGACGCAGCCCCTGTGGAAGGGGGTGCGGGGGGCGCTGCCGTGACAGTGTCTGGAGCACGGACGGCGTGTTGGGAGCTGGTTCTCCGTAGGCGCGTGTCGAGGCCTGGGTTCAGCCAGGCGCACGGGCCGCCAGGCCGCGCGTGCTGCGTGGCTCTGGGTGGCAGCTCATGTCACCGGGGGATGGGGTGGAAATGCCAGTCCGCGGACTCCATCCCAGACCTGCCGAGTCAGGACTCGGGGAGCCCGGACGTGACCTGCGTGCGAAGCCCCGGCCAGCAGACCGGGCCGCTGTCGAGCGCGCCGGCTGTGCTTCCGGACGGCCGTCTGCGCGCTGCCCTGGGCCCCGTCACTGCCCAGAGGCCGTTTCTTACCCAGCCCTTGGCAGAGCTTTGCGGGCCCTTCTCGCGCTCCCTCCTCGGGCTGAAATCTCCTCGGTGCGTCGTCCATGCCGCCGCGGGGCTTCTCGTGCCGCGTGAAGTTCAGGGTCCGGCTCAGCTAGTGTTCCCGGCACACGGCCCGTCTGCTCACCCCGGCCCGCGCCCTGCACGCCTGCCTCCGCGCCTCTCCCAGCTCTGCAGGAGGCCCTGGCTCCCGTGGTGGCCCCTTGTCCCCCATGCGGTCGGGGGGCCGCAGCCGCCTGCCCTCTCGAACCGTGACCTGCCCGGGGACCAGCCTGGGGCTGACCACCCGCCGCCTGATCTTCCCACAGGCTGCAGATTAAATCGCCTCAACTCGGTGGTCGGGGACTATGCCAGCGCCTGCATGCAGGTCGCCCAGGACTGCGGGACGGACGCCCTGGACCTGTGGACGCTCATGCAGCAGGACGGTCAGGTGGGACACCTCTGGGCGCGGGCGCGGAGTGAAGGGGGCCGAGCGGGGCTCTACCCAGTGTAGGCACCAAACCCTCAGCAGAGGGGTCGAGGGCCCTGTCCCTTCAGCTTCGAGTCGCCCGTCCAGAGGGACTTGAAGGAGCGAGAAGTGGCTGCCGCAGAGCAGCCGGACCGGGGCTTCCAGGAGCGGCGCGGGAGGTTGAGCGGGGAGGGCGGGCGCGGCTGAGGTGCCATCCGTCCCAGTGCTCTTAAACCCTCTTGTCGGCGCAGAGGTGGGCCGCGGAGCCCCGCCCTCCCCCTGCTCACCCAGAGCTCTCGGGTCTGAGCGCTCACCCCGCAGCGCGAGTGCTGAGGGACGCCCGTGCGTTGTGGGCATCTGGGCCGGGCTCCCACCTGAGGGGCTTCGGGGGAAAGGAAACCGCAGCCGCGCCGTCCGGTCTCAAGTCCACACGCGGAGCTGCCCGGGCTGGGCGGGGCTTCCCTAGTCCGCTGGCCCAGCAGCCAGGCAGGGAGAAGGCCCGAGGGTTCTTCCTAGCGACGTGCCGGCCCTTGCCGTTTGTTTGACATCAATGCACCGACTGGTCTCCCTGTCAGCGGGCACCCCGGAGGCCGGCGCCGCCCTGGCGCTGCAGCGTGAGGTCTCGCGACCCTGGGTGGCGGGCAAACACCTCCCTCGCCCAAGGTGCCCAAGGTCCACGGGCGAGCGCGCCTGCACAGGCCCCTGGGCGTGGCCACAGCCGGGAGGGCCGCGCTCACCTCGGCGTCTCCCCCACAGGACTTCTCCCGCTACTTGTCAGACGGGCTGCATCTGTCCCCGGAGGGAAACGAGTTCTTGTTCTCGCGTCTCTGGCCGTTGATAGAGAAGAAAGTCTCCTCCCTGCCGCTGCTGCTCCCGTACTGGCGGGACGTGGCGGAAGCGAAACCGGAGCTGAGTCTCCTGGGGGACGGGGACCACTAGCCCGGCCGCGCGGCGCCGCGCCGCGGGAAGGCGCCAACGAGCAGCCGCGGCAGGTGGTGCTCCCGTCCCCCCGGGGCCAGAACCCACCGCCCCTGCCCCGGAGTAATAAACGCGTTAGTCCTGCCCTGGGACGCTCTGGACCTCGGCTGCTTGTTTTGATATTGACCGTTTAGCGCGCGCTGCAGCTGCCCTCAGTGCCGCGGCTGTAAAGACCCCGCGCGAGCCGCTTGCTCATTCTGCACGTGGAAAGAAGGTAAAGACAGTTTTGTTTAAAAAGTCACAATTTTATAAAAAGGTTCTTAACATTCGTCCGGGATCACTTCACTCACACACACGCGCCCCGCTCACCAGTAGCAGATTCCGAGAGTGTAAGGAAGCCTCTCCTGACCAGCCACGAGCCAGCAAACACCACAAGGTACAAGTTTCAAGTATTAGTGTAACAGGCCTCTGCGGACCGGGCGTCCTTAGAGGAAACGCGTCACAGGTTTGGTTAGTTGCCCTCGGCTGACAGGTTCTCAGTTAAAGATGTTGGCTGATGAGCACAAGGCGGGGGTTGGTTTCCACTTTAGGGAAAGCAGAATTCAATGCGATGAAGGTTTTAGCAGACGCCCGGCGCTGACGTGACGCGACCCTCCCCCTGCAGGGGATGACGCAGGAGGATCCAGTTCTCGGCCGCAGCACAGCCTGTTGGGACCCACCTGGCCTTCCGGAGAGACATGCCTCACGCCCCCTTCCCCCGCTGGTGTCCGAAGGAGCAACCGTACCTCGCGGGAGCAGTTCCGGTTAGTGAGAGCCTTTGGGGGCGCGCGGCGGTGGTGACTGCCCTGAGAGCCTCATGCACGCGGGCTTGTTTGATTGATTAAAGTATTAACCTTAGGAATGACCAGCCTCTTGGAGACCACCTGGTTTTATCTCCTTTGTCTTCAGTTGGGGGGTGGGGGGGGGAATTCTGTGGCAGTTGTCCTCAGGCGGAGCGAACTGCCTTTCAGTGGATTCTACAGTGAATTAAAAAAATAATTGGTCTCCCTAATGGGTGCTGTTACCAATATAAAAGGTTAATTTACAAAAATGTAAATATTTATGACCTAACCCAGCTGTATTTTCTGCTTCTGCACCACAGGTTGAAGGATATTTTTAACATCAAAAAAAACAACTAAAACCTGAAAGCCTCAAAATAAGCTAGATCCGCCTCACCGCCTCCCGGGCCAGGGGCTCGGCACAGCGCCGGGTGCCCGGGGGACGTCCCCAGCGCGGCCACCATCTGCTGTGAAGTCACTTCCTTCTCGCTCCCAAATCTTCACAAAATAAATGCAGTGATTTTAGGTCAAATCTACAAAAATACTTTGCACAGCAGGCCAAGCGCGCGCAGGCGTGGCCCGGGTTAACATTCCGTTTCTTTGCTGTCGACACGGTTCTGGCGCTGCAGCTTGAAGGAGGCGGCCTTGTCGCTTCTGGTGACGGGCCGGTCCGTGAGGTCCTCGAACGACTTGGCGGCTGTGCTGCTGTTGGGGAAGGGGTCCTTCTCGAAGCCGTCCTCGTCCACGTGGGAGTCCATGCTGGGGTCTTCCTGGATAGTATCCATGCGCTGGTGGTCCAGTTTGGGAGCTGCCGGCGCTAGGGGCACCACAGCGGGGGGCTGCAGGGGCTGCAGGCGGCCTGGTGTCTGGGGCGCAGGAAAGGGCTTGATGATGCGAACTGAAGCGGAATCCATGCTGCTGAGCATTTCAACGTTCTGGAAAGACAGGAGTGACAGATGCATCACAGGAGCTCAGCTCCAGTCTCACCCAACAAACAGCCTCCTGCTTTTGGTGCCACGATCCCTCAGGCTGAGGAAATCACTAGATGGGGCCCCCCACAATCTCGGAACCAGGCAAAGCCAGTTTCCTGATGCCGCTAGAGGACCCGCGGGAGCTGGGAAGATCAAGCATGGCCCTCAGTGCTGCCCATCTTCACTCCAGCAACGCAGGTAGACCCAACCCCCAGCGTCACCCACACCAGACAGAAGGCCTTCCTTGCTAGTGTTGCGTGAATTCACAGCAAGTCTCGTCTAGAACCTTCCTGCTGAACCATCACCTCCCGCCTCCCCCAAGACAGAAGGCGCGGTGGGAAGGCAGAGGACCAGTAGCCGGCTGCGGGTCTTTGCCTGGCGGGCTCTCAAAGGGCGCCTGAAACTGCTCTTTTCCACAGTGAACTTACGCTGGGGTGGAAGAGAGACAGGGACTCATACTGCTTGTCCAATTTCTTGTCCTAGAAAGGAAAGAACAGGGAAAAGGTTATTCCTACAAACGAAATTGTTACGTGCTCTTTCCTTACAGGCTCCTCCAGTTGGGTGAAGTGTAGCAGGTTCAACAGACGCGACAATCTTTTCCACGAGCTCTCAGCGACCCTGCCCCACTGGGAAGTGCTGCCTTTCTGCGGGGTAAGTACAGAAACGGGAGGCTGAAGGGTCCTTTTTCCCAGAGTGCCCTATTGAGGGCAGGAGAAAAAGGGCATCTCCCCGTGTCTGGGGGTCACGTACATAGGGCACAGCTGCCAGAAAGGCCAGAGGGGAGGCGGGCCGTGCGCTCACCTCCCAGAGCCGGGCCCACACCATCTCCACACTCAACTGTTAGCAGTTCCACGGCCAGGCCCTTGGAGGAACGGGGCCTCCTCCCCACACCTACGTGCTCACTCCCAGGAAGAGCTACTGAGTGAGACCGCCTGAGGCAAGAGCAGCTTTCTCCTGGCAGGCAGCTAGTGCTGGAATCTGCAAGGTGCTCCCGGGATGCACAGGAAGCCTCTGGGTCTGGTTTCCTTTCCTCCACAGGAGACACAGCCCCGTTTTCCCATAGAAAGCAAAGTGAATGAACTTGTAGGAAATGCTGAAAAACCTTATAAAGTACCTAAAGCTAAACAAAAGCCCATTCACCTTGTTAACGCAAAGACTGCTGATTCGTTGGGAGACTGAATACCCGGATGTGATGACCCCAGAATCTAGATGGTGTGGGGCAGCCCCTTTGGAATGCTGATGTTTCACATGAGCTCTAATACAGTGACATGAGTCTGAAAACACTAGAAGCTTCACTCATCAGAGGTCCTAGGCAAATCCAGTTCGAAAGTCTCCTATAGAAGTATACAACAAGACGCCCACGGGCCTCCCTCGTGGCGCAGGGGTTAAAGACAGTGCGAGCAAGCTGCCGCCAGCCACTGCAACGCGAGAGCAATCCCTGGCCAGGGAGCTGACCCACAGGCACGGCAGACCTCTCCTGTCTCCCCGCTGCTCCCCTCAGCAGTGGATTGCAGTGGATCCCCCTGCTCTGCTCCACACTCTGCCTCTGGTGAATCTCCACCCCCCGCATCCCTGGCCTACACCCCGGCTCTTGTATGCATACGTAAAAAAAAAAAGCCATCCACAAAAAAGTGTCATTTTTTAAGTGTAAATTTTTAATAATTAGCTAAACTTTTTATAAGATACGCTTTTCTAGGGATAACACCAAAAACTCTTTCTGGAACTATCAGGTCAGATTGTGCTATGAACAGATTTTACCTTTTGTGAAAGTTACATGGAGTTGCTAAAAAGTTAATAAAATGTTTCACTACTTACCACACAATGGACAAGAATGCTGAAAGGAATCCAAAATATCAAGGAGAAAACTAACACAGAGCCCACGATGTTGTCTGCCAAGAACTTCCCTGTAAACAGTTCAAAGAGCGGGCATCATCAGGTACTTTATTAATCTAGTAACACGGCCCGCCTCCCCGTCGACCGCTGGCCGGCTGATGCCGGGGACCCGGCCCCGAGCAGTGTCTGTGCTACCTCGTTCCACCCGACCGCCTCCCCGCAAGTTCTCTCCCAGAAATAGCTGGTACCGATGAGAGAGGCGCTGTCCCCAGGGGGCCAATCCCGAGGACGCTACCAGCACATCGAAGCTTGAGATGAGAGGCGACTCCGTCGCTCTGCAGGGACTGTTTTTGTGACTAAACTCTGGACAATTTACATCCTTGCGTCTGTGGCGCCCGAGGCCCATCTTTGCCCGAAAAAGCCTTCCACTAGCCAGGTTCCGGGGGTGTCTGGCCCTGCGCCAGGCTTACGTTGTTGCAGCCTCATTTTTTAGTGGAGAAGGCGGCCGGTATTTTGACGAAGGGTTGGCCTCCCTTGCCTGAAAATGCGCATCCAGGCTGCAGACAGCTCTAGAACGAGTCCGCTTTACTTTGGCAACAAACAAAAGCGGATTCTCCATCCTCTCCCAGGACCCCAGGCCGCGAGCACAGGCGCCTCCCTTTCTAAGGCCCTCGCTGAAGCCCCCGTGTTGCCACCCACCCCCGCAGTCACCTACTGAAGGTATTGATGCTCAGCTGGTCGATGAAGTCCCAAAACCGCTCGATCACATCCTGTACTCGCTTCTCACACTTGCCCTGTGCACAGAGAACACAGACGTCTCCCTGAAGTGAGTGGTGCAGCAGAAGCGACATGGTGTCATGAAAGCGACTGACATGTAAAGGGCCTCATTACAAATCAGCAGCCCCGGGCCCGTCTTCGACAGCGGGCCGTGAGCATAGAAAGGAGAACACCCCGTCTCTGACACGCGCCCATCAGTCCGTTTTCGTAGGTGAATTCAGAATCATCAGGGGACACACTCAAGGGAAAATGGGGTGTTCACTACATTGATCACACAGGCCAGCCAGGAGAGGCCGCTCCGACGGGCAGAAGCCCTGCGTGCTGCGCCCGTTTCACAATCAAAACTTTCACTTTTATAATCAGCCTGGAAAGCCAATTAGGATTCACTGCCTCAAACCAACCAAATTTACCCAAAAGTGCCCCAAGGTCCTTCCTAGCCGGTGGGTTCAGGGTGCCCTGGGGTTCCCACCCAGATGCCCCGGGCCGCTTCTCAGCGAGAAAGACCTCAGCAGAGAGTGGGCCAGGGCAGGGCGCAGCACTTGGGCAAGGCCTTCTCTGCGCTCACAGACCAAGCTCAGCAGCGCCCTCCGACGGTGCCACCCATGCACAGCCGGCATGGCCTGCGAGCAGCCGGTGGGCACGGCCGGCGGATGTGGTGTGCACCTCAGCTGAGGAGCCCCGGAGGGTCCTGGGCATAAACCCTCGGCTAAGGGGGGCTATTACATGGACTAAAAAACCTTCTTGTCTGGTTGCTGCAGAAAAGGGGCGCACAGATCAATACTCACGTTCATGTCACAGAATCCCACCGTACAGGGCTTTCCTTTCCTCAAAAATAAGTTCTTCTGTTCAGCGTCGACGTAGGGCACGCAGCGGCCGGAGGGGTCCCTGCAGCACACCTTGCACGAGTGGTCGGTTTCTGGAACAGAGGTCAGTGTTCTTGGACTCCTCCCCACGTGCTCCCCATGGGGAAGGAGATGAATTTACTTTTTATTCCACGAGCTAACACTGGCCACGTTTCACCCCGAGGAGTATCAGCCGAGTTCGCGCCAGCGCAGTCGAGAGGCCACAAGGTAAAACGTCTCTGTCAGACGTTAAATGCCTCTTTTAAAGCCGAATCGTATTCTACTTCGAATCTTCCGGAAAGGCAAATGTTCTCCTTCATCCCACCATTCTCACGTGGCTGATTCCAGCCCTTGGCCCCTCCGTTTCAAGTACGGCCGGGAGAGCCAAAGCTCTAGTCTCGGCCAGCGCAGCCGCGACAGCGGCCCTCGAGGGGCAGATCAGCATGACCTGCAGGTGACATGAGCGCCACAGCCCTGGTTCATGGATACGACTCCCCCAGCACATGGGCTACCAGAAAGCCCACGTGGGGCATCACAGAAGCAAACACTCCCACACGTGCACACACACGTGCCCCTCGTGCCCAGGAAGCCAAGGGGGCATGTAACTCCGGCAGCCCCTCTGACGTGGGAAAGCCCATACCCGGCGCACGGACACGAGCAAAACCATTTCTACAAGGAAAACGCAGTCTCTCCCTTGAGGGGCCTCCCTGGTGGCACAGGGGTTAAGGGTCAGCGCTATGGAGCTCTCTGCAGCCACTGCAGCACGAGTTCAATCCCTGGCCAGGGAGTGACCCACAGGGCACAGCAGACCTCTCCTGTCTCCCCGCTGCTCCCCTCAGCAGTGTACCTAGGTCAGTGTGCCTGTTCTGCTCCCCACTTGGTCTCTGGTGACTCCTCTTGCCCCCAACCTCTGGCCTACAAAAACCAACCTCTGTACAAAAAACAACCTACAAAAAACCTACAAAAACCAACCTCTGTACAAAAAAATATTTTCTAAAAAAAAAACCTCTCGGGCCTCTCCTGGTAGCGCAGCGGTTGAGCGCTGGGCTGCGAGGCTGCCCATGGCCCCTGCAGTGCCGGTTGGATCCCCGGCCGCCAGCGGGGGTCCCCTCCCCCCCAAAAAAACAAAAACTTTCTTTTAAAAAATAAAACCTCTCCATCCACTTAACCCAGCACCTCCCAGGCATTACTATGTGCCCCTTGAGGGCACCAAGCCTCTTCCACTCGTTCACTCAATAAATGACCTGGCTTCTGCCGTTTTCCTTCTTCACATGTTACCCCATGGAAGTGCCTGTCACCCCACTGGACGGTGAGCTCCCCGCCTGGCGGCTTTGGCTTGGGGGTGTCTATTCTGAGGGCCAACAGACACCCACAAGCGGCACCTCCGGCACGGTGCCAGCAGCAAGGCGCGGCGGAGGGCAGGCCCGGCCCCACGGCCGAGCGAGGCTAACATGCTGCTGTCGGGCGGATCCTGGGGCATTCCTCAGGCTGCATTCCCCAAGCAGCGGGGCGTAGCAAGCCCCCCCCTCACGAGCGTCCGACCCGGGGGGCATCCACCCACTCTCACCCACAACAAAATTCTCTCCTGTCCACGCCCGGCCAGTCAGAAAATGCAGCAGAAGGAAAACCAACGGGCCGGTTTCCACAGACGGCGCAGGAGCCGAATCCGGGCTCCCAGGGGCCCCCGCCGCGGGCTCACCGTTGCAGGCGCAGGACTCCAGCCGCTGCTCCCGCTCGCAGAAGGGCACGCACTTCCCGTCCTTGCAGCGGCCCAGGTCCAGGCACACCGTGTCGTCCGCCGCGTCCCCGGGCGGGGGGCACTCGCTGCTGTTGCCTGGAAGCACACAGTCGCCATGGGCCGGAGCCTCCCCAAGAACGGCGGTACCCGCGCTCGGTCCCCACAGCGTCCCAGTCGCCGGCGTCTCCCCTGCGCCCTGCTTGCCCTTCCGCTGGGAACCCTAACACGCGGGCCACCTCCTCGCCACTGACGACCCAACCCAAAGCCGCGAGGGCCACGGCAGCAGTCCCCGGGCGCGCTCGCCCACCGTCCCGCGGCCCCGGGGCCTGCCAGCCACCCGGCCTCCCTCCGCCTCACCCTCCCGGGCCTGTCCGCCGGGAACACCAGAGCCCGCTGCTCCGCCGGCCTGCCCTCGCCTCCACCCTTCTTGGGGGGCGTGGAGCGGATGCGTATGGAAGATGTGGTCGCCGAGACGCCCTGAGCGCTCCTCCCGAGAGGCCTCTCCCCGACCCTGCCCCACCGCTCCCCGCTGCTCACCCCCTCGGAACAGCCCACGCGCCACAGCACCTGACTGCGCAGCCATTTTCGGTGCCCGCCCCTTCCCCAAGACTGCGAAGCTCACGGCCCAGCCCCACCGCAGGCTCCGCACGCGTCTCCCGACTCAATCTACAAGTCTTAGGGACAAAGAGACATCACAGAAGCAGAGGACGCTGGGAGAGAGGACGGAACAAGTGACTCGTTCTGGAAAACGTGCAGCACAGTTACGTCCACTGTCAAGAAGGGAAGCGAGGACGACTGCGTGGAGACGCGACGTGCGGGACGCCGGGAGGACCCGGCCTCTCCTGGGGCGCGGGGAGCCAAGCAAAAGACGTGGGACGCGAAGGCCCGGGGAGGGGCCGCGCACCTCTGCGACCCGCCCCACTTCCCACCAAGCAGCCTCCCGGCCAGTGCCCGACAGGCCCAGACACTGCCAGCTCGTCAGCACCTGCCCCTGGTCTGGGGAGTCCGCGACAGGCGCCCGTGTCCACAGACAGTCCCTCCGCCAACGGCTACTCGCGGGAGCGACCCAGCGAGCGCGGGAGGCGCTGCCTGGTGTGGGCGAGGCCGGGACACCGAAATAGCGCCTGTTGAGTGTTCGCTGGACTGTTGCTCTTGAAGACGAAACTCAGAGCATCCGACGCGGGGAAATTAGAAACTCAGCATCACCAGGGACCAGTGTCTCTGAGGATGCTGGTGGAGCCCCCTGCGGAATCCGGGTGACAGCAAGGCCAGGCCCGGCGAGTCACGTGACGAAGCACCTGGCGACCCCCCAAACCCTGAGCTAGCCGCGCGGACATCCAGCACACAGCAGGGAATTTGTTACAACACAGCGGTGAGTTTTTTCCAAAAAGACCCAGGGGGGCGCGTCACGTGGCCCATGACACAGACGTGCGGACACTGCCCTGCCCGCGGGGCGGACCCCGAGGCAGGACGCCGGCGCAGCGCGGAGGTGAAGGGATGACGTGGTCGACAAAGAAAGGGTAAAACATGGGACGACAGGTTGTGAGACGACGGACACCTGCGTCCCACACCCAACACCGCCCACCGTGGACGTGCTGCCCGCCAGGGTTGCCTTCGACGGGCTGAAACGTCATCCCGGTTTTCAAACGCCAGCGCCCGAGCAGAGCCGCCGGGAGGAGAGGACGCACCTGTGCAGTAAGACACGCCTTTGCAGGTGGCGTTGATCGCCTCCTGGCACTTCTTCTGGGCGGTCTCGAACCGGCAGTTCTTACAGCAAGGGCTGTTCCGGTCACTGCAGCGGGGAGGAAGAGCATGAGAGCCCCGCGACCAACACCCACCGGGCTCCAGGAGACCGCAGGGGAGGGCTCCGGGCTGCGGCCCCTGCCCCTGCCCCCACGCCACCCACTCGCCCCCGAGGAAGCAGGAGCTGCCACGCAGGGGAAGTCCAGAGGGCTCTTTAAAGCGTCTTGGCGTCCTGCGTTTGCACTCGTTTAATACAGACATTAAAAATACCACCCGCCCCGGGCCTGCGACGCCACCAGCCTCCACGGGGAGGAGCCGGGGCAGCGGCTGGGCTCACCTCGGCCATTCCCCCCCACCTCCGACCGAGGTCCTGGCCGACCCGCGCGCGTACAATGGAAACACAGGTGCCCTCGGATCGGCCACCCGCCTGCCCCACGGTCCCCACACAGCGCTCAGCCCTGATCTGTCACACACAACCGCCCAGGCGCGTCCCCGGCGATCAGTCCGCTCACCGCCCCGTACTGCCACTGCCGTAAGAGGACGCCGCCGTCGGCAGCGGTGCCCAGTCGCCTCCCTGCACACGCGTTTCCTTAGAGAAGGCTCTGAGCTGCGCCGTGCCGAGTACGGGAGGCGCGGGATGCGTGACCTAAGGAGAAAGCGCCTCCCAGGAGCATTTTTCTGGCGGCAAAGGGCGCGGGGTGCGTCCGCGCCGCCGCTCACCTGCACTGCACCCCTGGCTTCAGCGTGCAGTCGCTGTTGCAGCAGCTGTCGTTGCTCAGGTACATGATGCCGGGGTCACACTGCTCCCCGTCGTCCACGCGCGAGTTGCCGCACACTCTGTTGCTGCGCTCCTCGAAGCACTCGTGGGCCTTGCTCTCGATGGTCTTGTAGATGGACTGCTTGCTGCAGTTTGAAAACATCTGAAAAGAGGCCACCAAGGACCCAAAAGAGGGTGATGAGCCCACTGCCACGTGGCGCCGGCGCGTCTCTCTAGGACAGACTCAGGGCCGCAGCCCGGGTCCCGCAGGCCTGGCCTGGCCTGTCCTACCGCTTGTCTGTAGATGCACCTCAGGGGTGTCCTCTCTGGGGATGCTAAGGCGGGTATAAAATTGGGGAAGAGGCTAAAATTTGCCGCAGGAAAGCAGCTAGACAAGTGCAGGGGCGCTGTGGCCGTCCTGCCCCCGGGCGCGCCACCCCTGCGGGCTCAGCGACACGCTGGACAGGACGGGGAGAGGGAACGCGGCGGGGCTCGTCCTGCCGCCCCGCCCCCGCCCTGCTGTACAAAGGAATGAGCCACGTCTGAAGTTTTCAAAGGACTGAGCTTGTTTCCAGGAGGCAAGACAGTGCGCGCAGTCTTTTAAAGAGTTCCATTCCACATTGCTGCCTAAGCATTTCCCTGGGTCCCAAGTGTGTCACAGTTCCCCTGAGCTTGTAAGTGACCCCGTGTCTGGAAGGAAACCTGGGCCTGATTCCCAGGCGACCAACAGGCCAAGAAACGGCCCCTTTATGTTTCGGGACTTTTATCAGGAAGCTCTAAAACGGCGTCCCTTTTCCAAACCACCTGAAGATTATCGAGAGCTGCTGGAAGGCAGGACAGCGTCCCTCACGCTCCCCGAAGACCACGGCCTTCTGTCGTCCCGCGGCCCCCCGGCACACCAGCTGCCCTGGCTGTCACCTGCGCGCAGCACGGCCCAGAGTGTGTCGCGTCTCGGTGGCTTGTCTGCTGGAATCTGCTGCCCCATCTTTCTAGGCTGAGGAGCTACCTTATTTTTGTCTTGTAGCTCTTTTTATCCAGCGACATAAACTTGCATTAAGGAATTCATTTAAAATGTGCATTAGAAGAGGCCCAGTGTCCTGCCGAAGGGACACTGATACATGGGTAAACCAAACTATTGAAAACCACACTAAAAACATGCTCGAGATAGAAGTACACAAGCGGCCATGTTCTCTGGACTACAAAGGGCCAGCCCCGGGGGGCAGTGGCCGTGCCTGGCTGTTCTCGTAAGCAGGTTCTCCTGGGGTGACGAGCCCGTGGGGGACGATCACTGAGAATGCAGCAGGAGCAGCCGCGCATGCTCACTGGAGACGGGTTTGCAAGGGAACGTTTCCCCCAAAGCCCTGACACCGTCTGGGCCTACACCGCCCACGTGGCAGCCACCAGCCACGTGGTGAAAAGCCACAGGCTTCACCTCATGGCTGCGTGGCTCCCCTGTACCCTGACCGCTCGCTCTCTGCTCCCACTGCTGTGTGGCAGTCTGTCTCGCAGTCTTACTGAGGCACATCCTACATATTTCAAATCTACTCAGCAAGCATGTATTATATGCCAAGTACCCCTGCTAGGCACTGGAGACAGAGCTGTGAACAAGAAGGCCAGGAGGCTTATAGTTTGGAAAACTATTTCATCCCAATTTATAAAAAACTGCAGATCGTGCAGTACCGTTGTGTTAAAAGGAGTGACAACTGTAAATGAAACTGACAGGAAATTCTTAACTAAAAGCCTGAGCTCACCAAACCTTGCCATCTAGAGCTGCAACAGAAACCACTGCCAGAATGACTCTCAGAGCTGCACTCTCTCCTTTGGTCTTGCCAACAGTCCAAATGAGCGCGTTAGCCAGATTCAGATGGACGTTTCACTCCAGAACACACAACCCAGCTTCAGAGCAGCACGTGCCCTGCACCCCATTCGAGGGGGACTGCTTTTTGGGTCTTCATGGGGACTGAACACAGCGCCTCTTTCCTTCCTCACCACGCTGCGCGCCAAAGGATACACACCTTATTGTTCTCGTGGTCACCGCTCACGGCTATGGGATACATCACGTATTTTCCTCCTTGGTCCTCATTTGGGGCACATTCTGCTAGACCATCCGGATCATGTTCTGCGCCAAAATTGTGTCCCAATTCATGAGTTGTGACCAGGTCGGCTTCCTAAAGGATCATGCAAAGAAAACATCACTTCCCCACACCCAGCCAGTGGAATTTTTAGCAAAACGGAATTTTTACCAAAAAGTACTGAAATCCCAGAGACATAATGTACAGAATTCTAAAATATGCTCTGAAAAATTCATTAGTGGACTATCTAATAGACACCATAAAAACAATCTCAAAAATTTCCAAGTTGATGTATTTTTTGTTCTATGTGCCTTGTAACAGAAAAATTCTGCAAGTACAGGAAAAAACAAGCCATGAAATTAAACCAATGACGGCGTTGTGACAGCAAACAGGGCAGGGAGCGCAGGAAACGCAGAGGTCGCCAAGGAGGGGTTGTATGGATTAAAGCCCACAGTCTGCTGTAGGAGTCACCCTTCGTGATGCGGCCTTCACCAATGCGTATACACCATAGCACCAGACGGCAGAGTCTCCCTCTCCTAAAAGCCTCTGAGCTCTGCCCATCAGCCCAGCCCTCTCCTGCAACCAGTAAGCTCCCTGTCCCCACGATTCTGCCCTTCCCAGGACATCACAGAGTGGGGATCATACAGTATTTGGTCTCTTCAGATATGTTCACTTGGCAATGTGCATTTAAGCTTCCTCCCATCTTTCCATGACTTGATGACTTTTTTTACACTTTTTTTTTTTCCCAAATTTTCTTTTATTTATTCATACTAGAAATGGGGTGTGGGCCCTCACATGACAGCTCCTCTTCGGGCTGTGTGTTTCCTCATCCTACAGTGTGACTGTCATTGATGTACCCCAAAAGAAGCTGGACAGGTAACTTCTAATTTATTAACCCTTTTTGTTTTCTTATTTCACACACACAAAAAGGATTATTTTAGGCAGACCAAAAAGGAAAAAAAGATATTACTTTTTTAAAAATATATACCCACACAAATATATGACAGCTAAGATTCTAGAACAATTAAACTAAAAGCCTATCCTTTTAGGGCCTCCCCTGCTGGCGCAGCAGTTGAGTGCTGAGCTGTGAAGCTGCCCGCAGCCTCTGCAGCGCCGGTTCGATCCCTGGCCGCCGGGCGAGGGTCCCACATGGTGCGCAGACCTCTCCTGCCGCCTGCTGCTCCCCTCAGCAGTGTACCTCACTCCTTCTGCCTGCTCTGCTCCCCGCTCTGGTGAATTCTCTCACCCTCCCGCGCTTCTGACTGTACCCAGTGCTTGAACAAATAAATAAATAAATCTTTTTTTTTTGGGGGGGGAAACCTATCCTTTTTGAAAATGAAATAACGTACCTTTGTAAGGATGGTTTTACCGTAATTTTTTGTGCTGGTCAAACCACTGTTCAAGTAGATATTTTTCTTCCCAACGGGGCTATAGTAAGCTACAGGAAAAAGGAAACAGATTGCTTGTTCAGTGCAGAATCAGAAGCTGACCAGTGCGCTCATCCAGCATCACAGTCACAGAAAGTGAACTTACCCTTTGGACAAACACCGCCATGACTGTTCGCCCTGGGAGAGCCAACATAAGCTAGGCCAAGAGTTCCCATATCAAAATCTTGGTATGTGAAAAGATGTGCCAGGCAGACTTTGGATGCTTCTTCAGCTATGTCAAAGCTAAATTGCTTTAAAGGGAAAAAAGGAGGGGGGGGGGATTTCCTTCATTAGTTTAACTGATTATTTCAACTTTACAGTCCAGAACCCAACAGAACCACCACTGGCTGCAGGTATGCACCAGCAATGCCCTCACGCAGCACAGTGCTCCTCCCGAAGGCCCTCACCCACCTGCCCAGGTGAGCAGCACTGACAAGAAGAGGGAAGCACTGGGAGCGTTCAGAGCTGCTCACAAGGACATCGCCACTCCTCGCAGGGTGGGGCTGGCGCGGCAAAGCGCTGGGCACACTCTGGTCTTGGTGGCTCAGGGCCTCGACAGCTCAAGAACCCCTCAGACCGCAGCCCAACAGTGATCCCCAGAGTATTTCAAGGAACTGACTGGCTTTGGAGATTTTTGTTTTAAATTTGCTGTGGTTTTACAATGGGCAGGCATTATAAAAAGAACTTGTAAGAAAACATATAGTTTTATGTTATTGTAGATTGAAATTCATTTAAGTCAATAGTGGTGCTTTGGATTTATTTTTTAATTAAAAAGAGCTCCTCAAATGATTTTAAAACCTCTACCACAAAGCACAAAGACTGCAACTTACAAAGACCTTGATTTTTTTAAAGCTTAAAAGAGATGCCAGGGAGTCTGTGAGGAATGAAGTGTTCCCAGGATGCCACTCTGGTCAACTGGGACTTGGACAGTTTGTGGTAACACAGTAAGGCTTCGAAACCTAGAAGCCTCGGGAGAGAGAACTGGAGAGAAGCATCTGTAGTGTAGAGTTTTCCCCTCTGTCCCTCCCCTGACAGGCTGTGTGAGGCCCACAAAGCAGAGCTGTGCTGGGTCAGCTGTCCTGGGAAGCAGCCATCCGGGCCCTCAGTCCTGGCTATAGTTCTACCTACTCACAACCAGCCACAGCCCGGCCATCTCTCCAGCAATAAGGGCTCAACTCTTCATTCAAAAATTCCTATGTTGGTCCTAACCTGCCCCAGAATGGAAATGGATTGGCAGACAGGGCCTTTAAAAAGGTAACTTGGGGTCACAGGAGTGGGCCTAATCCAGTGACTGGAGGTCTTCTAAGAGAAAACTGTGGCACAGAGGGAAGAGTCACAAGCAAGCCGAGAAGACCAACTTCAGAATGAAACCAACTTTCCAAAATACCCTGATCTCAGACTTCCAGCCTCTAGATCGTGAGGGAAAAAATTTCTGCTGTTTAAGCCCCTGGCCTGTGCTGCTTTTCATTACTGGCAGTCCTGTTCAGGAGAGCACATGGAGGGTGCGAGGGACAGGGACTGTCCCTACTTCTCATGATGGCTGGTGGGTCAAACTACGGGAAGCTGGTCACTGCTGGAGATAGGGCACTCCAGGCTTCTCAAGCAGGGCAAAGAGCTGGTAATTTTAGTATCTAATGCATTTTCGCAGCCTTTTTTGGTAATGCAGACCTAAGATATTCACTGAAACAGAATATGAACAAAGAGACCTGAACGAAATGCTGTGCGAAGCCACGGGCCACTGGCAGCCATCTATTTTCTAAATTCCTATTACTCGACGAGTGTCTCGGAGATACCGCAGTCCGGAAGCCTTACTCTCCAGCACGTGTCGGTTTCACGGCTTTTGTGCCCCTCTCGCTGTCCACCCCACTACAGTCCCTGTCAGACGGCCGGGAAGGGCTGCTCCGGGTCACCTTTACTAACGTGCCACCCGGTTAGCGCGGACATGACGCACAGGTGAGAGATGACACGTGGAGGTGGCGTCACAGCCGGGATTCCACCCACCTCCAGCAGCGTCTTCACATCCCAGGCATCCTTTTCTTCATGTGGATAACTTTTTGCCATGTTGTAGTGCTTTTCACCGGGTCTGACCACTTGTGGAGACTTGAGAATGCGAATCTGTACTTAAAGAGAGGACATACTTAGAATACTCCAGAGAAAAAAGTCACAAGACTGAAATAATAGGGCACTGTCTTAGCTATTGAAAAAAAAAAAGATAATCTACCATTCTAATAAAATGTTTTAGAACCCAAATTCTACATTCTTCAGTTCTAATATTCAATGTTGAAAAACTAACAAGCATGCACTATAAAAAGCATCTATGTGGATGGACAATTTATAAAGTTATACATGAACTCCTAAATTTTCATTTCCTCTACAGTAAGTCGGGGGAGAAAAATGAGAACTTGGGTTCTATGAGCCTACAGTATTTATTCTAATTATTGTCAATACTTCAGAGACGCAGAAGAATAAGACGTACACTCGTGCATACCACAGGAGTAAGAGATTACAGAGAACAGGCCTTTCCTTGGATGTACTGTACAAATTCTTAAGGCGCAAAGGCTCTCCCCAGAGAAAATGAAACCTATGGACAGTGAGTTTGGGGAAAGAAACAAAGCCATGCGCAGCCCCGTCGTTCCCACAGCTTCTGAGCTGCCTGCCTGCAGAGGGGAGTCTGGGGTGCTCTGCCCCGTGTGGTAAGCTCACTGGGGTGGGCTTTCGAACTCTTTGGTGGTGAGTGGTCAAGGTCAATTCTGGGCTGAAACAGATGACAGCCCGCCATGACCATCATCTAAACGCCATCCTGAAATCCACGTGCTACCCTCTGGAGCGCTTACTTTTATTTCCTAGATCACACTTGTTTCTTAATTGATCTTAACTTGTTAAGGCAAAGGGAGCTTTATTTTTTGGTCCCTTAGAATTCAAACATAACTACAAAAAATGAGGCAGCTTTGTGTGTACCAATAAAGAATAATTTTCAACATATCTGTGAAATGGAAAAGCCAGGTGCGAGAGCACGACATACCCCGATGTGTCGAGGACATACATGCATACACATGCTGTCCATGCATGAGACTGCTCTGCAAGACACACATGAAACTAGTGACTGGATGCCTCTGAGGAGGGAACTGCTGTGACAATGGAGAGAGGTTAGGGAGACTTACTTTTCACTGGATTTTGTACCATGTGTGTACATTACCTAGTCAAATGGAAACTTAAAAAAGAAAATGCAAAACAGTAAAAGAAAAGGGAAAAATAATTCTCTTAGTTTTATACAAGTACTATAAACATTGAACATGCATTAAGTATGACGCATGATTTCAATTTTTTTTTTTTTTTAATGTCTAAATGCTACACTATAGAACCTGTAAGAATAAAGCTAATGAGGAGCTGGAAAAATTATTAGAGACAGTAAATTTGACTTCAAAATGTCTGTATGTCCACAGCAATACCCAATTTCAAAAGTCTTTTTAATTAGTCTTATAAATAAATGATTTTTACTACAAAACAAAATTAAGACGTTAACAAATCACTGCTGGACAGACCCCTCATGAGTAGATTATAAGAAGCCAGAAGATTTTTGGGAAAAGGTATCTAATGATGTGTAGGCACAAATGCCATGCAAATGTACACAGTATTTTTGAGTAAATTTTCTGACTAAGATTCAGCAACGCTGCCTGGACACACCAGGCATAATCAGAGTAGAAACAATGCAGGAGGAAAGCCCACGAAGTCAGAGGAAGAAGAGCTCACGCCAGCATAGAGAGGCGTTCTGCCTAAGACCAGTGTAAGAAGGAATATCTTCACAACCTACAAACATCTGCACACTGTTTAATTTACCAGATAAAAATCACTGACATTTGGAAATATTTACTTATGATTAAAGTTGAAGATAAGATTCTGGGTTTGACTACAAATGACAAGAATTTATACCACATAACTCAGCAGAGTTACACAGGCCACACTCTTGATAAATACCTGCTCGATCTGTATTCCATAACCTTTAAAGCCCGCGTTGTCCCATGAAGTATTCCGATAAATGTCATCGACTCTGTCAATTAACTCTATCTGTGTGTATAAAAGAGTAAGAAAGGCTTTGTGCATATGCTTACCACTGTTTACAATGTAATACAAACTCTGCAGGGATTCAAAAAAAAAAATCAGTTTAAAGAAAATGCTGTTGCAAGTTTCCACCAATTACATAAACATTTAGATGTTACTCTTTATCACTGACAGGTCTAACAAAGAAATCATCCCTAGCGCCAAACTTAAGTTGTTGTTATCAGAATAAAACAGTGGGAGAGTTTATCCCAAATTTTAGATAATCAACTGTACATGGAACCAAAATATCAAACCACAGGCTTTTTAAATAACTGCCACTTTAATCAATTACAAAAATAAAACTTAAAAGCAATCAATTTACCTAAAGTATCCCCCTCTAAGAAGATTGCTGTCTTCACTCTATCTCTTGGCTAGAATCTTAAATGTGAGAAAGGCTGGAGCAGAGCCAATACCATGAGTCTGTTCCCTAACCTCATAGGGTAAAGCTCACACCTAGGCTCAGGTCAGAGGGCCAGAGGGATGCAAGGGTTCCATTCCTCTCTCCTTCCTGATTCAGGAAGTGCAGAGGGGGCAGAGAATACTGGAGGGAAGGGACAACAGCCAAGAGCAATTCAAACTACATAAGAACCGGGCATCCCTAGTGGCACAAGGGGTTAAGCACAGCACTGTGAAACTATCGGCAGCCTCTGCAGCAGGAGTTCGATCCCTGGCCAGGGAGATACCCACATGGCGCAGCAGACCTCTGCTGTCTCCCCGCTGCTCCCTCAACAGTGGATTTCAGTTGATCTGCCTGTCCTGCTCCCCACTCTGTCTCTGCAGAATCCTCTCACCCCCGCAAATCTGGCCTGTTCTCCAGTTCTAGTATGCATAAATAAATTAAAAAAAAAAAAAAAAAAAACTACATGAGAACAAAATGCCCCCAAATTGGGTTACATGACAACTGTGAAGCACATTTTCAGACAAGGATCTGTCCTTTTCTTCTAAGTCACTGTAAGGCTAAAACATTTAATTTCCAGAACGACACCTCACATTGTATTCCTAGTCTTGGGGTAAAGAACAGAGAAATCAATTAAGAGGCATCCCTTAAAACAAAACCCATATTAAGAAAGCAGCTTTTTCATGAAAGACTGTCTCTCACTTGCTTGGAAGCAAGAATTACAGTGACTTCACATTCTTTCACTCGCCACGGAAGGGAAGGGCGAGGAGGGTAGGACGAAAAGCGAGGCTGGGAAGAGCACGGCGTGGAGAAAGACGTCCGCGCTGCACTCGGTGCTCGGCTCGTGAATAGCTCTGTTCTTTCACTCCTGCAACCCATTTTGCTCAGTGCCAAGTTACTGTGGAGAATGAGGTCATTCTAACCAAAAAGTCAGTGAAACAGGATTCTCCTAACAAAAAAAAATTGCAGCAGTAAATGCTTCCAAATCTACTGTCAGTAGTTCTGTAATCTTCAGATCTCTGCCCTGTGGCGAATTCGGACCAGGAAAGTCCCACTTATTCATGCAGTTATATCCCAGGACCTGGCCGTTTTAGAAGACATAGGCCAAACGAAATCAGATTTTCTGAAATTCGCATGTAAGTAAAACTAACGTAGGTTCCCAGGACACTCTCCCTCCAGGGCCCACGCCCACGTGTCACCACCACGTGGTGGTGGGATGGGATCGTTGTCCAGGGATGCTTTCAAAGCAGTCACTGTATAAAGGGAGCCCGAGGTTACGGCTCTTCCCAAACCGAATACACACCAAAGCTCTAATGTGCAGGAAATACTAGCTCGAGGGCAAAATGGGTTTTCAAGATTTTGAAACTTGAGCCTCTATACAATAATATAAAAAGCTCAGAGGACAGCCTTCAAATATTTTAGGAAACAGAACATATGAAACATCTGATTTCATTATGTTTCAAATTACAGAAGTCTTTTAACGAATTTCCCCCCCCGCTCCACGAATTTCCTTACCCCGTGTGCTCACCCCGCAGCTAACACTTACTAGGTAGTTCGTAGTGGTGCTCTCCTCTCCGCGGCCCATGTATCTGTAGAAGCGATGATCCGCCACCACCAGTAACTTGCAGGTGTTCTTCAAGGGGTTAGGCTCGGCTCTTCTCTTCACCCGATGAACAAGCTCTAATATGAATTTGTATGCACTATTAAATCAAAATTCATCAAAACAGGAGTTTTTTTCATAGTAACACTTTAAATATAGCATATTCTTGAAATAAACATTGTTTGAGTTTAGTATCCTTAAAGGTATTCTGAACAAGAAGTTGGAGGACGACAGAAAAGTGAAAAGTAATATGAGGTTTAAAATTACAGAATTCAAAACCAAGAGAAACTGCTTCTCTTCCTTTCCAAGATGAGAAAACTTTTTAAAAGGATTTAACAGAGTCAAACAATCACCTACAAAGCTGCCATTTTTCTTCTAGAACATGTCTACAGGTAAAGTAATGGTAAAAATATCAAGGTAATCAAACATTGTATTAATAGGGTATTTTTTTTTTTTGGCAAATAACCAAATTGTTTCAGAATTTCTTTAATGATGTATTGAAATGCTAGTAGTATTTCCTAAGGTTTTCCTGAGGATACTTCTCCAGCTGGTTGCATGATTTAAATGCTCTAAAGTGATCTATCCCAAGATCTATTTTCTTTCTAAAATAGCAGAGACCTCTCTGATGCCAACATCCCAGAAATTACATAAACAATCTAGAGAGGGCCTCCCCTGGTGGCGCAGCGGTTGAGCGCTGGGTTGCGAGGCTGCCCGCAGCCTCTGCGGCGCTGGTTCGATCCCTGGCCACCAGCAAGGGGCCCACAAAACAACAACAACAAAAAAAAAAAAAAAAAAAAACAATCTAGAGAGTATTTTTCCTATGGTATTATTTACTCATTTCCAAATATCTGGAAATAAAAAATATTTTTTCCTCAGATCATTAAACTCCCCTTTTCCCCAATCCTATTTTTAGGTTTAGTCTTTATCATTATTATTACTTTCTAGTGTTTTCAACTCTTCCATTATAGACAAAAGAATTAGGAATTTCTAAACAAAACCATATTTTCAAGTCAAATGCTACAGTTACTTGTAATCACGCTACTTTTCATCAATTAACCACCATCCCCACTAAAGACAGTTGCAATCCTTGTTTTTTTATGAAATATGTATTTCTTAAGTCTTACCATCAGGTGGCTCTCTGGCCTCGAGTCCTTTCGGAAGCAACTCTTCATTATCTGCATTTATATAACCACACACTTTTGGAGACTGCAAACGTGAAACATTCTTGATATCTTCAGATTTATAAACTAACACTCTTTTGTCTTCAGTATCATTAATTAGTCTCCAGAGTGGCTAAAACAGAAAACATGTAACTGTAATGGTAAAAATAAGAATTCTTAAATTCTCTGATCTTCAAGCCCTCAGAGATATCTGTGCCCCACTATTACGATAATTAACTTATCTGAGCATTAATTTCTACCATTGGGTAAAGTAGTGATAGCTCCTGTCTTAAAAGTCCGTAAGATAAATGGAAAACAACAATAACAAAAATCTATGAAGGAGATTTTGAAGCTAACTGATGATTTTAACTATAGATTATTTGGTAATACTCATTTCGTCAGTGAGTCAATTTTATTGTGGCTCTGTAGACACCCACTTCAATATTCAGAGGTAAAGTCTCCCAAAGAAGTATTTGGAAATTAAAAAAAAAAACAACCATATTTGGTAAAGCTAGGCATCTGAGCAAATTTAACTTGACTCCTAAATGCATCTATTTTGAACTAAGAATTGACAATTTGAAAAACACCAATATTCCAGCAAATAAAAAAAAAAATTACTCTAATGAAATACACAAACACATGCACATGGCAGAAACGACGCGTTCCCTACAGAGTTGCACCTTTCTGAGCATGACAGATTATTTTTCTCAGCCTCCTTTGCAGGCAGGTTCTAGAATATAGGTGGAAATGATATAGGTCACTTCCCTGTCTGGCCCTGACATTCACCCTGTTGGATTCTAAGTTCTGTTCCCCTTCTAGGACAAGCCATGTCATCTGGACGGCAAAGCTGCACTGTGGAGGACCACTCGACCCACAGGACCCTCCCGAGTAAGCGCCGAGCCTCCACTGATGCAGCTACTGAGCCGTGGAGCAGTGAAGGGAAGCCCTGGCACAGTCCAGAGAGCTTCATCTGGCTTCCATACTCTGTTCCCTAACCCTGAGATTATCCTGACTGGATGCACACACTAAAAGGTGTGCCCACAGTTGTTCATATATAAAGTTGCTCATTACATAAAGTTGTTCATTATATAAATTTTATTTCAAAAATTAGAAACAAAACAATGGGGGGCTGGTCAAACATATGGTACGATGTTTCAATGAGCCAACAGGCAGCATTTATAAAAAAGACCAATTTAGATATTCATTAACATGGAAATATGCTCATAACTATACTGTTAAATGAAAAACACATGATAGTTGTGTGGTCCTAATTTTTTAAGAAAAAACAATCTATAAAACTGTATTTTTGTATAGATATATATACACAATACACATACACACGAAAATATCTGGAAGGATATCATCAGAATGTTAACAGCAGTTATATCTCCAAGAAGTGACATTTCAGGTAATCTTTATATTTTCCCCATCTTTTCAGACAGCAAGTTTTCTTTTTTTAATAAACATTCTTGTAAAAAAAAAAGCATTGGCTTGAAACAATAAGTAAATGTAAGACTTAAGGAATTGACTTATTCTAGAGCGAATGTATTTATGATATTAGCTTATTGCTTTGTGTTAATTTTCTGATTCCTTCTGGTATGCTAGACACCCCAAAACATTTAGAGTCCACACATTAATACACCAAAATAACCTGCAAGACCAGAGACAGACATTTCTTTCTCACAATGACAAATAAACAAAAGACTAAAGGCTACCTCGTTTAGATGTTATTAAAATTTACAGTATTATAGCACTACACCCTGTCTTATCCGTAATCAGCACTCAACTGGACTTGAAACTTTCATTTTTACCAAACTCAATGACAATTTTCTACAGGTATTCTGTTTTGGTGATCTCCTGACTACCTAGAATAGTCCTTTTCCTAGAAACAGAATTACTTCCATCCACAAATCTGTAGCAACCATTTTGTTCTTGGGATTAGCATCCGACACATGGCTATGTGTCACACTCCAGTGGCAGGTCTGGTCTTGGTTTCTACTGCTAGTGCTTCAACAGAAGAGGGATCTGAGTCTGACTTTCCCAATTTCCTCTTTTAGCTTCTCGGACCATATAAACTACCACCCTTCACTGAGCATGCAATGACCTTGTAAGACAACCCAGCATGCCTAGAAGAGAAAGCGAGAAATGGACCTGATCTTCAACTGTGCTGACGTGTGTACTCATAAGAGGATTACTAGAGAATGAAGAAAAATGAGTCAGAGGAAAAGAGTTTCCTCTTCCTATTACCCGCCCCACATGTGGCATTCTCTGTTCTTCTAACTGGGTACAGGGTTCTTGAACACAGGGTACAGGGCCTCCCTGGTGGTGCAGCGGTTGAGCGCTGGGTTGTGAAGCTGCCCGCAGCCTCTGCAGCGCCGGTTTGATCCCTGGCTGTTCCCCGGCCGCTGGGCGAGGGTCCCACATGGCACGCAGACCTCTCCTGCCTCCCGCTGCTCCCCTCAGCAGTGTACTTCGGTCCTTCTGCCTGCTCTGCTCCCCGCTCTGGCTCTGGTAAATTCTCTCACCCTCCCGCACTTCTGACTGTACCCAGTGCTTATATAAATAAATAAATAAATAAATAAATAAATCTTTAAAAAAAAAAACCCCACAGGGTACAGTTTATGGCAGCCTCTCAGCCATGTATAAAATGCTCTTTTAAAAAAAAATCACCTACTTTTCTTAAATCATCTACTTTCCTGGTTAAAAATCATTATATACAAGAAGAAACAAAGCAAAATTAAAGATCTTTTTCTTCTTTAAACAACTAAGAAACAGCTTTTTTATTTGGGTTGTGATCATGGATTTGGTTTTAACAATTAAGTAGGATAAGAGGAGGCAAAGGTTGGGCCCAAAATGAACAAGGGCCTGGACCCAGAATCATCAAGGGCCAAGAATCAGCAAGACTTCTAGAACTTCTCAAGACTTGCTCCATTCCTTTTCTCTTCAGATTCAGGCTTCTTCTTTTTTTTTTTTTTTTTTTTTTTTTTTTATAGAGGCATGCTTTATTTATTTGTTTGCTGGTTTTGTTTTGTTTTGTTTTGTTTATACATGCACTGGGTACAGTCAGAAGCGCGGGAGGGTGAGAGAATTCACCAGAGCCAGAGCGGGGAGCAGAGCAGGCAGAAGGACCGAAGTACACTGCTGAGGGGAGCAGCGGGCGGCAGGAGGGGTCTGCGCGCCATGTGGGACCCTCCTCCGGTGGCCGGGGAGCAGCCAGGAATCGAACCGGCGCCACAGAGGCCGCAGGCAGCTTCGCAACCCAGCGCTCAACCGCTGCGCCACCGGGGAGGCCCCAGGCTTCTCATTTCTAATCCATTTTTTCCTTTAGCCTATAAACATGCTTAAACTTTTCCCAGTGACTCAGCATGTGCTCTCAAGTCAGTATCCAAACTGTTTTCTCTCCATCCTCAAAACATCAGTAGTAGCAGGGAGCTTTTTAAAACATGCAATTGCTTTTTTTCTCTCTAGAGTTTTCCCTCGCCTGCCTGTGTGTTGCCTTACTTTAGGGATTCTGGCTGCTTCCTAAAATCTGGGACTCTTCATGGTCTTTAATAGCTGGCATGCAATGACAGCATCCTGCTTCCAGCTTGAGGTACATAGTGTAAAAGAAGTACGAGGCAAACACCTGTAGCATTTTTAAAACTTACACATTCTAGATGTGGGTCTGCTACTCCTAAGCGGCCTGCTCGGCCACCATTTTGTTACCTGCAATTCTGCATTCCTATACAAGGTCAGAACTGCCTAGTCAATCAGTCATAGCTAAACCTTACAAGATGCTTTTCAAATCAACCAAGAATAGAAAGCTTGGGACTTCTCTGGAGGCGCAAGGGGTTTAGCGCAGCACTGTGAAGCTGTCCGCAGCCACTGCAGCATGAGTGTGATCTGCGGTCAGGGAGCTACCCACATGGCGCAGCAGACCTCTCCTGTCTCACCCGCTGCTCGCCTCAGAAGTGTGTTTCAGGGGCCTCCCCGGTGGCGCAGAGGTTGAGTGCTGGGTTGCAAAGCTGCCCGCAGCCTCTGTGGCGCCAGTTCGATCCCCGGCTGCTCCCCGGCCACTGGAGGAGGGTCCCACATGGTGCGCAGACCTCTCCTGCCACCCGCTGCTCCCCTCACCAGTGCCCTTCGGTCCCTCTGCCTGCTCTGCCTCCCGCTCTGGCTCTGGTGAATTCTCTCACCCTCCTGCGCTTCTGATTGTACCCAGTGCTTGTATAAATAAATAAATAAATATTTAAAAAAAAAAAAAGAAGTGTGTTTCAGTCAATCCCCCTATTCTGCTCCCCACTCTGTCTCTGGTGAATCCTCTCACCCCTCGTCCCCCTCTAGCCTGTACCCCAGTTCTTCTATGTATAAATAAATAAATCTTAAAAAAAAAAAAAAATCAGAGATTGTATGAAAGAAAAAATTCACAAGCAGATTTACCTCCACATTATATTCTGCCCCATCTGTGTTGATTCTTATTGTAATATCATCATCTCCTATGTGGGCTAGAACCCTCGAGTCAGGTTCACCTTAAGAGAAAAGATATTTTCCATTATTAAAAGTATTTTATTTTTTTATTTTTTTATATGAGGGAAGCTAGAAAGGATGCTAAAGAAGTGCCTTTGGGTTTTTTTTGTTTTATTTGAGCTATGTAAGTTTGAAAGCAGAAACTTTTAAGCAGGAGGAAATAGATATTATCCAGTCATGGCAATTTTGGTGATTAACGTGAATTTCCTCTCAATGGTTCAGAATTTTAACCTTCTCTTGTGGCCTAGGGGAGGATTGTAGACCTCTCTTAAAAGAATTTAAACAGGGAAGCTAGGAGATGAGTGATTGACTTTATGATGCTATTATGGCTAAGAAAATATATCAAGCAAATTGTGGTTTACCTCTGGAACCTTTCTGCCATAAGCAAAAAGGTTATGGTTAAAATCCTCAAAAAAAATGGTTCAAAACCTCCTGTTCTGGCTCATACTTTGTACCTCCACTTAATTGTTTTTTTACTCATAAGCAGGTAAGATTATTCCAGGAAAAACCCCACTGTTTTGTTCTATAACATGTTCATCAGGGAGGCCCTATTCAAAGTATTTTAAATAGGGCCTCCCCTGGTGGCGCAGTGGTTGAGCGCTGGGCTGCGAAGCTGCCCGCAGCCTCTACAGCACCGGTTCGATCCCCGGCTGCTCCCCGGCCACCGGAGGAGGGTCCCACATGGCGCGCAGACCTCTTCTGTCTCGCCCGCTGCTGCCCTCAGCAGTGTACTTCGGTCCTTCTGCCTGCTCTGCTCCCCGCTCTGGTGAATCCTCTCACCCTCCCGCGCTTCTGACTGTACCCAGTGCTTGTATAAATAAAAAAATAAATCTTTAAAAAAAAGAAAAGTATTGTAAATAACCTGTGCACTCCTGTCAACAAAAACTAACCACACCCGTCATCAGAGTGGAGCCCACCTCGGTAATGCAAAAAGTCACAGCTCAGAAACAAAGGCTCCAGAAAGCAGCCAGATCTCCCCCTTCTGAGGGATAGTCTCTCAACTCTAGTTATTTGAAACCTGTCAGTTTCTTCTCAAGTCTTTCATGAGAACTATCTAGAACATGTTATAGAACAAAACAGTGGGGTTTTTCCTGGAATAATCTTACCTGCTTATGAGTAAAAAAACAATTAAGTGGAGGTACAAAGTATGAGCCAGAACAGGAGGTTTTGAACCATTTTTTTTGAGGATTTTAACCATAACCTTTTTGCTTATGGCAGAAAGGTTCCAGAGGTAAACCACAATTTGCCTGATATATTTTCTTAGCCATAATAGCATCATAAAGTCAATCACTCATCTCCTAGCTTCCCTGTTTAAATTCTTTTAAGAGAGGTCTACAATCTTCCCCTAGGCCATAAGAAAAGGTTAAATTCTTAACCATTGAGAGGAAATTCACGTTAATCACCAAAATTGCCATGACTGGATAATATCTATTTCCTCCTGCTTAAAAGTTTCTGCTTTCAAACTTACATAGCTCAAATAAAACAAAAAAAAACCAAAGGCACTTCTTTAGCATCCTTTCTAGCTTCCCTCATAAAGAACATGCAATCAAGTCAGAGCTGGACACCTCCCAGTCCACACACAAGGGCAAACAAACTCCACACTCACCAACCACGTGTCCCCTGAAGAAGTCCTGCCATTTGACAGCATACTCGCTTTCATCTTTACCGTCCACCACGACGACTTTGAAATTCTGGGAAAAGCGTTCAGTACTTGATGTCAGGTATAATTTAAAATGCCTAAAGAAAAAAGTATCCATATTTTACTATAAGCACATAAAACAAAAGTCTAATTTTCATTTAACTTTCTTTAAAAGCCAGAAGAGCTGACAATAATAAAGCACAATGCAAGTTGTAACATCTGTGTAGAAACTCAGCGCTCTCTCTTGTAAAGACAAATTTTTTTAATTGTAAGAAGTTGGCAGACTAAAAAAAAAACCTAAAAGCAAGGGAAGAAAGAGTCAAAGCACTTATGCATACACATTTTCTGGAGACTCCAAAGAATAAGGAAACACCCACATCTGGATAGCCTTGGGGTCCTGCTCATCTTAAACATTTATTAAAAAGTAATCTGTCTTATTAGATACCATTTGCTAAGCTGTACACATTATCTCTACTCCCCACAGTCAAATGGTGGCTTGGAGGTTAATCAAAGCACTCAAGGTGACACTGCTAGTCAATGAGGAATGGAAAAACGAACTTTTATTTCAGAAGCCTGCACTATTCTGCCTCCAGCAATCAAGCTATTCAGACTGTCGTGCAATTTCACAAAGGCTGCTTTCTATACTTCGCAGCACTTGTGCTTTGTTTCTCCTTCTTGAAAAAAATGAATCTGCAATTATAAGGAAAAAACATGTAAGTATTCAACACAGACACTGAATACACAGTCCAGTTCTTCAGCTGGCTTTTGTTTTCTAGGAGTTTCATAGACCTGGCCTAAAAACTGGGTGTGGTGTGTAAGAATCTTTCAATCACTGCTTATAGAACCTTTTCAATGTGCTTCCAAACACCAAAGACTGAAAAAGGTATGTTATTCATCTCAGCCACAAGAACAAATTGTGTCAGCCTTGGTGGTGGAAATCTAAACTGTTACACTCCCAAGGTTTGGATGAGTCTGAACAGCCAAGAAGAATCCAGACTAGAGCTGTTTCTATGGCAACAAATATTTTTGAGCAGCAAAACAGGGTAGTTTTAGTTTGCTTGTAGTTTTTTTTAATGATCACAGGGAAAGAGACAATAGAACATTATTTCAGAAAACCTTGGGGCATTTTCTCTGCTATCTTAATACATATCTTCCTACACATAGTTATGACCCCCAATCAATTAAAGAGAACACTGAAAAGCATCTCCTTTATAAATGCCGTATTATTTAGAATTCTAGCACTGAGTCTTGATATTTTTACTGAACATTCTTTCCAGAAAAACCAAATTGCATTCTTAATATCTACGCTAAGAATTGTCTCTACTATAAGAGAAGAACCATATAACAATTCTAGATACATTCAAGCAAATCCCTGAATAATGTCATTTCACGCAACATCATTTTCTTACAACACTGATGAGAAAGAACAATCACGGGACCATTCTCTGTGTGGGTTTTCTCTCTCGGGATCCTGGTTTCATTTCAAAGATGCACACATGAGGTTTACTGGGGGGTCACAACTGAGCCCACCAGAGTGAGTGTGGGTATGTGATGGAGGGCATCCTGTCCAGAGTGGGTTCCTGCCTGGGGCCCTGTGCTGCCAAGCTGGACTCAGCGGCCCCCTCCTCACCCTGAACTGGAATAAGTGGGTTGGAAAATGAATGAATACAATGACTGTTTAATATTAGAAGTGTTCTGAGTTTTTATTTAGCAGTTTGGTGATGTTTCTGTGACCAGAAATACACTGTAAGAACTTAACTCTTGTTCATATTAATTAGCCTGTGGTAAAATTGGCTTCATGACACATCATTTCAGTTGGTCACAGCATGCAAGAAACTATCAACAATGTTAAGTGAGAATTTACTGTATAATAAAGCAACAAGTGAGAATGGATCCATTTCCTCAACATGCTAAATTAAGTGCTAAAATAATTTAGTAACGAAAAGGACAAACAACAGAAAAAATGGTAAAAGGATAAGGCAAGGGAGACAGAGAAAAATAACTTATAAATACAAGAAAACAAGCTGAATTTCATAAAAAGTGAAAATCAAAAACAACTATGAAATCCTTTTAGAGAAGCAAAAATTAAAGGCTGATAAAACCTAGTATTGGCAAGTTTTTTAGTTAATTGGCAAACTCACACACATCTGGTAGTAGAGGAAAGCCTTTAGGAGGAAACATGGCAGTATCAACAATTATGTATATCCTTGACCCAGTTACTCTCCTTTTAGGAATAGAGTCTATTAAAATACATAGACAAGGGCCTCCCTGGTGGCGCAGCGGTTGAGCGCTGGGTTGCGAAGCTGCCCGCGGCCTCTGCGGCGCCAGTTCGATCCCCGGCTGCTCCCCGGCCACTGGAGGAGGGTCCCACATGGCGCGCAGACCTCTCCTGCCGCCCGCTGCTCCCCTCAGCAGTGTCCTTCGGTCCTTCTGCCTGCTCTGCTCCCTGCTCTGGCTCTGGTGAATTCTCTCACCCTCCCGCGCTTCTGACTGTACCCAGTGCATGTATAAACGAACAAGCAAACAAACAAATAAATAAATAAATAAAACATGCCTCTATTAAAAAATATATATATATATATAAAAAAAATACATAGACAAGACAGTCTCTGGAGCATTATTACACAAAAACTATTATAAAAAACATCCTCTGACAGGGAACTATCAATAAACTGTTAAAATTCTATGCAATAAGAATATTTATGGGGAGCCTCCCTGGTGGTGCAAGCAGTTAAGTCGCAGCACTGTGAAGCTATCTGCAGCCACTGAAGAAGAGTTCAATCTCTGGTCAGGGAGCTGACCCAGATGGTGCAGCAGACCTCTCCTGTCACCCTGCTGCTCCCCTCAGCAGTGTATTTCAGCAGATCCACCTGTTCTGCTCCCCACTGTTTCTGGTGAAACCTCTCAACCCAGCACCTCTGACGTGCACCCCAGCTCTTGTATGCATAAATGAAACTTTAAAAAAAAAAAAAAAGGGGGGGGGAGGGCCTCCCCTGCTGGCGCAGGCCAGTTGAGTGCCGCGCTGTGAAGCTATCTGCAGCCTCTGCAGCACTGGTTTGATCCTGGCCGGCAGGCGGGGATTCCACATGGTGCAGCAGACCTCTTCTGTCTCGCCCGCTGCTCCCCTCAGCGGTGTGTTTCGTCAGTCTACCTGTTCTGTTCCACGTTTCTGTCTCTGGTGAATCCTCTCACCCTCCCGCGAACCTGGCTTGTACCCCGGTTCTTGTATAAATAAATAAATCTTTAAAAAAAGAATATTTATGGAGTTGTTAAAATGGAGCTAAATCTATTATCCGTATCACCCACATATATGTACATAAAGATCTATATGCAAAACAATGCATTTAATCTTTTAGAAATCGCACAGGAAATCTCTGGCTCTGAGGAAGGCCAAAAGAGGAAGGTCAGGTGTCAGGTGAGGAAGAAATGAAAACTTCTTATACTTTCTGTAATTTAGTTTCTTTGACCAGGTACAAATGTTACTTTTATTTCTTTCCATATTTGTTGGCGAAGGCCTATCCTATGACTAAAGAACGATTCAGCCCCTTTATACTCTCCCAGTGTTTGTTTCTCTTATTAGCTAAAATGTCCTAAAATTTTTTTAGAAAGAGGCCTCCCAATTATTTAACACATTTAAATCTGCAAAACGTAAGAGATCTTAAAATTCCTGCCATCTATCAATTTATATGAGTGGAACTCAACGTAAAACAAGCACTGAATCCTAGACCAGCTCCTCACTAGGCTGGAGGGTCCTGAACACATCCTCTCAGTGTCTTCGTACTCAACATAAAATTAGTACTCAGCATAAAAGGCACTGCTTGGCACATGATTGATAGTTCTAAAGCAGCACAAAAAATTTAGGTAGTATTCAATTAATTAAAATTCCTTGTTAGAATTCCATGAACAGGGGCCTCCCTGGTGGCACAGGGGTTAAAGTCTCAGCACTATCAAGCTCTCCCCCGCTGCTGCGGCCTGAGCTTGATCCCCAGCCAGAGAGCTGACCCACATGGGGAGCAGACCTCTCCTGTCTGGCCAGCTGCTCCCCTCAGCAGTATATTTCAGGGGATCCACCTGTTCTGTTACCCACTCTCTCTGCTGAATCCTCTCACCCCCCTGAACCTTTGGCCAACACCCCAGTTCTTGTATGCATAAATAAAAATAAATGTTAAAAAAAAAATTCCATGAAAATATAATACCATCATTAACACCTCTGTAACATCTGTACTTTTAATGCTCATCAGAATGAATTTCAGAATAATCAGTACTTTATGGAGGAATCATGGACAGACTATCAACTACAAAATCTGTAAAATGTTACTTCCTAAAATTTCAGTAGACACCCTTAGTCTTCTGCTTTTGCCAAACCAACTTTTCCACTTCCCCCACACTATCTTTGAATAATTCAAATTACCTGTTCAAGGCTGAAAATGTTAGCAGTGTTTCTAAATGCGTTGATGCACGGAGATCCCGCCTTCTTACTGAGTGCTGCCGAATATTGGATAAAGAGAGGATATCGTAGTCTGAGAGCAAAGAATCAAGCTTTTCTAAAACAAAAGTAAAAGATTATTAGCACCTAAGTCTACTAATCAATTGTAGTATCACTAAAATATCAGACAGGGCCTCCCTGGGGGCACAGCGGTTGAGCGCTGGGTTGCAAAGCTGCCCGCAGCCTCTGCAGCGCCGGTTCGATCCCCGGCTGCTCCCCGGCCACCAGAGGAGGGTCCCACATGGCGCGCAGACCCCTCCTGCCGCCCGCTGCTCCCCTCAGCAGTGTCCTTCGGTCCTTCTGCCTGCTCTGCTCCCCGCTCTGGCTCTGGTGAATTCTCTCACCCTCCCGCGCTTCTGACTGTACCCAGTGCTTCTATGTATAAACAAACAAATAAATAAATAAATCTTTTAAAAATATAAAATATCAGACAATAAATAAACTCTTCCTGATGTGACACATTATGAAGTCACAACCTATGAGGCATTCTTAGCAAAACAACAACAAATTTTGAAGCTAAATCTAATCAAGATGTAACTTCCTTTTTAGGACATAGATTAGATGTTGCCAAATTAAATAACAACCTTAGGAAGTAATCAGCCACACCCAAAATGTTAGAATTCCTGCAGAACAAATGACCCAATTTCTTCCGGAAATAAATGGCATGGGAAATAAGGGACGGGTGGAGATATAACCGATAAGAACACAGCACGTAAGCCAACGTGTGCACCTTTTTGGATTCTAGGTCAAACAAATTTGGAAGAATATTTGTAACAATTAGGGAAATGTGGAAATGAATCCATGTTTACAGTAAATGCTAATAATCTTGCTATAACCAAGGTTATCTTACTATACAACAACGTCAATTCTAAATTAAAGGCATTTCTGGCTTCTATGTTGAGAATTTCTAAAAACAAAGTTGCCAACTTGACCTGCCCACTGTTGGCTTAGGCCAACAGGATTCCATCAACTTACCAGTTGCTGTACAATAATCACTGTATTAATGGCCCAAGCAAAAAAAAACTGAGAAAGTAAATCTTTCACAGAAAAATCACATCAAATTAAAGAGCAAAAATGTGGTAACATCCCTATCACTGCTACCCTTAATGGCAAAATACACTGGATATAAGTTCAAGTGATAAGACCAAACTAACACCTGGAAAAAAAGCAACGTTAATTTACCAGGCACACTTGGAACCCAAGAAAAGCGCTGTCCCCGAGAGCACAAGCATAAACAGCTGTGTTGGTACAGAGCAAGAGCAAACATTATAAAGGAATGTTACTCCTGTAAGTCACATAATTTTGGTGCCTTAAGTCTTTGCAAAAACTGTCTAAAACACATGAGGTGATGCTTTCCTTTTATTTCCTCAAATATAACTGCGGAAGCAGAGTTATACAAAATCATTCCACCAAACTCAGAGACTGGCGTCAAAACATAGCAGCAGAGGGGCCTCCCTGGTGGTGCAGGGGTTAAAGACACAGCACTATCAGGCTATCACCAGCAGGTGTTTAGTCCCCAGCTGGCCAGGGAGCTGACCCACATGGCGCAGCACACTTCATCTATCTCCTCTTCTGTCTTGCCCGCTGCTCCCCTCAGCAGCATATTTCAGTAGATCTGCCTGTTCTGCTCCCCACTGTCTCTGCTGAATCCTCTCACCATCACCTCCGAACCTCTGGCCTACACCCCAGTCCTTGTATGCATAAATAAATCTTTAATTAAAAAAATAAAAATCATAAAAAAAAAACCAACAACACAGCAGCAGAGCTTAAATACAAGTGTATTGCTAGTGAGGTTAAATGTGCTCACAAATCCATACTCACAATCCATCCAAGGCTTTTCTCCTCACTCTTCCCCTAAATGTTCTCAAATGGTTCATTCTTCAACTCATTAATTCACTGCTAGGTGCCAGGCACTGGTCTGATTGCTGAGATACAGCATTAAATCAAAGTCTTTGCCTAAAGAAACACTCATTTCAGTGTGAAGGAAACGGACAAAGCAAAAGAAAAATATGTCAATGCTGTGGACACCAAAGCAAGAAAGCTGAGGCAGGATGGGAAGAGCCAGTTTATACAGAGTGGTCGAAGACAGGGACATGCCTCACGGTTACAAGGTATGTAAGCAGGTAAAGCCCAAGCAAGGCCTGGTGCTAGCTGATCAAGTAACTCGATCAAAGATGTTCATTCAAGGTTCTAAAACTCAAGATTAAATAAAGGTGCAGCAAATTCACACTCGCTGGGTACCACCCATGTTCCACTAACAAAATTTCCTTTAAAATTTACTCCAGAGGAAAGCTGTCTCAGCTGACAACACTCACTTTTATCCCACTGGATGGAGCCTGGTGATCTGCCTTGCTAGTTACAAGCTTGGCAGCCCAATGAAAAACCTTCAAGAAGCAAAGAAGCTTACAACTTACGCAACAATTTTTGAGCGTCTGCTTCCTAGAAAACACCATGCTTGGGGTTTTAGTACATCAGCTCCACCAACATCCCTGAGGTATTATCCCCATTTCACAGATGAAGAAATAAGACTCAGAGAAATAAGCCATTTGTCTAAGATCACAAAGCTAATGTACCAGAGAACTGGGATTTAAACGTGGGCCTGTTTGGCTGCAAACTCCTAACTTCACTGATGTCATATTTTTCAAACTCCTTAAAAATAGTCTTGCTTTTCTTGGATCTTCTGCTTCTTGGTCTCCTACTTTTTTTGACATACCAACCCAACATGACCCTTTTTTCCTTCCTCTGAATTCTGAAGTTCTTCGCTATGCCTTTCCTCTCTCACCATTTGTCTTGCCTCACAAATAGATTATAAAATGGCTGAAAGAGAGCTATGGCTTATCACAGTGTCCTCACCTCACAAGACCCACCACAGAAAGTTGCGCAAAACAGTGAGCCTATGTTCACAAATTCTACAACGCTGAGATGTTGATACGATTCCCTAGTTCAACTTTCCCGATACAGGTTGGTACATGAGTCAGTTTCATTCAAGATCATAATCACTCCTACCAGCCGAGTACGCTAACCTCACCGCTGTCAGTAACAGAGGCCAGGAGCTTTCAAACAGTGGCTCCCCCACAGCAACACAGGAACTTGTTGGAATAGTCAATTGTCAGGTCTCCCCTCAGTCCTACCGGATCAGAAATTCTTGGGGCAAAGGCCAACAATCCGTTCAATAGGCCTCCCAGCTGATACTGACACACATTCAAATTTGAGAACCGCTGAACGAGACCAGTCATGAAATGAGCAGTGAAGAAAAAAATCTTTAAGCACATGGATGTCCACTGCTCAGCTTTACATTATGCCTAAGAAAACTGGAAATTTATTAATAACTGGGAAACAGATCAAGGCACTACCAAGTGACAAAAAAAAGAAAAAACCCTCCAATCATTAAAATACTGCTAACAACAGGTTTTTAAGAACACAAGGAAATACTTATGCCACTTTAAATAAACCAAAGTGGGTATTGCAAGATCTTAACCTTGTGTAAAAATAGAGCCTAGGGGGGCCTCCCCAGTGGCGCAGTGGTTGAGCGCTGGGTTGTGAAGCTGCCCGCGGCCTCTGCAGCGCCGGTTCGATCCCCGGCTGCTCCCCGGCGACTGGAGGAGGGTCTCCCATGGCGCGCAGACCCCTCCTGCCGCCCGCTGCCCCCCTCAGCAGTGCACTTCGTCACTCTGCCTGCTCTACTCTCCGCTCTGGCTCTGGTGAATTCTCTTACCCTCCCGCGCTTCTGACTGTAACGTGCTTATATAAATAAATAAATAAATCTTTAAAAAAAATTAGGGCAAGAAATTATCTTTAGGTATATTTTCTGTAACAAGCATTTTTTCCAGTAGTTTGCTACAGAGCTGTAAATGCATAACTTTAAAGTGTTTCAAATGTAATTTTCCTCTTTAAAAGGTATCTCAATGAGATGTCCCTAAGCCATTACAAATGGCCTGGTGAAAGCTTCCCCTTTGTGCAACTGCTGGAGTTGCTGCTCCTGCTTCTGTCTTTTCATGAGCAAGTAACCTCGGATTCTTCCACTGTACGTCACTGTCAAATTTCCAAGCGTGAGTGAGCTCAATGTTCTATAGCCTTTTCCACAAATTTACATTCCCCCCCTTCCTGAAAGCTTATTCTTTTTTCTTTTCAAGATTAATTTTTATTTATTTATGCACACAAGAACTGGGGTGTAGGCCAGAGTTGTGGAGGTGGTGGTGAGAGGATTCAGCAGAGTGGGGAGCAGAACAGGCGGATCTACTGAAATCCACTGCTGAGGGAACAGCGGGGAGACGGGAGAGGTCTGCTGCGCCCTGTGTCAGCTCCCTCACTGGGGATCTAACTTATGCCAGCGGCTGTCTATAGCTTGATAGTCCTGAGACTTTAACCTCTGCAACACCAAGGAAGCCCCAAGAATTTATTCCTTATCCACATCCAAATCTGTCAATAAACTAGGTACAAACCACTTGCCACCGTAGAGTTTAGGACAAACAAGACTCGAAAATGCTTCAAAAACTGTCCGAGCTTGCAGTGTGGGGATATTCTCTTTTTAAAAAACTGCGCATGGCTGCACAGTCCCCAGGGTGACAATCGCGCTGAACAACTGCGCTTCCTCTCCCCAGGCCAGCCACCAACACACAGGAGCAAACAACAGCCCGTTCAGGCCAGACGGGCACACTGTACCCTGTAGGTGGCCCCCACCCAGCCCTCCCGACTCTGCTCTGCCAAGTGCTCCTTCCCCCCACCAGGCTCCCCTCCTCTCCTCAGGCCTCACCGCTCCAGTGTCTTCTATAGCCCCACAGGGCCCCTCACTCCCCACACATTCTGCACTTGCTTTGCCTTTCCACAAGGCCCCATCTACTCATCTACAGGACATCAGATACTTGCTGAGAAGCTCCTTTCCTCAGGCACTGGGGACTTGGTGGAGAAAAGGGGAAACACATTTCCAGTCCTGTGACCCTGAGGGAAAGACCCCACACAAAGGACAGAAGGGGAGACGAGCTGCAGGAAGTTGGGGAGGGACACAGCGGGCAGGAGTCCTGCCCGGCCAGGCAAGGACGCATTCCCTGGGCAACAGCATGGAAACTGAGACCAAAGGTGGCGGAGGAAGAGAGGTGAGGCGAGGGCTCTAAGCGAGGGTAACACCGCTGTGGCCCACACGACACCCAAGAAAGGAGCAGCTTGAGGCTGCAGAGCTCGACCGCCCAGGGGATGTGAGGCAGTGGAGCGGCTTGGGGGAGGATCCAGGGGCCAAGAGGGGAGAGCCGCACAGGGCCAGGAAGAGGCGTGAGGCAGGCGTGCACACTGCACAAAGGACACGAGGGCTGGACCTGGCAACAGGCTGGAAGGCAGCAGTGGTCTGGTCATGAAGAAGCTGGGGCTGAATTATGGAGTCTGAGTAAGAACAGCAGCTATAAATCAGGAACGTCAATGCAATGTGGAGAATGGGTTAGAAGGGAACAAGACTGGAGTCTGGAAAATCTGCAGTAAACTGCCAAGTAACTCAGCTGGAGATCACTCAGAGACCCCCAGTTTTTGACTTGGGCACCTAATTGGGCAGACAGTGAAGCAACACTCGGAATAAAAACATGAGTAAGAGCAGGTTTGCAGGAAGGGTATATAAAGAAATGGCTATATTCTATCTCCTTGGTTTGTGACCACACTGTTCTAAGGAATGGAGCCTGTAAGCAAAGCTAACCCTGGAAGGGGAAGCCATCTCCACACACTGAGCAAAATGATGCCTGCTCACGAGGAGTGTGCCCTGCAACGTGGAGGCTCCCCGCACCATCACCCGCAGGTGAGTTTCAAAATACATGCTTCAGATACAAACTTTTTATCCTTCATCTATGACCTATATTTTTTCCCTTCCACCCACTACATCCTTTTATTTAAAGTAACACAAAGGAAAAGCACTTTTGAAATCAAAGTGAAACTTATACACCCCAACTGCAACTTCAAGAGCTCATCATGACTAAGCGCACAGGACTTAGAACTTCCCTAAATTATGCAATTCGCAAGAGTTCAACTAAAAGCAATCTGGGTGACCTAAGGAGTACGACAGCAGCCAGGATTCTATTATATATTTTTGTCTTTCAGGAAAATGCTGTCAAATCATTACTTAGTAATAATCAGTACCTGGTACTACAGTTATGCTAACGTGTGTAAGACACAGAGGCTAATAAACAATAAACCATGGTCTTTACTATGAAACTATTCACTGGTCTTGACCAACTCAATCTAAATAATAGAAAAGGGTTAAGCGACAAATCACACCTGAGGCCACCAAACACAAAAAGCTATTCTTTAGAAGAAAAAAAACCCTTACATTTATTACTGTGTGAACCTGATAACTCACCAAGACCTTTCTGCTTCACTTTTCCCTGCTGCCTCATTAAAAAAAACTACACATGCACCCTAAGGTTCATTCCAAACTTGCTAAGCGGTCTCTCAGTACCCCCAGCAGCAGTGTTCTAACCTGCTCACCTGCCTAATCTGAAGTCTGGGCTCAGGTGTCACCTCCTTCAGGAAGCCTTCCCAACCTTCCTGGGGTAGGTTCAGCACCCCTTCATAGTAATATCTGCCTCAAAGTGCTCTCACTCTCCTCCCTGTTTTAGAGTGCTTAGCTCTCTATTCCGCCATGGAATTGTCTGACCTTTGTATTCCCAGTACCACACATACTTGCATGCAGTATTTTTCAAATTTTAATACATAGGCACATCTGCACATTTTTCTGGCACTAATGACTAGCACTTGGCAAATAAAAACACCTTATGACCTATGACTGTTGCTGAAAATTGGCCTAGAAAGTGATGTTTCCTTAGAATGCCCGCTCCCCTGAGAGTTATGCCAATTACTTTGCCACAGTAAAAGTGCAGCAGCTGCGTGGCATGGCAAAAAGATCTCAGTATCCCAAAATGAGGCGGATCTTTGTCCTACGCCCCCACCCACCAGCCCTATTTCAAAATTTTCCCTCCATCTGCACTGACTTTCACGACTTTCACATCTCGGCGCTTCCTGCCAGGCTCCCTGGCCCTGCATTAAACCGTCACCTGTAACCCGCTGTAACCTGAAGAACCACGGGCTGTGGTTCAGGTGAGAACACTCAACGCCCTCCACACCCTTTCGGTCAATCACAATTTCTGTCCATTAAGTTAGAAAAAATCGCCAGGTAAACAGCAACATTTTAATCAGCCTAAGGAGAAGCCACGCGGTGTCTGGATCAGCACCGGCGCCCGGGCCTGGACTGCGCCTCGCGGGCTGCCCGGCTGCCCCGCAAGGCTCTCCCCGCAGCTCCCCCAAGCTCAAGTCTCTTAGGGGGCGCTCCTCCAAGCCCGGACAGCCTGAGCACCCGCGACCTTCCGGGCTCCAGACGGCCCCGGGTGCTCGCGCCCGAGCCCCTCTCGGCGCAGCGGCGGCGGGGGGGGGGGCGCACGCAGGGGCGGCCCGGAGCCCGGGGTCCCCGCCCCGCTCCTCCAACTCGCCGCGCCAGGAGCCCGAGCAGCGGCTTCCGCGGCCCCCGGTCCACCCGCCGCGCCCCGCCGCCTCCAGCCCTGCCCTCCGCGGGGAAGCCCAGCTCCGGGCGGCACGCGCGTCCGGCCTCGGCGGGGACCAGCCGCGAGCGGGCAGGGCCGGGCCGCGCGGCCCCGCAAACCGCAGCCCGCGCCCCAGCCCGCACCCTCCAGCCCGCGCGCCCCAGCCCGCGCCCTCCAGCCCGCGCCCCAGCCCGCACCCCAGCCCGCGCCCCCCAGCCCGCGCCCCAGCCCGCTCGCGCCGCCTCCCGCGCCCGGAGCGCAGACCCGGGGGGCGCGCCCGCCGGCCCCCGCGGGGAGACCCCAGCCCCGCCCGGAGCCCCGCCGGCCACACCCCCTCGCCGCCGCCGGAGCCGCGGCCCCCGCGGCCCGCCCCAGGCCCCGAGCCCGGCCCGCTCCTCCCGGGCCGCCCCCCGCGGTTACCGAGGCGCGGCGGGGAGCCGGGGCCGGCGGGCCCGGAGGTCGCGGCGCCAGCGCCAAGGGGAGCAGCAGGCCGGCCAGGAGCAGGAGACGCCGCCGCATGTTCCTCCGCCGCGGCCCCTCTCGCCGCAGCCTCCGCCGACCCGGCCCGGCGCCGCTCACATCGGGGCGGACCGGCCGCCTCAGCCCTCGGGCCTCCGCGCCGCCTGCCGGGAGACTCCGGAGCGGCGCGCCCGGAAGCGCCGGAGCGCGACAGCCCGGCCGAGCCCGCTTCCGGCGCCGCCGCCGCCCGCGCCGCCCACCGCCGGAAGTCGGCGCCGCGCGGCACGCCGGGAGCCCGCCCGCCCCCGCGGCGGCCGCCATCTTGCCGGCGCGCCCGGCCCGACCCGGCCCGGCCGGCTCCGGCCCCGGGTGGCCGCCGCGCGGGGGGCGGGGCGCGCGACCAGGCCTCCTCCCGGGCCGGCGGCGGGCTCGGGCCTGGAAACCGCCCCGGGCGGCGGAGGCACTGGACCCGGCGACGACCCGGGCCCCGCCGGCCGCGGGAGCCGCCCTCACGCGCCGCTGCCCCGGCCCGCCGCGGGGCGCGCGTCCCCCGCAGCCCGAGCCGGGCCCGCGCAGCGCGGAGGCCGCGGTTGCTAAAAGCCGGCGCTCGGCCGGGGCCCGCGGCCCCGAGGCCCGAGGCCTGGGGGTCGCGTCTTGGTGGGTGTCGCGTCGGGAGGGTTTTATGGGCCGGAGCGAAACAGGCTCAGACCTCGGGGCTTGTTGTGGTTTTGGCTTGACTGACGCGTGCACGAGACACGACGCGTTTCCCATTTAAAGAGCGAGCGGGACAGCTGTTGTCTCCATTGCGGTGTGGTAGGTTTTAGGAATAAAGCATTGGCTGGTCAACTTTCAAGGCCAGTTCTGTTGGAGGGAAAAGGCTGTCCTAAAGCTGATCCCATACAGGCTGTGTGGACGCCACCCCCACCCCAGGCCAAAGCCAAAGACACTGGGAACTCCAAATCCCATCACCACCCAAGGGAAGGTGGCTGGGACCTGAGGGTGGGGTTAAGCAGCCAGGTGGATATAAAAGGCAGACACGTGGGCTTTGGGGGGTTCCCCATTTTGACTCTCCGCCAGCTCGCAGCGTCTGGCCAGCTCTGAGAGTGACTTTGGGTTTTTCAGGTTGGCGGATCGGGTAGGACGCATGAAAGACTTTATTTCCCAATTTTCTCCCTGAGTTGTCCATTTTCCTTATTTCCTTTTCCCTTGTAAATAAACCTTTTATGAACCTTTTGTGTGTGCCTGTAGTGGAGTATTCATAAGTCCCTTTTTAAGCGCGCGGGTGAGGACCCACAGCCAGGAACCCCTCTCAATATCGGGGCTGCTCTATAACAGCTCCTAAGTATAATATCGTTTAAACCCAGGTTCATTGTGTGACGCCCCAGTAAAATCTCAGCAGCCTTCCCAGGAGGAGCTGTCCAGAATTGCTGCCTTTGTGCTTTTTGGCTGAACGCGAACCTGGTCTGTTCATTTGGGCTTTAAAACGCTTCATTACACATTACATCAATGGCATACCTAATAATGCAAGCAGAATCTCACCTCTGCAAATTGCACTCCATAAAAATGTGAGTTGTGCACGGAATTTCTACACCAAGAATGTCATCCCACTGAGCACCAGGCAGCACTCTCCGATTTCTAACTCCAGTCGATGCTGCATTATGTTCTCAGCCCTTCTAAAGTTGTGTCACAGAAGGCACTTAGCTGTGTTTAATAAATGTGTTTTTTTAAGTACGGCTCCTGATCCATTTTTGTATTCCTACTGGGAAGTCACAGATTTCAGGACAGTCCAGATTTCAAACCAACGCGCCATTTAGATTTCCCATCCTAATCGGAACCCAACTTGAGGTTTGTCTTTCATTTATCAATTGTTCACGCTTTTAAGATTAAAGCACCACGTGGGGGAGGTAAAGAGCTGGAGGAATATGATAGGACACATGGCGGGAAAGGCAGGACACTCATCTCCAAAATAATTTTTTTAAATGTGCCTTATAGATTCATTTTGAAAATATTTCATCTTAAATGTAAGGATGAAATTTCCAGCATATGTGAGTACACGTAAAATGAAAGCTGCTAGGGTCCTCTTTCAAATGTACTCAATGGAATAGAAATACTGAGAGATTTGACAGCCACTGTGGAAGCCAGCTTCCCACACAGCCCCCTTGACCCATTTCCGATATTTGCACCAACCTCCCAGCCTGGACCAAGGCTGGTGTGTGACCTCGAGCATACAGCAGAAGCAATGGTATTTTACCTCCAACATCAGTTTATAGGCACTGTCTTCAGTCTGGGTTGCTCTCTTGTTTTGCTTGCTCTCTTGGCTCACTCGCTGGAGGAAGCCAGCTTTCACATCGAGAGAATATTCAGGAAGCCTACAGAGTTCCCAGGAATGAAAGTCACCAGGCAACAGCCAGCAAGTTACAGAACTGCTGAAGACCACAAGTGAGCTAGAAGTGAATTTGCCACCTGCAGCCAAACTTTGAGATAATTGCAGCCCCCCAGCCCAAAGGCTTAACCACCTCTGAGACCCTACGCCTGAATCACCCAACTAAGCCATTAGCAGATTTCTGGGACACAATAAATGTTTGTTGTTTTAAGTTCTTAAATTAGGAGCAATTTGTTACCCAGTCTCCCTCACCTTTTTTTTTTTTTTTTTTTTGAAGATTTATTTGTATTTATACATACAAGAACTGGGGTGTAAGCCAGAGGTGCAGGGGACGGAGGTGAGAGGATTTCACCAGAGACAGAGTGGGGAGCAGAACAGGCAGGTTGAGTAAAGTACACTACTGAAGGGTGAAGCGGGCAAGACAGGAGAGGTCTGCTGCGCCATGTGGGTACCTCCCTGGTCGGGGATCGAACTCATGCTGCAGTAGCTGCAGATAGCTTCATAGGCTGTGTCTTAACCCCTTGCACCACCAGGGAGGCCCCTGACTTCAGAAATTTTTACCTGTTTCAGATTCTTTTAGAAAGAAAAATGATAACTATATCATGCATGGACAACTGAAAGTCTGAGGTTACTCATTGATAAACACATGATTCCTTGGGGGCTTTTTAATGCAAGGAAAAAATGATGTCAACTTGAAATTGGAATTTCCCCCAAAGTACAGAAAGAAGGAAACCAGTCATTTCACTAAAAATGTTCTTTAAAGACAATGCATTGCTAATACTTTAGTAACCATTTCTCTGACACACACGACTTTTTGTATGTCTCTTATCAGGCATCCTTGTCATTTTCCTTTTTTAATCTTTTCTTTCATTCTTACACTCTGGGCATCCTTGTCTTTATCACAGTATTTCCTGCCGTTACTACCACGCTGGATGCTGAGAGCAGAGATATCACATGGCCTATAGCTCATACACTGGACAAACTACAGTAGAGCTGTGTTGGCGCTTTTCCTTAAGTCCTTCCTCTCTCCCTTGAGATCTCAGAGAAATTGAACCGCAGGAATGACTGCCCAGGAGGTAGACTAGGTAGAGAGTACAAACTGCAACTTCTGCTGGTTTGACAATGCCGCTGGTCTGCGTTGGCCAGAAGTCACCGCTTGGCTTGACCGGCCCCAGCGAGGCAGCAATCACCTACCCCTGCGGTCTCTCGTGGCCAGAGGCCTTTGTGCTCTACTGAGCGCTTTTCAGAAAAACAGAACACAGCCATTTAATGTTTAAAATCTGATCAGGGCCTCCCCGGTGGCGCAGCGGTTGAGCGCTGGGTTGTGAAGCTGCCCGCAGCCTCGGCGGCGCCGGTTCGATCCCCGGCTGCTCCCCGGCCACCAGAGGAGGGTCCCACATGGGGCGCAGACCTCTCCTGCCGCCCGCTGCTCCCCTCAGCAGTGTACCTCGGTCCTTCTGCCTGCTCTGCTCCCCGCTCTGGCTCTGGTGAATTCTCTCGCCCTCCCGCGCTTCTGACTGTACCCAGTGCATGTATAAACAAAACAAACAAACAAATAAATAAATAAAACATGCCTCTATTAAAAAAAATAAATAAAAATAAATAATAATAAAATCTGATAATTCTGGGCATCCCTGGTGGCACAGTGGGTTGAGCGCAGCACTGTGAAGCTGTCCGCAGCCTCTGTAGTTCGATCCCGGCCGGCCAGTGAGAATTCCACATGGCGCGGCAGATCTCTCCTGCCTCACCCGCTGCTCCCCTCAGCAGTGTCTTCGGTCTGTCTGCCTGTTCTGCTCCCTGCTCTGTTTCTGGTGAATTCTTTCACCCTCCCACGCCTCTGGCCTGTACCCCAGTGCTTGTACAAATAAATAACACTTTAAAAAAAAATTCTTTAAAAAAAAAAAAAAGACAGTCTGATAGTGCTGAGGTCACGTAAGGTCGCCAGCAGGGAAGAGAATACATTTCTATTTTCTTCTCTTCCTCCTTGTGTGCTGCCAAGTTTAATATTAACGTTCTTGTGATTGACTCATTGCTCTTCCTACAGCTGTTTTCTCTACGAAGGTGGGAGATAAGGATTCATGCTCCCCCCTCCCCGAGCTGTCCAGATCCTGTGGGACAGCTCTCCGGATCTCGGGCCAAACACTCTGGGAACAAAACTTGTTGCCAGGTTTGGGGACTGACGCCACCTACAGAACCTTATTCCATGTGTCTGTCCTTGGAAAGTAAATTAACGGTTAACAGTCTTGAAGAACTTGTTCTTTGCTTTTTGGCAAATTCCAATTTATTCTTGTTTGACAGTGAATGATAAACTGCATGAGTAATTCCCATTTTCCATCTAAATCCCCACATTTCCCACCTTGCCCAGCAGCTTCACCTCCTCACTCACCTGCCAAAGCTGCTATCAAGGAGTCAAGCACTGGGCCTCCTGCCTCTTCTCTTGCCCTGCCCGTGGGTCCTAAGAAGACCAAGAGCTCAGGCTGCAGTAGATGGAAAGAAAAGCAACACACCCTTGGGGAGCAGACCCAGGGCAGAAGGCCCGGGACCTGGGGAGTGCTTTGCATACCTTGGAAAGAGCTCAGTCGTTTTCCAGAAATGCTGGCTGGGGCAGGGAGGGCTGCCCCACCCCTAGCTAGCTCTCAAAAAAAAAAAAAAACATCTAATCTATTAGACAAAGAAA